ATGGCAGCTCGGTCACATTGAACGTCGCCTCTGGAGAAATCATCAAGCGCACTCCGGCCACTACCAAGCTCCGTTCTGTCGCCGTCCTCAACAACTCCCCCGCGCCCCTCGTCGTTGGGATTAGTGAGAACGGTACTCCCGTGGAGTCTGTGGATCGTCCTGGATTTTTTGTCACACTCGGCAATGGTCGCGTGCTAGGCTGGAGCGCCAACAATAACAAGTTCCCCGTCTGGGAGTTCCTACCCCCACAAGGCGAGAGAGTCATCCATGCCACCTCCCGACCAGCTCATGATCCTGTCGCATCGATTGGCAAGGTTCTGGGCGATCGATCGGTTCTGTACAAGTATCTGAACCCTAACTTGGTTCTTGTCACCGCCGTGGGCGATAAATCCGCTACTTTCTACCTGCTGGATGCTATCTCTGGCAAGGTTCTCCATGCAAGCACCCAAAGTGGCGTTGACACCACCCAGCCAATTGCCTCAGCCATGTCCGAGAACTGGTTCGCATATTCTTTCTGGGGTGATGTCGTCCACCCATCGGATGCCAAGGGCTACCAATTGGTGATTTCCGAGCTGTATGAGTCTTCGATACCTAATGACCGTGGGCCACTGGATGCTGCATCCAACTACTCTAGCCTTGACGCACTGCCCCTTCCACATGTAGTGTCCCAGTCCTTCATCATCCCCGAACCAATTTCCCACATGGCTGTTACGCAAACCCGTCAAGGTATCACTACCCGCCAACTCCTTTGCACACTTCCCTCGACAAATTCCCTGGTTGGCATTCCTCGCCCCGTACTGGATGCCCGCCGGCCCGTCGGCCGCGACCCGACCGCTACGGAGGCCGAAGAAGGCCTATTCAAGTACAACCCCTTCCTCGAGTTCGATGGTAAATGGTACCTCTCTCACGCACGCGATGTGGCTGGCATCAACAAGGTTCTCTCAGCGCCAACACTTCTTGAGAGTACTAGTTTGATTTTCGGCTTTGGTGGCGATATCTTTGGCACCCGAGCGACACCCAGCCAGGCTTTTGACATTCTGGGCAAGGGATTCTCGAAGTTGCAGTTGCTTATGACCATTGTTGCACTGACAATTGGAGTGATCATTCTTTCTCCGATGGTATGTTTCCTTAGCCCTTTGTAGCATTGTTTGATCGCTAATATTTTATCATAGGTCCGGAAAAAACAGGTCAACCAGGTTTGGAAGACAACATAGTCGCTTGTGGGAACATAGAAGACGAAAGATGAACTAGAACATAAATATATCAATAATGACATAGCTACCAATCCAGTTGTAAACTACGACAGGCGGTAAAGAAACCCATGGTGCATCTCCATACCAAGTCCATCCTCCAGGATATAGACCCTGCAGGGAGTAGTAGTTAGATTAGAAAGGGGTTCAAAGCATTTCCCCTTGACCAAGGTAATATTATTTCAGAGCCTATGGGCCTCTATAGGATTGGACAGGTTTGGCTCTAATAAAATCGACAACTCTAAGAACACATCCGACGGCTGAAAAATACGAACACGAGTTGTCAGCCATGGCGGAAAGTCCATGCAGCTTGGGGATTCTAGGCCGAGACTTAAGATTTCTCGCCATGAACAGTTCTGTTTGCTGCGCATGGGCCATCCTACCTGAGATATTATTTTCTTGACTTCACCCTCAGCTGACGAGAAAAGCCTTATCAAATACACACTCGACAAGGCCAAATCCACGCTTAATCCTACAGAATCCCAATCCGATCGGAAGAACATCCCAGGTCTTCTTGATAGAGAACCAGATTCTACTCGGAACTGGACCGGTGGCGGTCGCTAGTTCGGGAGCCTTGCTTATTCTGTGTAAAACGCCGCAAAAACTTACATTGGACTGCAGATACTCGACTGATATTGTACGTTGATTGGAGAAGTTCTTCTGGTCAAAGACTAAAGTTGGAAGAAATATGACCTGTTCCCACTGCGGTGAACTCCATCGAGAGAGTAAAGATTATCAAGTTTACCAATATCAACGTACCATATACAGATATTATCATATTAGCCGAGTAGATCGATCTATTACTCCGTACTCCGCATATGATCTACCAATTAGAATAGGCTATACATATGAACCATCAAGTATTTACGCTTTTAAACTATTCTATCTTAGGTACTGTGATCCCTCAGCTTGGATCTACTGCTACTGCTCCTGCTCCTACTACTATATTAAGATCCTTGGTTTAGGTATCAGCTCTAATAAATAATCTTAGAGTATTATCAGTACTGTAGAACAAGATTTTCTATATAGTACAGTAAGGTGCGTGTCTTAATGTGAACTCTAAGGTTTCGGTATAAAATGGCTATTATGTCGAATCTCGATTGAGTCCCAGTGAAAGATCGCTTACGGTCGTGCGTTCTGATTCGGAAGGGATCATCTGATCTATCCCGGGCAATATGTTATAGATATATAGACCTTCCGAGCTACACGACGCGAGACTGCAGCTAGTGGCCGGCCGGCAATTTGTTTAAGAAGGCTTGTCCTGCCGGGTCTCGGCCTTTCCTGTTGTGCGTCTCTGCTATATTCTGTGCTACGAAATTCAAACCAAAGAGCGTCCAGGTCAACGACCTACTCTCTACCAAAATGTCTCAACCCTACCACACTTTAACCAAGTCCCTCACCTTTCCCAATCTAGACCAGTACCAATGGTGGCAGCAAGCTGGGCCAACTCTGTCCAAGTTGCTCTCCACAGCTAACTATCCCATTGACCAACAATATCAATATCTCCTCCTGTTGGGCCTACACATCATCCCCATGCTGGTCCGTACCCTTCATCCCAGCGACCGGGCCTCTACAAGAGCCCCATCGGCGGAATCGGCACCCTCGAATTCAGCCAAAACTTCACCAAGGACAAGAACACAGTCCGGATGGGGTTCGAGCCGGTGCACTACATGGCGACCACTGGACAAGACCCATGTAACCAGCTCATCATGAACGAGGCATTGACAACGTTCAAGCGACTCGGCGCGACCATGGACTTATCGCTCTACCATTCCTTGGTGGCGGGGCTCACCGTCTCCGATACGGAGCTGAGCATTCTTCGAGAGAGAGATGAGCTGAAGAAACAACCAACGAAATCCCAGCATGTATTTGGAATCGACATGAAGGGGGGAGACGTGTTGGTCAAGGTTTACATTTATCCGCAGCTCAAGGCTCTCGCGCAGCAAGTACCCATCTCGGAGCTGATCTTCTCTGCCTTGGGCAAGGTCGACAATGGTAAGTTGGGCGAGAGCGGGTGTCTTTCTGTCATGGAGGAGTTCATTGCAGACGAGAGGGTGAATCCGGCGACGACTCCCGTCACCTTCTTGGCCTGTGATCTGCTGGAGCCTAGTAAGGCTCGGGCCAAGGTCTACATCGCGGAGTTCCAGTTCGACTTTGAGACGCTCTCCCGGAACTGGACCCTCGGCGGGAGGTTGACCGACCCAGAGACCATGAAGGGGCTGGAATTGCTTCAGGAACTCTGGACGGCGTTCGATCTTCCCCAGGGTCTGAGGGAGCCCCCCAAACCGGGTGACTCGCCGGCTCGGCTGCCGTTCTTGTATAACTTTGAGATGCAGTCGGGGAGGAAGTACCCGAAGTCGAAGATTTACTTCCCCCTGGCGGATGTGAATGACCGCGACATTGCGAATGTGTTGGCTGCGTTCTTTGAGAAGCATGGATGTGCGGGATTGGCGAAGTCCTATACCGAGAATCTGTTGCAGTATTTGTAAGTGCACTTTCATCCTTTCTGGTATAGGATATGCTAACCGGTATAGCCCTGGTGTTGATATCTCCGAGTGTGTTACGTTGCATGCATGGTTGTCGTTCTCGTACTCGGAGAAAACTGGTCCGTATATGACGGTTTACTACCAGTGGCCGGACAGCTTCAACCAGTCTCATTTGACTGCGGGTAGTTCCTAGTGTGTGGTCTTCATGAGTCCTGCGCTTAGAATGTGGTCTTGTTGGCTCTTTCGGCCTGAACTCACTACGGAGGGGTATTCCGGGGGTATGAATGTATGAACCTAGGGCCGATGACTCGCAATCCCCAATTTTTGTAGTATTGTCGTCATTCTTAACGCCTTACTTCTGGATCAGTATCTCATCCCTTCAATTCGAGCACACCTTGACACAAGTATGCCTCCCTTATTTGCTAAACTTTGGCATCTATCACACAAGCAATCTCCATCTAAAACAATGTTCTTTATATTCAAACATAGTCTATTTTATAGCAGCAACCTGTTCAAATCATGGGATTCATATCTACACAACCTTCTCTCAGGATTTAATCACTACTGATCCACGTCTTATAACCAACCATAGTGGTGATCTCAACATCACCACCTTCCTCCACCCTTTCAGCCAACAGAAATGTACTCACTAGAACCAATTCTAGACAGATCCAGGCATCAATCTTGAATCCAGGATAGGTATACAGTAAGATCCAATAAAAAAAAAAAAAAAAAAAACAGATGCGAGAAGTCTCAATGGTCAAGGATCCCTCGTTTCGGGGTAAACTTGACGGCTCTCGGAATGAACCTACTACAAGTGGCCATCGGAATACCTTCAGTCCGATTGAACGCCGACACACACTTGGAAACCTTCCATTTGATAATGTCAATCGATGGTTCTATAGTGCTTGTTTTGAAGGAATGGGTACCTTGGACACGTTTGAAGAGTTTGAAGAGGGATACGAATATACGAATCCAAGCCCGTCGGAGTAAGTCAAACGTCCAACGCCGAGATCCAGGCAACATGATTCAGTTATCTGTTCGGAGTTTATAAATGCCCACTGAGTTCATCAATTGATAGGCGAGATGAACAAATGGCAGGGATTAATTCCTAGGTAGTGACGTGATAGGGCAAAGAAGAGTCACGTTAGATAAGCAACTAGTTCCCTGGCTGTGTTGAGCATCTCTATTCTTGGTGCGCGTCAGGATAATCCATACATCCTTAGACTATCTGTGATGGTCTCTGGTATCACTCTGATTCAAGATGCCGACTCTAGAGCCCGCAACCGAACGCACGCCGCTGCTCTCCATCAGCTCCAGCTCAGATGATGCGGCGCACCACGAAGGGGCCATGTCGCCGCCTCCCGATGGTACGAGAAGAATCGCAGATTCACTTCCCCTGTCAGTATGGCTCGTTGCGACCATCGAGCTGTGTGAAAGACTTGCCTTCTTCGGGACCATCGGGCCAATGCAGAATTACCTCCAGTACGCGAGAGATGACCCTCTGCGTCCTGGTGGAATCGGTACGTGCTAATCAAACATATCTATCTATAGCTCTGTCTGACGTGACTAGGACTGGGCCAAGCGTATGCCACGATGGTGAACCAGGGCTTCTTGCTATGGTGTTACATTACCCCAGTGATGGGCGCTATTGTTGCAGAACAGTACCTCGGGCGAGTGAAGACCATCATCCACTCTTCTGCGCTCTACATCTGCGGCTTGATGGTGCTCTTCCTGTCCTCGTTGTCAATTGCCCATGACTTAGGCGTGTCGCTGGCAGGTCTGCTAGTGGCCCTGTTCTTTATCGGCCTCGGGGCCGGCGGCATCAAGGCGAATGTCAGTTCACTCATCGCAGAGCAATATACAGGTCCCAAGGAAGCCAAACGCGTCCTGGAATCAGGGGAAGAGGTTATCGTCGACAGGGCTCTGACAATCGAAAGGTACGTGACACACCACCAATAACCCCGACCCAAAGTCAACCCTAACACTGCAACAAGGATATTCTCGACATTCTATCTATTCACCAACATAGGCTCCTTGGGCCCCCTCCTCACAACAACAATCGAGCAGAAGCACGGCTTCAGCGCCGCATTCAGTCTCCCAGTGCTAGTCTTCCTGATCGGCTTCACAGTCATCCTATCCAGCAAAGACCAATACGTCAGCAGACCCCCGGAAAGCTCCATCGTCTTCAACGCATGTCGAGCATTCTGGATCGCCATCAAACACAAAGGAAACCTCGACTACGCAAGACCCAGCTACCTCGCAGAAGCAGCATCATCAGACTTAGCAACCCACGCAAACCCCCTCCCCTGGACCGACACCTTCATCTCCGACCTCCGCCGCGCCCTCTCCTCCTGCAAGATCTTCCTCCTGTACCCGATCTACTGGGCCGCGTACACGCAATTCCTCACCAACTTCATCTCCCAAGCCGCGACCATGCAAACCCACGGCATCCCGAACGACATCATGCCGAACATCGACACCATCGCAGTCCTCGCCCTCCTGCCCCTCGTCGACCGCGTCGTGATCCCCCTCCTACGCCGCCAGGGCATCCCAGCGCGCCACGTACATAGAATCGCCGCCGGCTTCATCCTCATCGGCACGTCCATGTTCTACGCCGCCTTCGTCCAGCGCGTCATCTACGCCGCGCCGCCCTGCTACGACCGGCCCCGGGCGCCCGACTGTCTCGGCGGAAGGGTCCCGAACCAGGTCTCCGTCTTTGTCCAGGCCCCTGCGTACATCCTCGTCGCTGGCTCGGAGATCCTAGCTGCCGTCGCCGGGATCGAGTATGCGTATACGCAGGCGCCGACGTCGATGAAGTCGTTGGTTATGGCGGTTTATTTGGCGGCGACGTCCGCGGGGGCGCTTTTGGCGATGACGGTGACGTTCTTGACGGTTGATCCGTTGGTGCCGTGGTTGTATGTTACGCTGGGGTTGGAGAATTTTTTGGCGGGGGGTGTGCTTGGGTTTTTTGTGGGTGAGTGTCGTTAGGTTGGGTTGTAGATTGATATATTGTGGGGATATATCATGTATTAGAGCTTGGTGGATGGGGAGAATCTGGTTTGGCTTTTTTTGTGTCTTTGGTGTGATAGCATGGTTTACTAGTTTGTAGCATGACAGCTAGATATCCATATGTCAGGGTGTTCTGTACGCATATACACCCACGTCGGAGATCGAGTTGAAAACTGCTCTAGTGAGAACCCCAATATTTTCTTGACTAATTCAGTAGTAGCCAGGTATAATAATATATCCGAAAATCTAAGTGATAAACCAATCAAAGGCTTATGACAAAACCAAATTATCAAAGATGACTCTAGACATGCAATATCTAGTCTTAACCATGACGCCAATTTTCAGAGACACTGGAAAAAAAAAATTATAAGTATGAGAAAAGAACCATCATGTAGAATGGAAAGACAGTTAAGCAGCGACGTCTCCGTTGCCGGTCTTCTCGGTGGCGCCATTCTGCAGGTCGAGCTTCTCGTTGACCTCGGCGGCGAGAGCATCGTCCGACTTCTGCTCCTCCGAGGCGGAGGTCGACGCAGCTGCTTGCGCTACCGGCACAGGAACGCTGCTCTTGCGGCTCTCGCCGTTCACCTTACCCAGCACCTCGACATGGTCCCCCTTGAACAGGACAGGGCCCTTGATGAAACTGGGCTTGCTCTCTCCTTCGGCGGGAGGAGTCTCCAGCCCGCCCACAAGCTTCCGGGCCTCGTCGTCAAGGTTGGGCATGTCGCCCCATTGCCAGTCTAGCTGGCCGCCGTACTGCTTAGGGATAGTGGTCGGGTCCATGAAAGAACTAAGGGTAGGCAGGACCTCGGCGGAGGAGAGGATGAAGATCTTAGAGGTAGTGACGGGGTCAAACCAGCGCTTAATCCAGCCCCAGACGGTTGGGAAGAAGGAAGGAGCTCCGATGATCTTTGCTGGTTAGTACGACTCCATAAACCAAATACGCCGCTGGGAGGGGCTCACGAAAATGCGGTCCAGGGTCTCCGGGTAATGCGCCGTAGCCAGAACGCTCGCGTCCTGCATGTGACCCTTCAAGTTCCAGAACTGCTTCAAACCAACACCGCTGACATCGACAATGTTGTTCGAACTCACAATGGGCGTATCGGGATGCGGGCGGGACAACTGGGAGCACAAGGGCATGACAAAACGGAGGAGGTTCTCGTAGAGGGCAAAGAGACGCAAGAGACGCTGCGGCACCGTGGAGGACTTGTGCGTTTCCGCCGTCGCAGAGGGATCGGTCATGGTGGAGTTATAAGCGGCCATGTTCTTGCTGTTCAGGTGCCGGATCTCGAACACGTAAACGGGGATACCGCGGCGGTCCCGACGACCTGTCCATTGAGGGTACTGTGTCGCATTAGCCATGCAACTCCATCGCACAAGATAAGATCAACCTACCATCCTCCTCGCGGCGTCATACGACTCCACATCGATATTCTCGTACAGAGACTCGATGGCATTCTCCTTGCGCCAGTCCTCGGTGTCCTTGAATTGGCCCCAAGCACCATTCACGTCGAATTTGCGGGCGCGCAGGAACCGCCTAAAAATGCCCCGTCAGTGCCATACACCCCCGCAAGACCCAGCCAAGACCAACAACATACAGCATTGTCGCATCGTCATGGCTCGCCTCCTCCGTGTCACTCGCGGATTTGTAGTATCCATTTTCTTCGCATAGTTTCTTAAACTCCTGCAGCTTCTTCTCCTGATCCTCGGTGAGATGGTTCAAATGTCCGACCAGCCATCCGGTCCCCGCGGCCTGAGACGCCGACGCAACGGGGTCGTTCTTGGGATCGCTTTCTAGCGCGGCATTGTCGCTCTCCTGGCTGGATTTCGACCCCCACAAAGGCATCTTGTTCGCTTTAAATATTTGTGCGAGTCTTGGGAAGTTAAAAAACTGTTTCGGATCGTTCGGATGAACGAGGGATTAATTGATTGATTAATTGGCGCACGGGGCAGAAAGATCGTCGTCTAGCACGGCCGATTTCTGGTCCTTTCGCTCGGGGTGCGGAACTCGATCGGAGTCTTTTCAAGTCCCGGACGATAGTCAGGAGAAGGAGGTGAAGAGATTGGGGTGCAAAGCACTACGCGATGACAAACAGAACTGGTGACTTGGACTGTAACAATGAATGAACTTTTGGACTGCAGTCGGGGTCGGGCATTAGTGAACTTTTAGTTCCGCTTATGTCAGAAATTCATGCATAAACCCCTGCATCCCGCGGATGGCAATTCCATGGGGTAAATCCCCACCCAACTTTTGGTATTCATTCATATTCAAAACCCGGTCAACTATGCTATAGGATAACATGACCAAAAGTAAAAGGAAGAACATAATACACAGCTCATTTCCTGTGAGTCATTGTAGATTACCTGCAAATATTTATACACAAAAATTCCCTTCCTGCATCACCTCCAGAACTCAATGTCCCAGTAAAGCGTTTTAGTCCTCGGTGAGGTCGCCGTACTCCCACATACCGCGTCTCTCCTGCTTGGCCTCTTCCTCCTGGCTACGCAGGTGGGTCAGCGTGTCCGCGGCAGAACGTTCCCAGGCCTTCAGCTTTCTGGGCACCATGGCGAGACCCTCCCGCACGAGGTCAGCGTTGATGCTGTGGTCCAAGTTCTTGGACTCGGTGGGGTCCATCAAAGTAACGTGCAGGGTGCCCTCGGGAGAAACGTAGTCAACGTTGGCCACAAGCTCCCGGTTGTAGAGCTGCTCTTCCAGGAACTCGGCAGCATCCTGCAGGTAGTCACCCGAACCGGGGAGCTGAGCCATGGAGAGAACCGCGTCCACGGCCTGGGGACGGAGTTTCTGCACGGAGAACTGAGGCTGGCTCAAGGCCCTGAGGCGAGACCAGGGAAGAACCTCGGAATTACCGAAGTCGATGTAGAGCACCTCGGCCTGCTGTTTCTCACGGTCATTGCGACGCACCTTGGCGCGATACCATTCATTATCCTCAGTGAACTTGGCGGCAACAAAATCACCGGCCTTGGGAGGGCTAGGCAAGGGTGTCTCGTTTGCCTTGTTCAGGTGGAAGGAGCGGAATGCATTCATCAACTCAGTGAGCGCGGAGGTGCCGGTGCCAATCTGCTGGATCTTCAGGCGACCGTTGGTGGGGTCAACGTAAGTAACCATCACATCACGGTAATCCTTGCGGCGCTGAGGAGCCTCATCAGCGGTGTTGTTATCAGTGGTTTCCTCCTCTTGCTCCTCAACATCCTTGCTAGGATCCCAGTCATGCCAAAGTCCCTTGCGGGCTTCCTTGGCCCTCTGCTCCGCTGCGAAGTACTCTGTGGCATGTCCGGACTGCTCTGCAGAGTAGGCATGAACAGTGGCAAACCCTTCCTCGAGAAGGACCTTGGTGAAGTTCTCCTTGTTGACGTACAGAGTGCCGATGAAGCCACCAACCTTGTCGATGGTCTCGACGTCGATTTCAACATCACGCTGCATGCAACGCCTGTTTGCCAGGTCATGTGCTTCCTGTCCAAAAGGTTCAGACGCTTCATTGGGGTTACGGGCCGATCGTGGCGCGCGGATACCCGAGAGGACGAGGGTTAGCTTGGCGTTCTCACGAGGCACCAGAACGGTGAAACGAGAGCCCGACTTGACAAAGTCCACGATAGCCGGCACGCGCTTTTGCCGCTGGAGGATGGAAACTTCCATCTTGGCCTTCTGGACGCTCTCCGAGTAGTCCTGGTACTGTTTCGTCTTGGGTGGCTTTGGGGACCACATTCCCTTACCGTCCTTCTGAGCATCAGCCTCAGCGATCAGTAAAGAATCATAGTCGGGGGAGCGGTCGTCATCATCTTGACGGTGACGGATGACAGAAGCGTATCCGGCCTCGACAAGAGCCAAAGCAATGTTGGTATTTCCCTGGATGACCGTGGCAACGTCCCTTTCTTCGTATCCCTCGGTAGCAGGCTTCTTGCCGTTGATGGTCACCTTAACATGCTTTCCGATGAGCCTCTTACGAGCAAACTCCTTCGCATCGGCCGCGAAGGGTGCCTGCTTGGGATCCGATGGCTTCGGCTGGCGAACACTGCTCAAGCTGATCTTCTTTTCCTGGCCAGACTTGTTTCTAAGGAACAGAGTATCGGCATTCAGCACACGGCTAACAATGTAGTCCTCGGCGGCCCCGCCAGCAGGACCCTTTGCGACCAGACCAGTAAACAGACCCTTCTGAGCATCCTTGGCGGCCTTCTCCGCACGGCGGAAATTAGCCATATCAGCACCAAGAAGGGGAGCGTGCAGATCGTGGCAACGGGCCAAGCCCTCTTCCAGAAGGAACTTCGCAATGTTACCATTGGGATGGAGAACGGTTGCGATCAATTGACCCTGAGGCGTGACACCCCGCAAGGACACTTGGACCTTACGCTGCTGCAACCGGGACTCGACGAACTGGTGTGCGTCATCTCCGAACGGCTCAGCAGGCTGCTCCTTACCCTCGGCGTTCACCCGTCGGGCAGCTGGCGCCCGGACACCGGCGACTGCAACCACAACCTGCAGGTGCTCCTGGGGAGTAAGAAGCAGGCGAAGGACCAGCCTATCCCCGTTCAAGACTCTCTCGACGATAGCCTCCAGGGGCTTGTTTTTATATTCCTCGACGAGGGCCTTTCCATCGGAAAGTTCATAGGTGGTCTCCGTGTGGCCCTTGTCTGCTCCGGCCCAGACACCCTTCTCCTCAGACTGAGCGTGCTCCTCTAGAGCGCGCAAACGCTGTAACAAGGCGGCGGTCTCTTCGGACTCGTCGGCGCGTTTACCGGCTTCCTCGCGGACGCGGACCCATCCTTCCTGGACGCTAATGTCGGGCAACAAGACTTCAAAAGTAGGGAGCTTGATTGTACCGTAATCGCGTTTGGCACCGGTAGGGATGGTATATAAGACGTTAAATTGGACGACCTTTCCTACGAGCAGCTCACGAAGGAATTCACGGGATTGGAAAGCATAGGACTGTAGAGAACAAGAGTTAGCGAAATCTCCCTGAAAACCTTCCCATAGATACCCTGGTAGCAATGGGGAAAGAAAGCAAAAGAGTGAAGGATGGCTATCAGTGCAGTAGAAGTGGCATGTTTGTCAAAATTGGAGCTCGGCACTCGGAGATAGAGGCCACCTATCCTGACCCCAAACAAACGGAGGGAGCAGCAATTGGGGAAACACCACAAAGGAAAACCTGCTCACCTCATCGCCTTCTCTGCGCAACCTGGGCGCTGAAACATATGCCAAGCTCAAGGTACGTTCCTGTCCTGGATTGGTGATATGCGACAGCACGACGGTGTCGCCGGACAGGACAGATTTCACGCGGGCTTCCAGAGGCATACTGGCAAGCAACCAATGATAAGACAAAATAAAAGATCGACGGCACTGGAGGGAACCAGTGTGGGGAGACAATCAATCCTGGTTTTAAGAGAAAAAAAAATAAATAAAAAATAAAAGCCGGGGGAAAGAATGAACAGAGAAACAGCAATCACAGTAGGACTGGACTGCCAAAGAATAGGTTTATTGATAGGGGGGAAAGGCGTTTGGGGTAGGCAGAGAAATGAAATGTGGTTCGAAGGGGAGCTTCCAGACTAGTCCCGGCGGACACCTGACTTGCGCTGGGATTTGTGGGGGGAAGAAAACAGTCTGGCCAAAGGGAGATTGTCCTCATTTCAACCACCTGAACACTAGTCCTATTCGAGGCAAATCTACTGGTGCAAGGAATCAATTATCTAAAGAATATCGAATGAAAATTCAACTCGTGTCATCATTCCTATACAATTTCTAGAATTGAATTCGCCGGGACCAGAACCTCCTATCAGTCCTCCAGGAACCGCATAGAAGATCCGTCCAGATCAACTTTTGAGCATCGCCCAGATACCTCCCAGTTTGACTTGCAGACTGTTCTAATTCTGATCCAGCACTTCACATCCTAGATTGGACTAGAACTATGTGTTTAAGCAGCAATGCCAATGACACCTAGACACCATTAATATACAATTCTGCGTTAGGTCTCATAAAGTGAGCCAGTCACTTACCGCAAGCGGGACGAGCACCAGCATTGCCAGTCTTCTTGGAGTCCTCGTGGCCACCACGGCCGAGGTCGTCAGTACCGGCGTGGATGACGAGAGTACGCTACGATGATTAGCCTGTTGCACTTGCGCCGTCGACCTTCGAGATGAACTTACGCCAAGGACGCTCTCGGCACCGATCAGCTTGATAAGCTTGTCCTGCTTGGAGCCGACGGCGTTACCCTCAGCATCGGTCTTGAAGTTACCCAAGTCACCGACGTGGCGGTTCTCATCCTCGGGAGCACCGTGCTCCTTGCTGAAGGGGTTGACTAAATGACGGTCGTCAGCCTGTGACACGCATGCTTAGGAAAAGGCAGCCGGGAAGCCAGGAACATACAGTGAGGGCCAGCGGAGGTGCAGCCGTTGGTGTTGTCACCGAACTGGTGGACATGGAAGGCACGCTCAGCGTTGGCGTCGTGGCCGGTGATGTTCCAGGAGACGGTGGTAAGGGAGTTCGCGTCCGCCTGCTCGAAGGTGACGGTGCCGGAGATCTTGGAGTCTCCGCGGAGAACAGCAACTAGAGCCGTCAGTCCTCATTCTCGTTTCGGAGCTAGCAGCGCCAAAGAAAAAGCGACTCCTCCAAATCGGAAAGATTCCAGATCCGATGGGGTAGTCGATCAATGGAAACGATCCATCGTCTAAGCTCTTACGCATGGGGTGAAGCTTGTCCACCACTCGATCCAGCCGACCAGTCTGGAACGGGTAAAACCATAACAGAGCGAGGGACCATGACACATGAGCACCTTGGGGTTGAGATCTCGATCTAAATCTGCAAATCCCAAGCAGGACCTGGGATGCGGCCCAGTGATAGGCTGGGAAGCTCACGCAAGGCGAGGGGGTTTGCTTCACAAGGTGCTCAAATCTGCTCACTCAAGGTCCCCGGCCACGGTCGATCGTGGATCCTTCACACACAGAGCCAATAACATAGCAAACAACACAGATAAAGATGACGGGTACCTACCAGCCTTGACCATTTTGACGGTTGAGAATTAATTTAAATTCTTGGGGGAAAAATAAAGGTGAAGGGAAGATAGATTGATACACGGATGAAGATGGAAGGGAGAAAGAAGAGGAGAAAAGAGAGCGAAGGGGGTGGGATGAGGGGTAACTAATAATATGACGGAATTCCATCCTGACTGACTAGCTTCAAGCAGTACTACTACTCGGGCCAGTTATTCGATGAGCTTCCAGTGCTGTTCGTCCCTCCTTGGTATTGATGTTACCGCCTCCAGTACGAAAAATCGGCGGGAAACCCAAGAAAATGCACCCCCACTTGGCGGGGTCGTTTCGGGAATGACGTCCTGGTGGTGTATTTGCACGAAATGAAAATCCGAGTCAACCTCCCTCTTCCGGCGATTCCTAAGCACCGCTGGTCCAGATCTCCAGCCATGTCCGTTCACTTTGTACTCTGTCCTATGTAGTAGTCAATAGCGGTGGCTCTACTTTGTTCCGGTTTCCCCATCCGAAAGTTGACCCCACCATGCAGGGAGAGGGGTGCTACAGTCTACTAATGCAGACCAGCTGTCCAGTCCCCAGGCGAGCTACGGTTCATGCAGTTTTCCGGCTGCAAACGTCAGGGCGTATTCTGTTCGTAGCAACCGACGATACAATGTCCCTCAGCGTTAAAACAAAGTTGGTTCCATTTGTGCCTCGGCTAGACCCTGCCTTCAAGCACGCAATGGAGCTTGACAACTGCCCGTTTCCACTTCCGGTCCGATAGCTCAAGATCGACAAGTCCCGTCTCCATGCTGGTGGCTTGTAGCTTGTTGCTATCCTACCACTGGGTCTCCAATTACAATCCTGATCAAACAAGCTTATCTAGCCCGCAAGATGCAGCCACACGTGGGAAGAAAAGTGAAAGATAACTCATTCATGATTCGTATCTACTAAACCAATTTTGTAGGTCGCCAATTTTTACATGAAGACATTGCATGGACATAACGTTAATTAATGCAAGTGACAGTCTCCCTTTAGGCCTGGATCTTCTGCTTGAGGATGTCCTTCAGGGTCACGGCGTCGGCAGCGAACTTAGAGATACCCTCACGCAGCTTCTCGACGGCCATAGCCTCCTCGTTGAAGTCGAAGCGGAACTGAGCCTCGTCGTTGATGTAGGTCTTCTTGGGGATGTCAAGGCCGGCGGCGCTGGCGGCGTCGAGCTTCTTGGGGACAGCGGCGGTAGAGTTGTAGAGATCCTCGAGGAGGTTGGGCTACACGCGTCCGTTAGTACTGTGATTTTTCAAGTCATAGCAAATGGCGCTCAAAACTTACGGAGATGGTCAAGTAGTCACAGCCAGCAAGCTCGGTGATTTCACCAGTGTTACGGAAGGAAGCACCCATGACAATGGTGTTGTGGCCGTGCTTCTTGTAGTAGTTGAAGATGCTCTGAACAGACTTGACACCGGGGTCCTCCTCAGGAGCGAAGTCACGCTTGTGGGCAGCCTTGTACCAGTCAAGGATACGGCCCACGAAGGGAGAGATGAGGTAAGCATTGGCCTCGGCAGCAGCGATGGCCTGGACGGTGGAGAACATGAGGGTCAGGTTGCAGTTGATGCCGTGGTCACGCTGGAGGACCTCAGCGGCCTTGATACCCTCCCAGGTGGAGGCAATCTTGATCAGGATACGGTCCTTGGGAATACCAATCTCCTCGTAGAGCTACGTATAATGTTAGCTACGCGCGTACTACAACCATAGTACATCTGACTATGCCATACCTTGATGATGTGAAGGGCCTTGTCGATGGAGGCCTGTTTGTCGAAAGAGAAGCGAGCATCAACCTCGGTGGAGACCTTTCCGGGGATGATTTCAAGGATCTTCTTGCCGAACTCAACCAGGAGACGGTCAAGGGTGGCGTCGACCTGCTGGTCGACGGTGCTGCCCTATGTAAACTGTTAGGCCGCTGGTCTCATATGGAAAATAATTCAAACGGAAGCTCGAGGGTGACGTACGTGCTTCTTGCCGTACTGAACGGCGGAGTCGATAAGTTCAGCGTACTCGGGCTTCTTGGAAGCAGCCAGGATCAAAGAGGGGTTGGTGGTGGCATCCTGGGGCTTGTACTTGCCGATGGCTACATTTCCGTTAGATTATGACCAGATGGGGGATATGGAAAGACTGGGATGGACATACTGGCAAAGTCGCCTAGAAGAACCAATTGTTAACTTGGATTGAATCACTTATAATGACGGTGAAATCCCAGTGACTGAGAGACTTACCAGAGTCGCAGACGACGACCTAAGCAAGAGAGTTAGCAACAGAGTTTGGGAGGCAATACAGATGGCACCAGGGGTAAATGAATGCTTACAGTGCCGGTGGCCTTGAGCTGCTCAAGAGAAGAAGACATTGTGAAAGCTGGAGTGGTATCACGAACAACGGGGGGGTATAATCAGAAGATGGGAAGATTGGAAAGCAAAGTATGAAGGAGGAAGAATCGATGTCCAGGAAGAAATGCCGGAGTAGAAATAAAACGGGCGGACGTGCGATCGCAGAAAGACGCAGAAGCATCGGAGGGGAGCAAACCAGTGGTTTTCTGACTATGGGAGGTGGGATGGTGGGGCAACGATGACGCTATGCCCGGTCGGAACCCATGGCCTCAGGCAGTGAGGCCGTACTGTCACCGGTACGATACGTACAGTACATGCATAAATGACATAGTGACAGCGAAACTTAGTAGGTACTACTACTGAACTGCTCTCTCTACAAACCCTCCATTGGAACTCCCATGAGAGAAGCGAAATCAGCTTTTGGTTTCTATACTTGCTTCTCACATCAAATCTTGCAACCATCCACAACGGCTATTGTAACCCCCTTCAACAATCCCCTGAACAGAAGCCGGTTCAGTCGGCGCAGTGTGCTCCGGCAACGCATGGCCATCGGAGTATAGCGGTCCACCTGGTATCCCGCCAAACAAAACCCCGCTCAATGGAGGTCCCTCCCCTTTCACCGAAGACACTACGGAGGAGTAGTTCGTACCTAGTGACTCCGTATTATCAATGGTAACTAAGGATTTGGTGAGCAGCTGACAAAGGAATTAATCAGAACAAGGAACATCATCGCAAACATTCATTCTACTCGACATATTCTATCTCGTAGTGAACGATTTCCTCAAATGCTACATCTCATAAAGGGAATAAAAATATGACCAGATCCTGGCAGAAAAGCAAAAAGATGCAATATATTAATTGATATCAATCGCGGTTAATACTGAACAAGGAAGGACAAAGCGCTACAGATTTATCCGGCGATCGTGGCATAAATTGACCCTTCCCCAGGATATGACAAAATTAGTACTCGGTAGTACCTGCATGGGAAAGCAATCCACATTCTATGTTTCCCAAAATGTCCTGTATTCAATGCTTCTCGGCCATCCCGTCTCGTTCCTGTACCCGACCCAGAAATGTACTGCAGTAGAATTGCAAGCCATGAAGAGCACCACCGCAATGTATGCCATTTAGGAATGGTGTACGGAGTAGAGTCTAGACAATTAAATAGCCACTAAACCTATACTACAAAAGCTCAATGCAGAGCTATAACACCTCAGCCTCGATTCATCAGCCAGCCACATGTCGGGAGGATATATAGATATAGATACACATACATACTATGTTTAATGGACCTCTCAACTAAAAAGATACCAGGGGTAAAAGTTATAGTTTTTCCAAGTTCCAACACATCACCAGATCTATGTATAGCCTAGACCAGACCAGTCTGGGGTAAGATGTGGCCCCCATTGTGGCAATCTCTGCTATCGAAGTGGAGTCTGCCGGAACCAGTTAGATGTGTGTGTATGTGTGGTTGTCGCTACTTTAGAGTATACAGACGAAGAAACACAGAGAGGGTAAGCTTACTATCGAAACCAAATTGCGAAATCATGATAGACGATATGTCATCTGTAGGTGTTGGCTTTTCATTACCTAGAGTGTATAGAATACCATAAGACCCAACCGTCCCACCGGAAACTTTTGGCTTTCCCTTTCGGGATAATTTAACCGCCGCCATCTATATTTTGTAAACCAGTATATAATCATTCGTCATGTCCCACGCCACAAATATACAAAGCCGCAAAGAAGAAAAGAAAGAAAAATGGAGTATGGCTGGAAGACACAACCAGGAAAGGAAATAATAAGAAAGGAAAATGGGCAGAATGGAAAAGAGGGAGTACGCTATATCCGACTACCCCAACCGTGAGTTTATACGGGCCGTTTGGGAGGTAGTGTAATCGAGCACTGGATATCCTTCTAACGACGCTGGACACAGCTCCATTCATACTATTATTTGGGTGAGCTTCTGTCAATATGTGTTGGGCCGAACCGCACTTACCACTTTCCCTGCTTCATCTCCAGTGTAGACCACATGTGGCAGCGTAAGAATACAGCTAATACCGGAGGAGATATTAGCACCATTGTCACGACTGCTGTCGGTATGATGAAGTTGTCGAATTAATTCAAACTCGAAACGTCCATTGTGAACGATTTTATTCCATATCTAGAGCATGGTTAACCTCCAGTTAAAAACGAACAGGCCACGAGGCCAGGATTTCTGAGAGGGCACATACATTGACGACACCTCGCCGGTGACCAGTGAAGAGAAGCTCTCGCTCCTGCCACTCATTGTTGATGCCCTCGTAGAAGACACAGGACATCACTTGATCATCGTCTGACTCGCACACAGCCTGGTCTAGCAATAGTGCTCCATTGAGTGTGTAGAGGCTGATACGACTTCCCCGACAGACTGCGATATCCCCTGTCACATCGTTGATTCTCGCACACTAGGATAGGTCAGCAACTGGGGGCCAGGTAGTTATGATATGTAAATTATAGCTCACATCTACATGTCCTTTGGCTGGAAGCTCGCGAACGAAGGTTTGGCGGTTGAGATCCCAAAGCATGATTTGACCATCAGTAGACGCAGAAAGAAGAACACTAAATGACCGCGACACTGCTAAGACCGTGACAGGCGAGCGATGTCCGAAGAGAGATCCTGCAGGTTGCAAATCTACAGACTTTGCTGTGGAGGTGAAGGTCCATGTCGAGACGGTACAATCTGCTCCTGAGGTGACTAGCGTACGAGAATCTGCAAATACTGCAGCTGATAGCTGGCCAATATGAAGATGTTCGAAGTGTCCAAGAAGCTGTAGTCTTTAGTATTCTATACAGAAAAAGGTAAGAAGAAAAGAAAATAGTGACTGTGACGTACCTTTCGACTATCCGCGGAATAGAATCTCACGCTACCATCGAAGAAGCCCCATTCCATATACTTATCATAAGCCGGTGGGATATTTAACCTGAGAGCTGCAGCACACAACAATCGATCCTGCTTCATTGAAAGCGAAGATACCCGTTCACCGATGTCTTGATTCCTATGTTAGCAAGCAAGGAAGGGGGGAAATGGTAGTCAACAACGTACCTAGAAGTGAAAGTGGCTGCTGTGTAAGAGACTCAGCGAGGCGATCCAGTCGTGCGACCTTGTGTCGTACATCCTCCCTCTGAGAGTGAGGGCGATTGAAGATCTGGTATGGTGTCTGCCCAAAGTTGTGAATGATGCCAATTGTAGCTAGTCGTTCCACAGGGTCGTCGATAGCATCAACATCTTTGGCCCCTTGGTATGACAGGTGATGGAAAACATTGACCGCTTCAATGGCGGCCTCGCCTTTCTGTTTGCAACCAAATACCAAGTCAATCCAATGGTGCAGATTCTGAGTCACATAAGGGCTTTCCAACGCTTCACGATGTTTTTGGATAAAGATTTTTGGATCGCCCTTGGCCCATGGTGGCAATTCCACAGAATCAATCGCAGTAGTCATGTTCTGTAGGACTCCAAAATCAAATTTATTGGAATTGACGAGGAATTCAGGGAGGTAGAAAAATTCGGGTATAAGCTCTCTCACGTCCGACATGTTCCCGCGTGAAGCGGATTCCCAAGCCTTTCCAATAGAGTAGAAAAGACGGTCAGCATGATCGAATGTGCCACCCTGAAGTAAGAGGTATGACTTTACAAACGGCTGAAGACGGATTAAATATGAGCTGACAATCATTGCTGAAGAATAGTGAGTTCCGTAATGAAATGGAGGAGAATCGCCCGCCCCCATCTCTGCGAAAGCTTTGTATCGTTCTCTGAACTCGCCCTCTCGCTCAGGAGTTTGACAACCCATAGGCTTCGATAGGTCACGGAAGGTTTGTGGGTTAGTCAAATCCAGCTCCTCGCTTGTATAATCAGCAAGCACCCAAGGGAAAACAGGGTACTGGGTCAGATCGTTAAATGTCCTTCCAGCGAGGGTGTTGATAAGCATGAGATAATGAAAGTTAGAAATTTCACCCTTCACCCACTTCCGGGTTGCAGGATGCGCCGGTGAATGACCAAAGACACTAGCAAATCTTGACCCAAGAGACTGAGGTGCATCTTCCGGGCTCCGAAGGGTTTCGAATCTCCAGACATCTTCCGGTCGCGAGTGGCCAACGCTCCCTGTCACTTGCGGCGCCTTAGTTGCAAGTTGGCTGCAAAGGTTATCCCGAGCGGGCGACGAGATGAGGGTCAGCAAATAGCTAGTTCCGTCAGTAAAGAATATTTCGAGGGCCACATCACGAAAAAGAAACCGCCTCTTGGAGACGCTGATCAGGTCCGACCACTTCCAACTTCTAGTTTCATGCTCCTGTGATTTACGTTCATTGGATTCCCGGCCAGTGATCATGCGAACATAAGGGTCTCGTTCCTCTGTAGGAGCTTGCCAGACATTGACAATCTCGCCATCTGACCTCTGGAAAAAGTTATCTAGAATGTAGATGTGGTCTTTCCCAAGGATTAAAAGGCCTTCACATGCCTCCAATCCGACAATGCGAGACATGTTGCATACGCTATCGACTTGGTCACCACGGTGAAGGCTTCTCATGACCTTTCTGTTCTTGTCTTCGTATTCTTCAAGATCAGCCTTCGGGTCGTCAATCATCTCGAAGCTTTCTTCAAATACGCTCCTACTGTCGGGACCAATACCCTGAGGATTGCCCTCCGAGTGGTCGGCAGCCATGGCAGTGGGAGTCAGACCCAGAGAGTCACCGTTTGAAGATGTGACATTTGTGTCTAACCTCATCGCCGGAGGCTCTGAAGCCTTCCGTTTCGGTTGATAATCTTGACGATCCCCTGAATCATCCGGTACAGTACGTAGTCGCATACGGCTTCGCCCTTCAGTTTGGTCAAGGCGCCATCTTCGCTCCTTCTGTTCAGCAAAAACACCCCCATAACGTCGCAAGTCCATATTCAGATGCGCCAGTGCCGCCCACATAAATGTGGAACTATCCGCTTGATCCTGTAGTGCTCTTTGATACTTCAGAAACTCTGAGGCTGATATGTTCGATACCCAGTGAGGGAATGTAGCCTCGTGCTTGCGTATCACTTCTTCACCGAGCTTTTCCACCTGGCCCCACTGTTTCAGCTTTTCTTGACGCCTAGAAATTCGACTGCGAGCTGATGACTCTGAACTCGTATTTTCTTCTTGGACAAAAGTTTCCCAAGCTTTTGATAGGATTCCGAAGAACAGAGCGTTCAGATCGTCGTCCTGGTCGTCAACCCATTGCAAAAAGGCAATATCATCCATGCCAACAAGAGCCTCAAATCCACCGGAAAGACGCTGCTGTAAAGGCGGTGTCGCTTGGCTTAGGATGGCGGACATCTCTATCGGCTTTTGCACTAGCATGATTCTAAAAAGACCGGCCGTCGCTAGGCGTACATTTTCATTCCTGTCGATTAATTTCGTGTAGAGAAGATAACACAGTAACTGCAGATGATCGGGCTGAGTTTCCCCAGAAAGCAGTACGACCTGCCAATATGAGAGCCGTTTTAGGAATGAAAGTGCCTCTGTCCCATCAACTTCTGATAGCCCCAATAAAACCACACGAAATACTGTCGAACGAATTGTTGCTATCGCCTGACTGCAAAGCCGTATACTTTTTAGGCGCGAGACCTCAGGTCGTTGCAGATATTCCAAGATTGTTCCTGCGAATTCAAGAGTAGCTGTGGCGCCGTCAACAAACCAACCCTCATAGACTGCTTCCCCTAAATGCGTTGCGAAGCGCCCCAAGTTAGTTAGCACGCGTGGTTCGGACAACAACTCGACCCTTGAGAATATGGCATCCTGGAGTGTAGATAGAAGGCTGCGCAACACCCAGGAGTTGAAGTACGCCTGGTGCTCGGGGAATCCTGGAGGCGTCCTAAGGTAGAGTCCAAGACCAGAGAACTCCTTCCTTTCCAGGAGCTGCTCCGAAAACACAGCAAGGGCTAGATTAAGGATAGCAGTTATCAAAGGATGGCTAGTCGTGCCTTTGCTTTCAATTCTCACATGCGGAAAAGCACGACGTATGCGAAGAGAGGATGGCATATGCTTCCCTCGATCGGAGGTGACTAGGATGAAAGATGAACCACGTCTGAGAGGTCCACCACTATCATCATGGCTCCCAGGCTGTTCGACAGTCGTTGTTCGTAGTTCAGATGTCCTTCGTGATCGTGGGCGAGACACCAAATTATGATCATCAAACGCTAGACTACCCGTATGAGAGCTCAATTCAACATTCGGACTCACGGGATCGGAGCCGATAACAACGGGGAAAAGTATAGAAACTAGGCTTTGAACGTATTCAGGGCGTGCTGCAAATTCACGGTAGCTTTGTGACTTTATCTGCGCTAGAGCAAAAAAATCAACAATAGAGGTTAAAAGCGACAGTTGTGCACCCGTAGTACCGGCAGGTGTAGGAGATGACATGGACGGTTTGGTGATTTGAGCGAGTCGATCCTGGAGAGCATCGGGGTTCTGTTCATTGACCATCGAGAAGTCCTCGGCGAATACTGTTTGCTTCAGTCCAGACTGCAACATGTCGGAGATGACTGGGAGCATCTCAGGATAGACAACCTGGGCTTCCCCATTGAGGCAGAAAAGCTCGGAAAGAGAAAGCTGATCAAATGGTTTATCAACATTGGCCTTGCCAATATCAACACCAAATAGTATAGAAAAGCAGATAGGCCACATTATTGGGATGCTCCACCATTTATTTAGATAGTGTCGCATTATAATATAACCGCCAGTCTTATCGTTGAACTTCTTGCTGTAGCTGGCCCCGTGGATTACTATCAAACGAGCCATGATCTTCGTCGCCAAAATGACAATCTCAGGTTCGTCCTCACACATGAGGTATAAAAGCCACTGCATAATAGTCAACACTCGTTACATGAGGGGCGGTATTCGCTCTACAAACCTTGTTTGTAACAGCTTTAGCAAACCTCTTAATCGGCCCCAGGTCATGTGCATTGCATAGAAGAGAGCAATACATCCTAAGCATCTCTATCGCTATCGTAGTGCTTGAAACGTACTTCTTATCGGGATTGGGCGTGGGCTGCCTTGCAGCAGTAGTGAATCGGAGGCTCTTCTTTTTCTGTAACCTGCTTGGCTCCTTTGGCTTGTGGATACCATAGGTGATGAAGAGTGCTAGGAAACGGAGCAAATCTGCTGACAGGCAGCCCTCCATCAATGATCCAAAGGCCGAAGTAAACAGTCGCAGTCCCTCCATTGTAAATTCCTCACCCTTAAGAGCCTCGAGTAGCTTTTTATTAACACCTATTTTGTATTAGTATAAAAATGTAAACATGCGACGACCAATAAGTCAATATGAAAGGCTTACGCATGCGGGCGAGGCGCTTTGCATTGAACCGACGGAACTTGCTTTCACTGGCGAATATGCAGTATTGGGAATAATACAACTCAATAAGAGACATCTCGCCATATCTCCACACCTCCAGGTCAACGAGCAAGACTCTATATGCTAGTGGGTTCGTGATGATGGAGCGATTCGGTTGGTCAAAATCATAGCCGACAAACTTAAGGGTCAAACGAAGGAGGTCGAATGCCAGTGTAGATCGCTCTTCGTATGTGGAGCAGACGTTGGACGTCTTCGAGCCCGTAGTAGCACCCGTTGCTGGCCATGCCAGCTTTTCGCGCAACAATGCCGCAAGGATTCCATAACCATTCTCCTTTTCCATTGCTTCGCTATTTCGCCAATTGTCTTGTACAGCTTCATACAGCGCTTCGACCGCCAAAAGTGTAGATTCAGCACTCCTGGCCGCATGAACCAAGCTCAAATGAACCGCCGCACAGCCGCCGATGCGCCAACTCGCGTCATCCAAGCTTGCGGTATCGCAACTACAGGGTCCCCCGTTAATATACCGATACCATGGGCCTGGGTTAAAGCATCGTTAATAGCAGGGGTCCCGCCATTGACCGCTACTGCATTTCCTCCAGACTTTGTTAGCTGATGTAGGTTTTTGGCTGCCTGTTTAGAGAGATACTTGAGGAGTCGGGTTTCATCAATATTGTTACTATCATCATCATCTAGAACAGATAGTGGAGAAACATTAACTGCTATGCATTCTTCGCGAATAAGAGTGCTTGCCTTTCGCCGGATAGCAGTGACAATGTCTGATGACTCCTCTTTACCGGGGTGCATATGTTCGTTACGTAGATTCAAGGCCGCGGAAGCTTTATACGTCTGGAAGGAACCTAAGCAGTCTTGAAAGTTCCCGTAGTAACGTGGACCGAGATTGTAAAACACGGCAATCATGTCGTCACTATATGCTTCTTCAAATAAAATTGCATTAGCTAGGGACCATCGCGAGGTAGAGATCCCCTTGCCAAGTCTCATAGCCAGATCTTGTGGAGTCCCGAAAAACGATTGAACTCTAGGCGGCCTATTGGGAGCGCTGGGAACCGGCATGCATGGATAGTCTATCCGCAATTGCTCAACAAATTCACCATCTATGAAGAGAGACGCCCGAGAATATGACGGTGGCCTGGGCTTTTATGGACCACACAGATATGGTACCATCGGCTAGGCTCGAAGGCTATGGACTTGAATCGAACGCTAGGACGAGCTCCCTTGATCGAGGTCTGCAATATAAAGTTGCGAGTATCCTTTTCAAGGTATGCGAGCAGGAAGCAAGTTTGGCTGGCATCAAAGGCTCCAAAGATTGTCGTGTGAGTATTCTTGTCAAACTGGTCAAAGCGGGCCCAGACTGCTAGAGTATAACCAGAAGAAGTTGCAGGTGGGAATGAGCGGCCCATGGTTGATAACTCTAAAGAGCAATAACCATGCAACGATAAATCGAACTGTATTGAAGGAGGTTCCTTGGAGCACTTCAAAACATCAACCAGGAACTGAAGGACCTTGGGGCAATCATGGGCTTGTTGGTATAAAGCAGCCACATCATTCAAGTTACTGATTCCCAGAGCACAGAGCATTTTTGCTAACTCTTGATAGAGTTGTCTCTCGGGTTCCGGGCGTTCCTCGTTGAACAAGAGCGGCAGAATCAGTGTTATAATGCCAGTGGAGTGCAGCATCGTGATATTCCTCTGAGACTGTGCGGCGAGTTGGACTAGACATGCCGGCACGGCTAGTCTCTGGACTCTGTGCTCGGATATGGAGGCAGACGACTGGGTAAGCCATACTCGAACAAATGGGCCCAGGAGCTCTGGCACTTCGACTGTTTCTGATTTTCCTACGCATCGGTCCACTTCTTCTCTAATGCCATCCAAAGATAGCTCCTCGGCAGTTTGGAATTTAGTACTCAGGGTTGTGAATATACTGGCAACTGTCTCCTGGCAAAGGGCCGCTGCTAAGATCGCACCGTAAAATTGCTCCGTATCACCTTGGATGGAGTCTACCTTCCTAGCCAAGATCGTGAAAGCTTCTTCCAATGCCACTTCACCTCCCCCGGCGATCCGGTTCGCAAAGTACCTTTTGTTCCCGACATGCTCCCTCAAGCTCTCGGCCAGAACTGCCAACGCATCTTTGTACACGGATAGCAGATCCTTCCTCTCATCCTTGGATGACGCTTGCGAATCATAACCTTGTGAGATCTTTCGTAGAAGGTCTAGCAGGGTCTGAAACCCATGCAGATGTCGGAAGGTCTCCTTTGCCTCTGTTGGGTGCTTGTTATCGATGAATGTGTGACGAAGGCGAAGCAGGCATTCGGTTGCAGTGGAGGCAATCTGAGACGTTACTATATCCTCCCCGCAGATAACTGTCAATCTATCGAGGACAGGACTTAATTCGGGGGCCGACGGCCGTTGGGTTGACGAGGACGGGGACCGCGAGAGGGCGGAAGTGGACCGGCTCATTGCGCCGCTGAAGCTTATCCCCGACTACCTATCGATGGCCAGTGACCATGAAACACCAGGAACCAGCACTTAGCGTAAGGATGAAGGCGGTCTGCATTGGTATGCGTTATGGTAGCTAGTAGTGACTGCAATCCACACAGGTTCCCAACATGGCACAGCCGTAGTGGGAGGGAGGGGAACGGAAGGGAGAGCTGACGAGTCAGGCGCTCAACAATTGCACTACTCTAGGGATGGGGGCAAGGTCGTTTGTGTCAAATTCGGCATCGGGAATGAGGATTATCCTGGTCAAGATTGGGGTTGTGAGTCGAGAGCGATAATTCCCTCTACACCCTCAGGATAGTTCCTGAATGTGATAGACGGTCTTATGCCAACGTCACTGGAGGCAGTGCCATTAAGCGGGGGCACATCGGAGCATGGGTGCATTTTCCAGCTCTCAGACCTAATGATTATCAGGTGACAAGCCTCCGACCGTCGGCGGTCCATCATTGGTGGAGACAGGTATCGATAAGGGGAGGCATGTCTTATCAACCGCAAAGCCCGACCGCCTGTATTGTACGAAACGGTAATGCATTGATGGTCTGTAGCGGTTTCCGGACGATCGGCTTCTTATCAAAGTCAGGCGAACAACGGAAGATGGGCGTGCTCCCATGGCACGCGACTCGGGTTGCCCGGGAAGATGGTTGGTGGTGGCGACCAGTCGCCAGACGCCATTGACCTAACATGCCAACTCTTTTCGTATCAGGAACCTAAGAAGCAGTATTACTTTGAGGGGGTCGGTCAGGTACTGTACCTGCAGTACCTTGATGACAACAGGATTTTAGGATTTATTTTCACAACTACCATAGGATATTACTACCTATCGGTGAAGGATCACTGTCGGCTTTGTTGAGAGGGATATTTCACCCATATCTGTATGTACATATGTCTGTATAAAGTACGACACGGCGGTTAAACCAAACGAATCAACTGGGGCAGTTACTCCAGAATGGGTACCTTGTTCATCGTTGACTCACCACTCGAGCTATCCTTGGAAGAGCTCCCAAACATACTTGCAGAATACAGGCTGCAGACTCCACTTATTCGCCTCATTTTTCGACACCATTGTGCCTTCGTCCCCCGAGGGCGTTCATCCATGGAACCTGAGCGTTATTTACTGGGGCGACTAATCACTCCGAAAGGTCCCTTTTTGGGGATCCATACCCTCTTACCGCCATACCCCAGGTCTTGCGACCGCGCTAATCGGGAGAGATCGACGCGCGGCACCTCCTCAGTAAAGTTGTGTCATCGTTGTAAATTACCGTATCCCGGTTGCATCATACTCCGCTGCCCTTGCCTGCTTGGGGGATCGACCTATTAAGCCCAGCTATCTTACACCTGCTCCCATCCTCTTCTTCCCCAACTCCTCCTCATCCATCCATCCTTCCTCCTCCTTCTGCCTATTAAACCCTCCCCAACTCATCATCGTTCCATCCTCCCTTCTTTTCTTTCTTTTATATCCATCTCCATCTGTATTTTTCCCTCTTAGAACCCCCCCTTCTCCCTTCTGTACGTTGTGTTAGACCTCGCTCCTGTTGACCATCATGAGAGGCATCCTCAGCCTTTCCCTGCTGCCACTATTGGCAGCGGCCTCCCCCGTTGCTGTTGACTCCATTCACAATGGAGCGGCTCCCATTCTTTCGGCCTCAAATGCCAAAGAGGTTCCAGACTCCTACATCGTCGTCTTCAAGAAGCATGTCTCCGCTGAAACGGCTGCTGCTCATCACACCTGGGTGCAGGACATCCACGACTCGATGACTGGACGCATCGACCTGAAGAAGCGCTCTCTCTTTGGTTTCAGTGATGACCTTTATCTCGGTCTCAAGAACACCTTCGATATCGCCGGGTCCCTGGTGGGCTATTCTGGACATTTCCATGAGGATGTGATCGAGCAAGTCCGGAGACATCCTGATGTAGGTTTCCCCCTTCTGCCTAATCGTTTCTTGAACTATTAAGCTGACAGAGTGTCCAAGGTTGAATACATCGAGAAAGACATCGAAGTTCACACCATGGAGGAGACAACCGAGAAGAATGCTCCCTGGGGCTTGGCTCGTATCTCTCACCGTGACAGCCTCTCGTTTGGCACCTTCAACAAATACCTGTATGCGTCAGAAGGCGGTGAGGGTGTCGATGCTTATACTATTGACACTGGTATCAACATTGAACATGTCGATTTCGAGGATCGCGCACACTGGGGCAAGACCATCCCTAGCAATGATGAGGATGCGGATGGCAATGGACACGGAACCCACTGCTCCGGAACCATCGCTGGTAAGAAGTACGGTGTCGCCAAGAAGGCCAACATCTATGCCGTCAAGGTCTTGAGGTCCAGCGGTTCTGGCACTATGTCCGATGTCGTTTTGGGTGTCGAGTGGGCCGTCCAATCCCATCTCAAGAAGGCTAAGGACGCCAAAGACGGCAAGGTGAAGGGCTTCAAGGGTAGCGTTGCCAACATGAGTCTTGGTGGTGGCAAGTCTAAGACCCTTGAGGACGCTGTCAATGCTGGTGTTGAGGCTGGTCTTCACTTCGCCGTTGCTGCCGGTAACGACAATGCTGATGCCTGCAACTACTCCCCTGCTGCCGCTGAGAATGCCATCACTGTCGGTGCCTCCACTCTTCAGGATGAACGTGCTTACTTCTCCAACTACGGAAAGTGCACCGACATCTTTGCTCCGGGTCTCAACATTCTCTCCACCTGGACTGGCAGCAAGCACGCTGTCAACACCATCTCCGGAACGTCGATGGCCTCTCCTCACATTGCTGGTCTGCTGGCCTACTTCGTTTCGCTGCAGCCTGCTCAGGACTCCGCATTCGCTGTCGATGAGCTTACTCCTGCCAAGCTGAAGAAGGATATCATCTCCATCGCCACCCAGGGCGCTCTTACTGATATCCCATCTGACACTCCCAACGTAAGTCACATTGTCCCTTATGGTATGATGAAGAAAGTTGCTAATTGGTATATTTCAGCTCCTCGCCTGGAACGGTGGTGGTGCCGACAACTACACCGAGATCGTCACCAAGGGTGGTTACAAGGCCGGCAGCAACAACCTTAAGGACCGCTTTGACGGACTGGTCAACAAGGCCGAGAAGTTGCTCGCTGAGGAGCTTGGCGCTATCTACAGTGAGATCCAGGATGCTGTTGTTGCATAGATGCAAGGCAAGATTCATTTAGAGAGACGTAACTAGTTTCGTTTATGGCAGAGTATGGGAATTGGCTAACCGGACACTGGCGCTGGTATTGTTTGCTGCTGTTTTTTTTGGTATTAACGGAGACGCCGATGCATTGAATGCATTGGGTACATTATCCTTTCACGGTTTACCTGGTCTTTCATTATTATTATAGTATACATGTCCACAACAATGTTTGACATCCTATCTAGAGATATATGTGCTCGCTTTTTAACAGACTAACAAATTGATTATGCGGCTGTTCTCCACAGATAATCGTGGCTTGGCTTGAAGGCTGCCATAAAGTCTAATGCTGGTCACCAATTAGGTAGGAGTGCCTCTTTGCAGACTACCAAATTGGACTTGTCATGGAAGTAGACGGCTCTAAACCATATCCATCATGAGAAGATGGCCGAGGCAGATGATCCGGTGGCGCCTAGAATAACCGTACGTGTGAGAGAACATCGCCTTGGCTACCAACGACTCGGATGTATTTTATTAATGGCCCGGGACGTTTGGCCACCGTAGAGCACATCAATAAGTTTTTCCATTTCATGTATGCTACCTAGGCTGACGACATAAAGGTAATCTGCGTAGATAAGTGCTTGTCCTTGACTGGAGATCATTCTCAAGAAATATATATTTACGTCGTTCACGCGGAATGAGTATTGATAGGCGAAAAAAAAGAAAAAAAAAAAAAGGGAAGGAAAGGTGAAGTGCATTGAAAACCGAAGTAATAAATAGTCCACTGATATTTGTCGTGAAGTTGATCATTATATATATCAATGGAACAGGCTCTCATATCCCGGTTTCTGAAATTTGGGTTGTCCTACAACAAGTATGTATGTACAATACATACGGGGGCCATGTGGTCAACCAGACCCGATGGGCGGCCTTGTCAGTTTTTTGGACCGGAAAAGAAAGGTTCCATGGGAGAGATTTGGATGATGTCCTGTGTACGAGGGGACTAAAGTGGCTGCGAGAGGCCAATACTCAAATGAATCTCCGGTACGTTCAGTCACATGAATCTGGGAATTTGGGCCTGGTATGCCGGCTTTCGCAATAGATCCACCCTGAGGGCTACGCGTGTTCCAGGCATGCTACATTTTCTCAGTGAACTGGCTCGGTCTTCTTTTCCTCTTTCAGTGGTGGCTTCACTGAACTTTACTACCGTCAGTACTACTATCCTTAGGCTTGTTTCACCCCGATCTACTTAGTCCACGGGGCTAAACTACATGGGGATTCTGTGACAACTTCTCCATATGAACAGATTGATTGAATGGGATGATGCTATTGTAGATATGTCCAGAAATGCTACAGCTCGGTCGTCCCTGCGCCCACGCTATGCCACGAACTTAACGCCTGCGAAGTCCTACGCCAAAATCCCGAAATAAAAGAAAGACCGACGGCGCAAAAAAAAAAAAAAAGGAAAAAGGAGTGAGAGAGGTGAGTGTCTCTCATACACACAGGAGCCCCAGGGTCAAGCCCGCTCCTTCTTCTCCTCCTCATCCTCTTCATCATCACTGGCAGTATCTTGATCATCAAAGTCCATGTCTTCGTCCGAGTCGCTTCCTCCGAAGACGTCATCGTCTGCATCGCTCTCCGCCCAGAAATCCGAATCGTCCTTCTCTACGGCTTTAACTGTTGCCGGTTGATGGGTCGGCATGACGAAGCCTTCGGGTATGTCTTGCTTCGAAGTCTCGACGTCCTTCCGGACGCGCGACTTGTATTCCTCGGGTTCCTTTCGTAACATCACGCCGGCGTCGACGTGGCGGGGGACGACACTTCCGCGTCGTCTAGTAACGAGAGGATGGAGATCAAGACAGATTCGACGCGTTGAGCAGGGGACCATCGTTCCGAGGCCAGCTCGCCCGACATTTCATCTTCGCCTGGTGCGTGGAGTATCGAGATGCAAAGTTTCCCGTCGGGGTAGATGTTGGGGTGGTATAGGGGGCGTCGAAAAGCGAACTCTATGGTTGAAGATACCGAGTCAGTCGCTGTTAGAATTGTACAAGCGGTGATATGATATACCTGGGGGCGAAAAAGGATAGTTCTTGGGGAACTTCATGGACGCTTTGAAATAGCCGCCGTAGTACAAGGAGTCGGGGTTCAGGACGATTAAGCCGATGGTCCACCTGAAGATGTCTTCGTTCTCGAGCTGGCGGAAAGAAGACTGTTAGCCAAGCCCAGTCACACGGAGTGTACTCCGAGTAGGACCTTGGTATGGCTTACCTCGATATTGACCCATGGCTCCTTGGCGAGGGTCTTGTACTCGTTCATGAGGATACGTTCGGCCATGGCGACTACAACGGAGGAGAAGAGAGACGGATAGCCTGCCAGCGACTAGGGAAGAGCGGTCAAACTATTTTTGGGGTGTTGGAAACACGAGATGAGCGTAGACGCGTAGGGTATCTATCCCTCCTGCAGGATGATGTTCTGTCAACGGGCGGGACGATCGTCCTGTGAGGCGATAAGATTCCGCCTTTTTCAACCTTTGCGCACTAGTCTGGGCGTGGCAATCCCCACGGAAAGTTCCGGGGTGGCGCTATGGAACAATTGAGGCACGTTTCTGTGGGTTCCTGTACCCGCTCAGGGGAGCGAAAAAATGAAAGGAAAAAGTCAAATAATGGAGGAACTTTTCTTTGGGTGTTTGAACTTTGGTGGTTCCATTAGTAACTCCAGTGTTGTTACTTGTCGTGGGTGAGTTGCGAGCCACGTTTTTTTCTGGTCAAGTGTGTTATTCCCCACTTCTGTCTATCGGTAGTGTTTCTCCAAAAACCCGTATCTGTCATGGAGCCCCGAGAGTACTGCTTACGCTATCTAGTCTAGTCTACTGCTAGTAGGCGGCAAGCCTGTTGCCTGCGTTCCTGGGGACTTGGACAGGTACCCCGATATCACCGCATTTCATTGGTGTACAGGATCACATCAGTTGAGGAGCACAAGGTGGGGAGGATTCTGCTCAAGTGGGGTTTTCAAATCCGCCAGGTTCGCTTGAAGCCGACGTCCTCACAGCTGTCCATACTCGAAGGGATCTAGTACGAGCGAAGTTAACCCGCTTATCTCGGAGATAGAGATACGAGTTACCCAATTTGGGTGTCGGGGAAGAGGTTTTTGAGTCAGAGCTCTCGTTCAACCTTCATGCAGGTTACATTGACATCAAATGACTCACTACCGTAATCTACCCCGGCCAGCGCTTGTTTCATTGCTGATGACACTGGAGAACAAAATGACGAATTTCTTTCTATTGGTAGAACGATACTCCATCTCCAGGAAAACAGCCAGTAGCTTGGTATCTGTTGGGAACACGGACAAAGATAACTCAAGATCCTTGGGTGAAGGTTTCACATACATAGGTACTAGTCACGATGTACTAGTATACAGGAAGAGCACAGACGTTGAGTCTTTAGTTCCAAGTTCTAACCCTAGCAGGTAGCAGGTGCTGTACAAAGTCTGGAGTCCATATGTAGGGTTCAGTGTACACAGTATAAACATGGAGGTCAAAAAATAAAAAAAATAAAAACATATACGAACAAATAAAGTATAATAAATTACCGATTACAAATAAGCCGACTAGGAAATAGCTTGATATTTACCTGAGTTATATCTAGCAGGAATTGAGCTTGAGAATGAGTGTAAGCGGTGATATCATAGGCCAATAAGGGCTGTCATGGGAGCTGCAGCCATCAGATAAATACTCTAAATTTCGAGTCGATCGTTTCTCCCGTAGACTCTGCCGCCAATAGACTGGGATATCCCTCCCCCCTCCCCTTCGGTCGTTCTCGCCTTTAGACAAAGAGAAGCAGTGACTCGAACATCCGTCCGGAGGAGGTAGTCAATTTATGTCAAGTAATAATCGTCGGTCTGGGTTCTGGATCCCTCAGACCAGGCGGTGGAGACCGCGTGCTAGTTAGCGTAGGGAATCCACCCTGGTTTCTCTCCCTCCGTCCCACTTCTTTTCTAACTGTTCTCTTGGCTTTCTCTCTGCCCTTCCGTCATCCCGTCGTTTTCCTCCCCTTCCGTCTTTTCTTTTCCAGATGAACTTGGATTCACCAGCCTGAATCACCTCCCACTCCATTGATACTGACGGAACTGCTAGGGCTTGTTGGTGCCCTCGCAATTCGTTATCTCTTGTCAATCTCCTTTGTCTTTCGTTCGCTTTTCTCCGATTGCCATGCGAGGCTTGTCTTGCAACACAATCTCCGCAGACTGCCAATAACGCGAGTGGCTGTTCTATAATTATCGTCCTGTCGTCCTCCTCCACGCGGGTCTCTGTCGTCAGGACCTGAACGCGAGGCGGATGATCAACCGGATCTCTCAACTTTACAGCTATTTTCTATTCTCCGCTTGTCAGAAATGACCCCGGAATGCCATGGCCCCGTTTGGGCCATCGATGACGTTTCCCGTTGCTTTCAGCGCAAGTATGATCGACACTCCTCCACGTCTCCCCTCTAAATGTGGTCAAAGACTCATATACTGACCGTCGTCAATCACAGTTATCTACAAGTAATTCTGCCACTTACCGCATGTGGACTCTCGCTTTTATTTATCCTACTTCGTGTCGCCTACCGCTATTTTGTGGCTCGAAAAGGCGTCTCGTACAAGATCCTCGTGGATGATGCTGCGGAAACTGATACCCCAGTGACCGAGGGGCATGGAGAAGAAACGGATCCCATGCTATCCAAGGCCGCGGCAGAGGAATTGTTACAATTTGAAGTTGATCGCCCCCGAGGTGAAGTCGCTCTGATAACGCTCGAAGTAGCTGCGCTTCTGGGAGAAGTGGCTCTCTTTATCGCAATTCTGTGGACGGATACTTGGGGTAACAGTGGTAAACTCTCTGCGGTGGCGAAGCTAGTTTCGTGGAGCTATATCCTATTTTTGGCATTGGTTCGCTTGCTTCTCTCTACTCTGGACTTGCATTTGCTTCCCAGGATTTGGAATCATACTGCTTGCCTGTACGGGCTCCAGTGGTTGTTCAATATTCTTGTGTTCCGGTCCGCCGTCATCCATCCCGTCTCAAGGCGTGCCACAATCTTCAGCGCGGTGGAGTTTTCTCTATCTACTCTTCTCCTTCTCATTGCAGTGACTACACGCAGAGGAAATAAGGCCGTATTAGTTCCACACGAGGATGGCATTCAGCCAGCGAGACATCCAACTGCCAGCTTGATCTCCTTAGCAACCTTTGCCTGGTTAGATCCCCTTGTCCTAAAGGGCTATAGACAACCTCTGGAACTCGATGACGTTTGGAATTTGACCCCATCCCAAAAGGCGGCCACAGTGCTGGAAGACTTTCGCCGGAGGCAGTATAAGGGCTCATTAGTGTGGAGACTTGGTCGTTATTTTTGGCCCACGCTCTTGTGGCAAGGCTCATGGACGATATTCTCATGTCTTTTCACGTACTTGCCTACTATTCTCCTCAAAGCAATCTTGGAATATGTGGAAGATCCAAGGTCAACCACTGCGAATGCCGCTTGGTTGTATGCCATTTTGTTGTTCTGCTCCGGAGCTATCCAGGGTGTTGCGGACGGACAAGGTCTCTGGATAGGTCGCAAGCTCGGCGTGAAACTTCGCGCCATTATCATTGGCGAGATCTACGCCAAAGCCCTTAGGCGCAAAGCGGGAGCTTCTGTCGATACTGGCAAGAAGAACCCCGAAGAAGCCCCCCCGAGTAGTAAAAAGAAGAGAACCTTCACCTTCGGCCGAAAGAAAAAGAAGGCCACCACAACAGATCCCGAGTCAGATGGCCAGAACGCGAAGGAATCTGGAGAAAATGACGATGCCCACTCAGCCAATACAGGTAACATTATCAACTTGATGGCTATTGATTCCTTCAAGGTCAGCGAGGTAGGTGCTTACCTTCACTTTTTGTGGGCTAGCGTTCCGGTGCAGATCACTATCGCCGTCACGCTGCTGTACCGGCTTCTTGGATTCAGCTCATTCGCTGGCATTGTCATCATGGTTTTCATGCTGCCGGTGAACCTGTTCATCGCAAAGCAATTTACAAAGATCCAAAACCAGATCTTGGCTTCAACTGACGCTCGCATACACGCCACCAATGAGATTCTGCAAAACATCAGGATTATCAAGTATTTCGCATGGGAGCAGCGCTTTGAAGACACCGTCAATGAGAAACGCAAGGCGGAACTCAAGGCATTACGCTACCGCTACATTATCTGGTCCACGGCAGCAACCGTCTGGTACGGGACTCCGCTTATGATCACTTTCGCTTCGTTCTTCCTCTATACCGTTGTGGAGGGGAAGAAACTGACCCCGTCGATTGCCTTCCCGGCTCTGTCGATGTTCTCGTTGCTTCGTATTCCGTTGGATCAGCTGGCCGATATGGTGGCTCATGTGCAAGAATCAAAAGTCTCTCTGGACCGCGTGGATAAATTCCTCAACGAGGAAGAAACTCAGAAATACAATCAGTTGGAAGATAGCGACTCTGCTGGACAGCCACCTAGGATTGCACTGGAGAATGCCACGCTTACTTGGGGAAGCTCCAACGGCCAATATAAAGATGACCCGCAAAGCGATACTACAGACGCATTCCGCTTGATCAATATCGACGTATCCTTCCGGACTGGCAAGTTGAATATCATTGCTGGACCCACAGGCTCTGGCAAGACATCTCTCCTGATGGCCCTCCTGGGAGAAATGAAACTTCTGGAAGGTAGCGTTCATTTACCCGGTGGAACTTCTAGTCGGACGGAACTTCCGGTCGACCCACAGACGGGTCTTATGGAGAGCGTCGCGTACTGTGCGCAGGAAGCGTGGCTAGTCAATGATACCGTCAAGGGAAATATTGTTTTTGCCTCACCTTGGGATCAGCGTCGCTACAATGCTGTGGTCAAGGCCTGCGCTCTGGAACGAGACTTTAGTATCCTCGATGCCGGTGATCAGACTATCGTGGGAGAGAAGGGTATCAGCTTGTCAGGTGGACAAAAGCAGAGAATATCCCTCGCTCGCGCCATGTACAGCAGGGCCCGCCACCTCTTGTTGGACGACTGCCTGAGTGCTGTAGATTCCCACACTGCCAAGCACATTTTCCGAGAGGCTCTTCTCGGACCGTTAATGTTTGACCGAACCTGCGTGCTTGTTACCCACAACGTTGCCCTGACTGTCCCGCAAGCGGAGCATGTTATCGTCCTGGACAACGGTAAAGTGACCGCCCAGGGACATCCAGACAAGGTAGCAGCGTCCGGAGTGCTGGGCGACGAACTTCTTAAGTCGCGACCCACATCTAGGTCTAGCTCCCAACGTCCCTCTCGAATGCCGACCGATCTTGGAGACCGTCATGAGGACGACGCGCATGCCACCAACGGTGGAATCACCAATGGCTCGGCCGGAAAGGGTCAAAAGCAAGAGGAGGCACGACCTAATTTGGTGGAAGGAAAGGCTACTGGTAGTATCAAGTGGCCAACTATCAAAATGTACCTTCTATCTATGGGATCATGGTACTACTGGACAGGCGCTTTGTTTATTTTCTGCTTACAGCAACTGGGATCTGTATCTACAAACGTTTGGATCAGACAGTGGGCCAACTCCTATCAAACTGAGGATGTTGGAACAGATGATGTTGGAGACTACGCTGCCCTAACGAGTTTCAAGATCCCATCATTCAATGCTGGGGGTGTCCCACGAACCTCCACACAGAGTGCCCCCCACTTTGGTACGCGAGTAGCCGCGGGGACATACGGTGATGTTAATGTTGCCTACTATCTCGGTGTATATGCGATTCTTGGATTCCTTTACATTATAATATCCTTGGCCAGAGAGGGTGTTCTGTTCTGGGGCTCCCTGCATGCATCTAATCAGATCCACAAGCGTCTTTTGAATGCCGTGATGCATGCCAAGTTCAAGTTTTTCGACTCGACACCTCTTGGTCAATTGATGAACAGGTTTTCCAAGGATGTTGAAGCTGTCGACCAAGAGGTTGCTCCGGCGGCAATTGGTATGCTTCACTGTCTTGCGAGTGTGGTAATGATTGTGGCTCTGATTTCCGTGATAATGCCCGGTTTTTTGATTGCGGCTGTCTTTATCTCGTTGGTCTACTTTGCACTGGGAGCGGTGTACTTGAATTCCTCTCGTGATCTCAAGCGACTAGAGTCTGTACAGAGAAGTCCTCTGTATCAGCAGTTTGGCGAGACTCTCAATGGAATTGTCACTATTCGTGCCTACGGCGACGGACCTAGGTTCATTGTGGACAATCATCGACGCATCAACGACTACAACCGGCCGCATATTTATCTTTGGGCTAGTAATCGCTGGCTTGCCCTTCGCGTTGACTTCACTGGCGCCTTGGTTTCCTTCTTTACTGCCGTCTTCGTCCTGCTCAGTATTGGGAAAATTGACGCCGGCGCTGCTGGTCTTGCGTTGACATACGCAGTCACATTCACGGAGCATGTTCTCTGGTTGGTTCGTCTCTATTCCGAGGTTCAACAGAACATGAACTCCGTTGAACGAGTGAAAGAGTACCTCGAGGTAGAGCAAGAGGCAGCGGCCGTTATTTCTGACTCGAGGCCGCCAGCCCACTGGCCTAGCGGCGGAGCTGTTGAATTCGCCAACTACACTACACGCTACCGACCGGACCTTGATCCGGTTCTTCGCAATGTTTCCTTCACTGTGCAGCCGGGTGAAAAGGTCGGCATCGTGGGCCGCACGGGCGCGGGCAAAAGCTCACTGGCCCTTGCTCTCTTCCGTGGACTTGAAGCAGAGAAGGGACGTATCGTCATTGATAATGTAGATATCGGCTCTATTGGGCTCCGCGACCTGCGAGAGTCTATCACGATTGTACCTCAAGATCCTACTCTTTTCACAGGCACCATCCGGAGCAACCTCGACCCATTCAATCTCTTCACGGATGAGCAAATCTTCACGGCGCTTCGTCGGGTTCATTTGATTGGCTCTGGTACATCAGGAACTGCAACTCCTGTGACAAGCTTTGCAGAACCCCTCGCGACGGCGAATGGCACTGGTGTTCTTGACAATAAGAACATCTTCCTCAACCTTGAGACACCGATTTCTGAGTCTGGATCTAATCTGTCTCAAGGACAGAGGCAGCTCATGTGTCTCGCCCGTGCTCTTCTTAAGGAGCCCAAGGTTCTAATGATGGATGAAGCCACGGCTTCCATTGACTATAACACCGATGCCAGAATCCAAGAGACACTACGTGAGCTCCGGGACAGCACCATCATCACGATTGCACACCGCTTGCAAACCATCATTGACTACGACAAGGTGCTGGTGCTCGATCACGGCCGTGTGGTAGAGTACGACCATCCGTGGACGCTCATCAACCGGGAAGATGGTGTTTTCCGGGGCATGTGTGACAACAGTGGGAACGCGGAGGCCCTTCTGGATGGTGCCAAGAAGGCCTGGGAACATAAACGGCTTGTGGATGACGCATAGACTTACATATAGCTTTTGTTTTGCATATTTTATTTTCCAACCCTTTGTCAATCTTCCACCGTGAAGATCAAAAGTTTTTCGGCTCAGGGTATTATTCTGTAATGTTATTTATAGGGGGCGTATAAAGGAACGTGCTCTTGAGTGAATATGATAGTTTGATCTACGCTAGAGGTTTTGGTTTCCTGATGTCCAGTATTGGGTATAATTTTGTGACAATCGACGGTTGCCTACGGATACCGCCCTGTCTGTTGGGCTGTGCATAGCATTATGTAACATGACTGGGGTGGAGAGTCGTGTCAAACCTGCCATGTCTATGATGAGCAACACTAGGGTCAAATCTTGTTCGAGCATAAAAAGTCTGGAGTGGGCGGCGGAACTCTCGGATGCACGGTGGTGGACGACATTCATATCCAACAGAATGGAGTTTTCGTGCCTGCCCCCGTGGAGTGAACCTTGAGATATATATATATACATATGGGGTTTCCTTGTTTTTCCACCACTCTCCTTGTCATGTTCTGGTCAGGAAGGAGTGGTAGGTCCAGGAGTAGTAATAGTAGTTGTAGAACGGGTAAAAATAGTCGAAAAAGATGAAGTCGTGAATCATGATCGACAAACTACGGTAAGGCGGCTAAACCCGATCGCGTCTAGCTTCATCTACTTTAATGCCGATAGGATCCGCGACGCAAAACAAGTCGACCACCAACAGCTTTGCCAGACCCGGAGAGATGCGGATATGCTGCTTCCGCCGTGCTCTCATCGCTGGAGCCTAGCGAATCCCCCATTCAATGATATCACCGGTGCCACTGAGAAAATCCTGACATAACTTGTCATTACCGTATCACCGGCGACGCCGCGTCAGTCCCGGCCGCCGAACCATGAACCGTGCCGTCTCGTCTAGTAAAAAGACTTCACTGTGCAAAGTCAATTTCTCCTGGGCATTGGCTATCGACGCTGGAACAGGCTTCCAACAGCAATTGTCTGGATGTCGTGATGCAAAGGATGGCGATAAAGTTCTGCGCCTCTTGAGGGTGGAGCTTGGGCCAGCCTGAAATCGGCCATTTCATCATATGGTTACATTGATAGGTCAGTGATTCTAGATCTACGTCGGCTGTATGAATGTATAAGAGTGGCTGAGGGTATCTGTTGACATCCCTCTATTTCTTGAAATTTATTCATTTTGTACTGGCTTGCTTAGCTTACCGGATTATACATACACCCACTGCGTCCCCGTGCAACAAATCCGTATCAATAAGACCGCTCGACTGAATATACTAATCACATAATCATGCGTATCTTCTCTGCCTTGAGCAGCCTCCTTCTGGCCGGAGCTGTCGCCGCCCAGAGCTCCGACTGCTCGCCCAAGTCCGGTGATGTCCAGACTCTTCAGTTCGCCTGGGCTCTCCAGCATCTGACCGAACGCTTCTGGTCGTCTCAATCTCTCAACCAGACTTTCCTGAATAATGCCACCAACGCGTCCACCGCCAACTATGACGCTAATTTCAAGGGCATCACACGAGAGAACCGTCTGGGCATCCGTGCGGTGCAGCAGGTTGCCAGCGGCCTCTCCAACTTCACCACTCCTCGTTGCAACTTGACCATCCCGCAAGCCAGGGATGCCGATAGCTTCCTCAAGAACGCCCTGCAGGTTGAGCAGACCGTCGCCGGCGGCCTCATCGGCCTAGCCGCCTACACCCAGTCTCCTGAGGTCTCCTTCCTCCTGGCCCGTCTGGCTGCCCAGCACAGTGCCCAAGCCGCCTACCTCGGCTCTGAGCAGAACTCCACCTTCTTCCCCTCGAACAGCACCTCTTTGGTTCCCGCCTACACCCCCGACCAGATCCTCAAGGCCAGCAACCAGACCAGCAACCAGACCGGCCTGCTGGGTACCTTGCTCAGCAATTGCGTGACTGCGCCCTCCGGCCCCTGCGGCCAGAAGGTCAATATCGGGCCCTTGGTCGCAACCCTGAACTCCACGAGCACTAGCGGTGGCAGTTCTAGCTCTGCTTCCCCCTCCAGCACCGCTACGGGCACCGCTACGGAGACATCCTCCACTGCATCCTCGACCAGCACATCGACGGCCAGAAGCAGGAAGTACTTCTAAGCTTCGGAGTCGAAGCAAATACCAAGTATATCGACAAATATACAGAGACCGAACAAGACAATCCACCCAAGATATACTTCGCAACTTGGATTGGTAAAGAGATTGAGACTTGTGATGACCACAATTCATGTATCACCCACGTTCTGTAATCATCTAATTTATGTCCCAGTGTGTGGGGTAATGTAATGCGTCAAGTTAGGATAGGGTCTGTGCTATAGTTGGGTTATATAATAGCTTACAGTTTTTTGATCTATAGGTCAGAGAATCAATATGTTTATATCGAAAGAGAGTAACCTGTTCTGACCATGCTCACTCGCTGTTAACCGATTGGGCAAGTCAACGGAAGTAAAAGACAGTACATTGTGTATCGTATGACAGAATGTTATATTTTTAAGATGGTCACTTGGTTATCTTAGGCGTGGAAATCGCGGAGTGGATAGAAAACCTGTAGCCATACATGTATTCTTAATAGAAAGTGCTTACACAGCACCTATCTTGTAGTAAATCTTGTATAAGGTTAATGATAACTTGAGTTGCTTTCTTCGATAAAAATGCATAGTTTACTGAATACTCAATAGTATCTTAGAATATATTGATTGGTAATACTTCGGGGTGTTGGAATACAGAGTACTAAGCTCGGCATCAAAATAGAGCCCGAATGAATAATGATCGATCACCATTTGCCTCCAATCGACGAGATAATACAACGCGCTGAAAGTATTTAAAATCATCCCTATGGCCCTGTCATTGATAATGTACTATCTTTATATTTCACCCATCCTTCACTCATCTCTACTGACAAAATGGCCCTCACCGTCGGTATCGCTGGCATCACCGGCAAGTTCGCCCGCCGCGTGGTCTCCCACCTGCTCCAACATTCCGATGTCACTATCCGCGGATACTGTCGCGATCCCAGCAAGGTCCCGGAGCCCATCTCTTCCTCGGAGCAAGTGACCTTGTTCAAGGGCGATGCCTTCGACAAAGAGGCCATCCGTACCTTCGCTCAGGGTTGTGATGTGCTGATCTGCTGCTACCTCGGCGAAAACCAGCTCATGATCGACGGACAGAAGATTCTCATCGATGCCTGCGAGGAGCTGGGCGTTCCACGCTACATCGCGAGTGACTGGGCCCTCGACTACACCAAGCTGAAACTAGGAGAGCTGTTCCCCAAGGACCCCATGATCCACGTTCACGCCTACCTGGCCACAAAGCAAAAGGTCACGGGCGTCCATATACTAATCGGAGGGTTCATGGAGCCGGTTCTGAGTCCCTTTTTCAATATCCTGGATCCCAAGACCAACGCCTTCCGCTTCTGGGGCGGGGGCGATGAAATCATGGAGGGAACAACCTACGATAATGCGGCTGAGTTCACCACTGCGGTGGCTAGGGATCCCAAGGCAACTGGTGTTATCCGCTGTATGTTTCTGTCTCAGTGGTGATTTTTTACCATATTTACTAAAATAACGATACTGTAGTCCTCGGCGGCCGCGCCACCATCCGCGAAATCGCCCAGTCCTACGAGATGGTCTACGGCGTGAAGGCGAATCTTGAGAGGCTGGGTTCCCTCGATGACCTCTACAAGTTTATGCATGAGAAGCAAGCCCAGAACCCTGCTGATATCTATGGCTATATGTCGTTGTATGTTATCACCTACCCTAGATAATCTGTGATGCTCATGGTGCTGACGGGAGGCAGGTTCTTTTACTATTACTGGATCAACGGGCAAACATTTGTTGGGCCGGAGCTCGATAATGACAGGTATCCCCAGGTCAAGCCTGTCAGTTGGGAGGATTACATGAAGCAGTGGCCTTTGGAGCAGCTGTCCAGTTCTTATTTTGCGCTCAATGCGTGAGAGTTTGTAGTTCCTCGCGTATATTGATGTACTGTTATTGCTATCTGAATAAAATTCGATGAGGAATACTGGCATCATAGTGTATATATCTCCCATAACTTGATAGAAGATAATATGGCTTGCTCATACTATGACTAACCTACTTGGAATTCAACTGGCCACTGAATGAGCTTTCTGGAGGTAATGCCTTCTAAAGCACCACCTGGAAGAATCCCAAGCCCTCAATTGCAGCCTCAATTGTTGTCTTGATTGGCTGTGCAGTTCCCCTTGTTGTGCTTAAAAACAAGTAAGCTCTCACTGGCGTTGCAATATTATCCCAGGTCGGACGGTCTGGAGCCACGATTCAAGTTGATACTATAGGGTAGCCCGCAGCGCCTCAGTCTTACGAGGGGGCACTAATCTTACACTACGTATGCTTACATGGGTAATTACACACTTTCACTAGACCAGGATCTATCGCATTTAGTTCGTAGGCTTCTTGGGCTGGTAAAAAGGGAATCTTTCCTTTTCTACAAGGGTATTGTAATTGTCTATCTTCGCTGGAGCGTGTACATTTCAAAACATGACAACCAACAAGACCTCTACGACGCGATTGAGCTTAGTAGTTGACTAAAAGATTGCTAAATCTCAAGAAATCATATAGATATAGATTGAGATATGGTGAGAACCTTGATGGTTAATAAATAGTGGGTATTAGGAAGCTTTGATTCTATAGCTTCGCAATAATTGCTTCCCAATAAGGACTGAGACATGGTGAGAACCTTGATAGATTGATATAATGCTTAGTTCGAGAAGTACCAGGAGCGAAGCGGATAACCGGCACCTTGATACTGGTCAGTAGTTCTTCAGCTGGAGCTGGATGTGTAATAACAAGTGTTATGGGGACCGTCAGGGTGAGAGGTTGCTCACAGGTCACGCATATATAAAGGCGATGAGGTGCTGTCTCCTTGAAAATTCGCATCATCATCAGACAGCATCAGCAACATTCAATCACTCTCCCAACTCCCCATCCAACTCGACAACCTTCAGCCAAAATGAAGTCCGCATTCGTTCTGTCTGCCCTCGTCTCAAGCGTGCTCGCTGCCGCAGCTCCGTTCCAGCTGGTTATCAGCGGTTCTCAATCCCGCACCAACGAGCTCAAGGACCGCGCCCTCATCAGCCAAGGCGACGCCTTCATCGTGGCTCCCAAAGGTGATCACGGCATCAACTTCGTCGGTGGCGATGGCACACTGGGCATCCAGAATGGCGACGTTGGTAAGTCTGCTGTTTGACACCTATCACCTTCGTGATACCAGACCCCACTAACTATTGAGCTTAGTTTACGTTGGTACTGATGGCCACGTCGACCTCAAGAGCACCGACGGTGTAGCTGCTGGTGGCTTGACCCAGGGGTTCACTACGGGCAGCAACAATGTCCTTGAATGGGCCCAGGGCCAGTTCTTCGCCTGCCCTCACGAATCCCTGTTCGCCGCTGGTCCCCCTACCTACATGCTTTATGCCAGCCGCTCCGGTGTCACCTTTTCCAGCGACTGCATTCAGATCAGCCTCACAAAGGTCGCCATCTAAGTTCGCTGTCCGTTGATCTTTGATTCTAGGCAGGCTGCGGAGGAATATTGGGTCTATAGACAAAATTTAACTAGATACACTCGTTTCAAACTATATTGTGTCTTATTCTACATTTGTTTTGAAGCCACCATGAAAGATAACACCAATTGGTATATAGTAGAACCAGTATATAAAAGGACTCCAATAGCCTCTCCCATAATACTAAATAGTATTTCGAATCCAAATATGGGAGAGCTAGACGTGGACCGCGACCTGGTTGTATTATTTCCATTTCCTACAACGCGACTACGATTCCCGGCACCAGTTGTATGCTACTTCGTCCGCTTTTCATGTCCATCAGTGACTGACGGATAGACCCTGGCCAAGTCCCTAGCAGGTATGGCGACAAGTTCTTCAGGATCAACATAGATACGAAGCTCCTTCGCGTATGCCGCGGCGGCGGCAGCAGCAGCAGCAGCAGCAGCAGCAGCATAATACTGCCAGATGTTATTTTTGTGAGAGTCAGCATGATCTAAAATACTGCCAATAACAATGCAAGAAAACTCAGTGAGCAGGCTAGCCGCCTCCATCCCAAAACAGGGGATATCGCCCACGTCTCGGATTCTATGGGCGGTGCCTGTATCCCAGACTCCCGCCCCAATGGAGGAGAGCAGCTCCAGGACCAACTGTTATCATAGGGAGAAGGTGAAGGTGCTGCATTGGACATGTAACATGTCGCATACGCTGGCACTGAATCTTTAAGGGGCTCCAAGATGAGTAGTAGGTTGATCCACTTCTCTGTCTTTGAAAGCGTCCACGCTTGCTGTCAGTCGACAGTCACGTTTAGGCTTGTCACCCCTTGGTACAGGCTTTTGGAAGGGCCTCTCTGAATGAAGCCAGAATCTCGTATCCGAACCAGCGTCGACTTCCTAAAGAGGCAAATATGAGGGTATTCAAAACCCGAAGCAGTAGGGGTCTTCTGCAGCTCAGGGTTCGTACGAGGTTTGGCAAAAGCAGCCGGTAAAAACACGACAAATTAGTTAGAAAATTCGATTTCAAAATAATAATGAAGCTATTCAGAACATACGCGAATACCCCTATTGAATAGCGAGGCGCCATAGTCTGGACTAGCGGAAGGAGGAATGCCGGGAGGGTTTCAACAACGTGTCTCAGAACGTAGTCGTGTAGAATAAGCAATTACTAGCTCCATTCGGTCACAACAATATCAGGAGATATCCCTGGCATTTCTCAAGAGGGCTTTAGATTTGGGAGGATAAAAGGTTCGAACGTCATATGACAGATAGCGAGCCTAGACCTAAGTAGTTGTAAATTCGGCGCCTCGAATTATTTCGGTCATCCGATCCAGCCAGGATCTCATGCAACACTCATTGGAAGAACTGCATAGAGCAAATAATATATCATACATATCTGGAACCGCCTTTGCAGTCGGCTGGCTTCAGTACAGTACCTCTCTACTACTATCATTACACAGTCAGCAGTATGGCATCTGCCCACAACCCCGTTTCTAGTGATCTCTATCATCTGGTCTTATCGACCACTCATATCAGTAAGGACCCAAACAACATTATCGAAAAGGTCCGCATCCCTGGTACCTACGTATCACTGCGAGCAGCCAAAGCAGCTGCCCACAGTTGTCTCTTTGACGCCGGGTACGAAAGGGAGTTCTTCACACAATATGAGACCAACAAAGATATATTCGAAGAGCAGAATCTCCCAGAACGACAGGGTCTTATTGTATTCGCAGTTGCCTCCGATGGTACCACATTCCGGGTCCGCATTGATACGACTCCAAATAATATGGGATTAATGACGGATTATGAGGATGGTCGAATCCCTGTGACTCTCTACTACGTTATACAGACCACCTTTACATATAACGGAGAGAAGGAAGTCAGCACAGTGCGAGATCTCAATGTTTTGAGTGCGTTTATCAGTTACCAGGAGGCGAGAATATATGCAGAGAAGGTATTACTGTCCGAGGATGATGCCGTGACTAAGGAAAGTTATGAAGCATACGACGAGGCGTCGCCTGCTGAAACAGACTGTGGATATGGCGAGAATGTAGTTGTGCATGCTGTGGGCCAGTATGGTGAGAATTTTTCAATCAGTGTGATTGAGACAAAGAGGCTGGAATATGTCGCTTTGGCGGAAACATCAATGCAGATTATGTGAGGCTTTATCTCCGTAATTCCAGTGATCATGCCGGTCTTTTCATGTTTTTTCTTTCTGATGATTGTATTCTACGTGGCGTGCGCTTAGTTTGTCTCGTTATGTATTCTTTTTTTTTTGTTCTACTTGCCTCAACCCAATAGCAGGGAAGGATCACAGATTGTTGAAAGATGACAGAAATATACTCAGTGGAAGGGATCCAGGTTTGTGGTTGAGAATGTGCGCCAACAAATTGAATAGCCAATCGATACTACAAGGTAGACACAGTAGGGTATAACTTTGACGTGATAGACTCCATCTGCCGAACAAGATGAAGGCATGGGTATATGCCCAATGATTCTTGCCTGGTAGAAGAGATTGATGAGATCTAACAGGTCTCTGAAAGACAAGCAACTTGCATATGTTGCTTGGTTACATTCAGATTCCATCAAGAGAACTAAGTATTCGCTTATCAGGCACGAAGACTCCGGAAAGGCAGGAAAACTTGATTGAGCTGCCTCGTCACTACTAACACTTCGCAAACCCCAGGCACAGATGTTCGTGTTTTATGAAGCCCAGATAAACATGCCGGTCATGGAACGACACAGAAATCGGCAGAAATATAAAACTTAAGTGCGGGTCGGTGCACTGTCACCCACGCCGGTTATACAAGAATATCAAAGACCTCCAAGAGAATATTTTTCTTTACCCTTGGTGGTGACTTTGGAAGGTTGAATAGCGTATAGACCGCTTGCTGAGCAGTTCTCACACTGTACTCAGTGCTCAACGTCGTTTCATCAGGAAGCTCTGCAAATTGACCAAGACACGCAAAATTGGTGGTTCCATGAGGTACCACATGTGGTCGGTCTTGGCTACTGCGTGTCAGAAAGGGGGCGGTTCCCAGCGGCATTCCACAAGGGATCGTAGTTGATTTAGCGAGTATGGGCTGCAATGGAAAGCCTAGGTGAGAAAGAACCTCGGTGAAGATCTCCATACCAGAGCAAGCAAACATGGGTTTCTTCACGAAATTACCTTCACTCGCAGGGCTCAGCCCGTACCCACAAACAATATGTCTGTCAGCATGCTGGGACGGAAACACCGGTTGATGTGGAACGTTGATAGTGATCAGCCAACTACTCTCTGCCAGGAATAGCGTGTCAGTGCGTCCTGCAGGCTCGAGGGCGAGATTGTCATATAGCTTCATGAATTCTGTTCCCTGCATAGTAGTGGTAAAGGTCTCAATCCCAGATTCAAGGGCTCGTGAAAGAAAGTTGACTGGATTTCCAAATTTTGAAGACTTGCGAGAAAGCCCTTGCCATAATCTCCACTCACGCAATAAGAGATCCTCCCAGTTAGAGGACAAGAATGGCGGGGCAGCCACATTCGTACCATAAACTGCACCGGAGCGTGAGAAACCTAGGTCAACTAAGCAAATATCCTCTGGGTCAAGCGAAATTAGACATTCCTCTCCATCCTTTACCAATCGTATCTCAGAGACTGTTGCTGGGTCACTCTCAGGATAGAACCTGATATCCGTTACCTCGACATCGAAACGAAAGTCAACATGTTCATGTCTTAGATAGCCAATAATCGGGATGACGATCGAGTCGAATAAGTTATATCTCGTGTGGATGGTTGCACTGAGATCATGAAGGGACCGGATATCCTCCAAGTATTTACGAAGATGTCTTCGAAACTCAATCACACTATGCCATGGCTGGAACGCAAATCTATTCACCGATCAGCTTTTCCGAAAACAAGGACTATGTGAAAGATTTACATCCTAGACCAGTGCAACCAGAAACCTGTTTCAAAGAATGACTTATCGAAGGCTTCATTGATTTTTTTCGACGCTAGTGTTTTTTCACTCTCTAGGATGACCTTGATTAACTCCAGGCGATGTTTCAGTCCGAGCTGGAACCCTTCCGTGTACACCCCTCTTGAATCTGGTGCTTTTAATCTAATTGTGCCAGGTGTCGTGGGCGCCTTTGGGTGTGACTGGTGCTGTCTACCAAATTCTTGAATGTCGCCCAGCAGAGACTTGTCGGAATCCAGGATACTAGGCACTAAGGACAAGAGGCCCTCGATGCAAGTACCATAGACATGTGGGAGGCACTGGTATGGCAAGAAGTACCCATTCTCTGCATCCCCCAGGGTAGCCATTTCTCCTTCAAAGCCTGGATGAAGATCGAGGATATGGATATTTCGACCAGGAACGTTGCATTCCCTCGTCAGGTAAACAGCCGCGGCTAGGGAAGCCAGCCCGTTGCCGACTAGCCATGCCTGGACGTTCTGTGCATCTCGCTTGAATGTGCTTGACTTGATATCCATTGAGATGACATTTATACATGAACGCGATCTAATTGTACACCGACCAGATGATCATGTAGATCCTCGTTTCCGTGGAATGGTATCTTTATAGAGAGGGTTTACGTGGATGTTAAACCCTATGAGGTCACCATAGGTGGGGAGCTTATCATTCCTTTGAACGTTGATCTTTAATTCCACAGGCTTAGATCTGATCAAATGTCGAAAGACTGCCATGGGCGGGTTGATGGCCTACGCCGGCATATAATGTTACTATAATCCATGAGACTGGCTCGTATATCGTATACCTCAACGTGACGTAGTGGAGCCTAATGTTTCTGCGCCTGATGTCCAGGATAACATGGTTCGATCATACGACTGATAACATTGGCTTTCAGATAGAAATTTGAGTTCCACAAAAGGTTCGAAACACGGAATCCGCGAGTTCTGTTGCGTTAATATGTAAGGATAAGGTGGACCTTTATATCATTCGTTATGGCGACTATCGTTTGTTCGGCTTGCGGGCAATTGTCACCGACCGAGCGACAGGGGTAGGTAATAGGTACAAAGTTACTTTCCCATATATCTTCATACAGCAGCGAATCCAAAAGTTGTTCGTTTTGGTGTCTAACGCCTCGCTTCGTATTATTGAGCCAAGATTCTATATCACGCCACTTCTCTCGGTCTCGTCGGTTATATGACCCTCATCTGTACTTGCCACGTCGCCTGTCAACGGAATAAAACTATCTCTTTTCTAACTGTGGCGAGATACTTCAGTCGGCAGAGGGCGCGGGTAATGCAAAATACCTGTCTTGTAGGGGAACACAGACTTCTCCCAAATTGCTAAATCCCAAATAAAATACGCTGCGCGGTCATTCAACGTACTGCCATACGTTCACGTCGAGCCATAACACTGGTGTTGTTGATGAACTTATCAGATGTTTTCATTCCCGAAAGTCGACTTGCGGATCCCCATTGGGGAACGCTCTTCTCGAAATAATTCCTGGTGCGGGCCTCCTTTCCATGTAAGGAAGCCCTGGATCGACATACGTCTAACATTGTTGACCAAAAGCTAAGAAAAGTGAGTAGGTTGTTTATGCAGGAATATCGGAGCTGGTAAGACAGGGCTCGGACAGCAAGGTCGTACTTGCCATTCGCAATGCCACACAGCTGGTGGACTTCTTCGACTATAATGTGGTAGTTCAGGGAGCCCATGTACCTTCCTTCGCGACGAGCGAATTCATATCCTATTTACGACGATATGCGACCAAGAATGGAGAGAAGATAATAGCCATGGCCTTACCACAAACTCTTGCCCACAGATGGCCATCACTATGCTCGTTTCTCTGGAAGGACCTTGATGTCGTCCCTTTGGTGCTGGAATGTAAGGACCATTTTAGGCAGCAAGATGAGCCCGGCGAGCTCGCTACGTTTTTGGGTTGGGAGAGAAAGGAGCTCGATGAACAGGCGGATTCAATGGCGCGGAAATGTTTACGGTAATGTTACAATGGAAAGCTGTTGCTGGAAAGACCTGAAGCCTAACATTATATAGGTCATTCGGTATTGGGCATGTCCTTCACAATCATATTTGTGCTGACGGGATGGTGGAGGTTGACAAGCGCTTTTGTGTACACGTTGGGGACAAAGGAGATTATCAGGAGACCGTGCATCCTGATACATGGAATGTTGTCCAGAAATTTGCAAATGATCTGATAGAGAGGAAGATCAAGATAGCATTTTTCAGTATGACATGTGAGGGAAAGCCTGATGTGCATACCAGACACGCTTTGGTCCGATTCTCCCACAAACTTGGAGTAGATACCAAATGGTGAGTGTCTTGACATCACTGATGCACTTGTTCACCGATATTGACCATCCAATGCTGCAGGTATGTCCCGAAGCCACGGCCCAGTATTCTTCGAATTGTGAGGAAGATGGAGTATATCATGGAAGGCTTAACTGGACCGGAAGAATACCTTGGAACGGACGACGAGCTACGGCTCCTGGAGTTCGCCTATGAAAATGCTAGACGGTACTGGTTAGCAGAAAACGGGCCCCTACGGCCTCGCTCAGAAGGTGGCGCAGACGTGGTTATAATTGATAGCGCCCCCCTCTTGACATTGGCACTGCTATCAAAGCAATGTGACCCGCAAAGACCAGTTATTTTTGAAAATAGATCGCACGTCCAGCAACAGCGATTGCTGGAGGATTCGACAAGCCCTCAGACTAGAGTGTGGGAATTTGTGAAAACAAGGCTAAAGCACGTCGACATTCTAGTCTCCCAACTGCCTCGTGAACTCACACCATCCATCATGCCGGATAGGTGTGTCGGGTATATACCAGTTACAGTGGACCAGTAAGACGCCGTCTTTCGCTGAACCTGCTAACTGTTAACCTTGAAATAGATTTGACGGGCTGAATAAAAATATTGCGGCCGAGGACATCACCTTCTACGGACGGGAGTTCCACTCTTTATGCAGGGTGTTGGGATCCTCTACCATATCGTATCCAGACGGTAAGGGCACATCTCCACGTAGTTTCGTCGTTATCCGAGGTATGAGCTGACGGGTATAGAGCAATATATTCTCCATCTCTCACGGTTACGGCCAGGAGACGGAACTATTCATCTGCTCGACGCCTACGCCACATTCTGCAAGAAATATATGGAAGTGCACCAGGATGCACCCCCACCTAAGCTGCTAATTTGTCACCATGGCCCATCTAACAGCCCAGAAAACTCGCTCACATATGACCACTTGCTGGCACATATCAACACCAAAATGGAGGACCTTGCACATCGAGTTTGTATTGTGCAGGTTGGCCCCCAAGACCAGATGTGGAATACTCTCCTTACGCAGGCTCGTGTTCTCGTTCAACTCTCCATCGTCCATGGAATACCAGAGGTCCTTCTATGGGCTCTGCAAAAGAGGAAGCCTGTAATCGCTAGCAGAGAAGCAAGGCTATTTTCGTTCTTAGACAAGATGCAAAACGCTTTACTAGTTGATAGTGGGGACATCGACACTGTCTCACAACATTTATTCCATCTTTTCACCGATAAAGAACTCTACGCACGAGTCATTGCAGATGCCCCACAAAGACTGCCAGATAACCTGACTACGGTTGGCAATGCATCTGCTTGGATGTTCCTAGCCTCGAAGGTGTCCCGTCCGGGTACCTTTGAGCCAAATGGGGAAGATATAGATAAGTTAGCACGCCAGGAGGCAGGGCCGTATACTTGAAATGTTCCATGAATGATGACTGGCGCTTCATATTGTGTGTCTCCTTGGTTGACTTCGCAATGCTGCTTTAATGATGCGATAGGGAATGGCCTTAGCTGTCTGGATCGGAGCCTCAACTCTAGTAGCTGTGGCTCTCAGCACTGTTTGTTTCAATTGATGAAAAGTCCGAGTTATCATGGTAATCATAACTCTGCTTTCTATCTAGCTTTAGGAAAGACGAATATTCTTACTACCCATGAGCCTGACTATTTGGTACCTTTGTAGGTAGACAGCGAATGGTACCTCAACTAGTAGCAGCTCCAGCTTCGCCACCCTTTGGTTAAGGACAACCTATCGTTTTCTAGGTACAAATGTCATGGGCAAATGAGGCAATAAAGAACCTGTGAGTACAGTGGCATGATCACTCGGCCGAAAGGTTCTCAATTTAAGATTTCAGGATGGTAGTCTGGTCAACTGTGGCCACATCTTGACTTCGTATGATACACCCTCCAAATGTACAGACAGTCATTTGAACCAGGGTCTTACTGCCAAACGGAAAGTTTACTTCAGAAGATCTCCTGATGTTTATTCGCATGCCTGGAATTTTGAGAATGTATACAATTGCACAATCCGCGGTTTTACACGCCTGAGTGGTTTGTGACAGCAAGGATTAGAACACCGGAGCATTACTTCTACGGTGATCCAACTGCAGGACAGGTACCGCAATAGTGATTCTTTACAACTGTCATAAAGATGAATGACGCGAGCGCTCATGCGAAATTTGTTCGAAACTTCGAGCAACTAAAGCGCGAAGATGGACCTCTGGTTGGCGGCAAGAATTCCTCCCTCGGTGAAATGATCACTGCTCTGGGAGGAAAGGGCATTGCAGTGCCACCTGGCTTTGCGACGACATCGAGCACCTATTGGCACTATCTAGACGTCAATGACATCCGGAAGAAAATAACCAAATTAATTGAGAACTGGCAACTGAAAAAGACAACTCTTGCTGAAACCGGCCATGCTGTGCGTGCTCTGTTCCTTCATGGCAACTGGCCTACGGATGCAGAAGCCGCCATTAGGGCTGCCTATCGCCAACTATGTGCCAAGGCTGGGGTTGACGACCTCAGTGTCGCGGTCCGATCCAGTGCGACTGCAGAGGACTTACCAGACGCAAGCTTCGCCGGTCAACAAGAATCCTACTTGAATATCTCTGGCGAAGAGGCTCTCTTGCATGCCTGTCGACGCTGCTATGCGTCGCTCTTCACGGACCGGGCTATTAGCTATCGTCAGGCCAAAGGGTTCGATCACATGAGCGTTGCCCTCTCCATAGGGGTGCAGCGAATGGTTCGATCTGATGTCGGTGGCTCCGGCGTCATGTTCTCTATCGACACCGAAACTGGTTTCGACAAGGTCATTCTCATCAATGCTGCATGGGGGCTTGGGGAGAACGTTGTGCAAGGGACCGTAAATCCCGACGAATATCAAGTATTCAAACCCCTGCTAGCTGACCAGAGCCTGGTCCCGATCATAGAGAAAAAGCGTGGTGAAAAGGGAATGAAAATGGTCCTTGGCGGTACAGAGACACCCACCAGAAATCTGCCCACCTCGAAATCTGAGCAAGCATCATTCGTGCTGAATGACGGAGAAATTCTTCAGCTCGGGCGTTGGGCCTGCACGATTGAAACGCATTATGGCTGCGCGATGGATATGGAATGGGCTAAAGACGGTATTACGGGCGAGCTGTTTATTGTTCAAGCCCGGCCAGAAACCGTGCATTCGCGCAGTCATGCTGCCATTTTCAAAACGTATAAAGTTGGCAAAAAAGGACGTCTGTTGACCACGGGCCTCTCTGTTGGTGACGCAGCAGTGTCAGGCCGTGTCTGTCTCATTGAAACCGCACGGGACATCGACAAATTCATTGATGGCTCCATACTAGTGACCGAAACCACCGACCCGGACTGGGTGCCCATCATGAAACGAGCCGTAGCCATCATCACTGACCATGGCGGACGAACCTCGCATGCGGCTATCATCAGCCGCGAACTGGGCCTCCCAGCAATAGTAGGTGCGGGTAATGCTACATACATCCTGCACACCGGACAGGATGTCACCGTCTCATGCGCAGAGGGCGACAACGGCTTTGTGTACGAGGGGAGCTCGGAAATCACGACGGAGTCTGTGGATTTGACTGAGTTCCCGGAAACTCGGACAAAGATCATGCTCAATCTCGCGAACCCAGCAGCAGCTTTCCGCTGGTGGAGACTCCCAGCTGACGGTATTGGACTTGCGCGTATGGAGTTTGTTGTCACCAATGCGATTCAGGTACATCCCATGGCGCTTGTCCATTTTGATCAATTGAGGGACGCGAAGGCCAAGGAGGACATTCGCCGGTTGACGACTGGGTATGACAACAAGCCGGAATATTTTGTCGACAAACTGTCTCACGGGTTTGCATCCTTGTGTGCTGCGGTCTATCCCAAGCCTGCTATTATCCGCATGAGCGATTTCAAGACCAATGAATATGCCCGTCTTGTGGGTGGCCGTGAGTTTGAGCCGGACGAGGAAAACCCAATGTTAGGCTTCCGTGGCGCCTCGCGATATTACTCCGCCCACTACAAAGAGGGATTTGCGTTAGAATGTCTTGCAATTAAACGTCTGCGAGAGAGAATGGGCTTCAGGAATGCAATTGTCATGATTCCATTTTGCCGTACAGTAGGAGAAGCGAAGAAGGTATTGGACGCCATGGCAGAGAACGGGCTCAGGAGGGGGGAGAATGGACTGCAGGTCTATGTTATGTGTGAAATCCCGTCCAATGTTATTCTCGCAGCTGATTTTATGGAATACTTCGACGGCTTTTCTATCGGCTCCAATGATTTGACGCAGCTCACCCTCGGCGTCGATCGTGATTCTGGGGAGCTCGCAGACCTTTTCGATGAGCAGGACAAGGCAGTCAAGTGGATGCTGCAGCAGGTTATCCAGGTGGCAAAGCAAAAAGGTTGCAAAATTGGCATTTGTGGCCAAGCGCCCAGTAACCACCCCGAGTTTGCTCGGTTCCTGGTTCAGTGCAAGATCGACTCGATCTCTGTCAGCCCGGATAGCTTCTTCGCAGTGAAAAGACATGTCGTTGCGGGTGAAAATACATGATCAGGAGTGGTACAACGTCCTACCAAGTATCGAAAATGGGGCCAGTCTACAAAAGTGCTTTAGGTCTTGCTCTTCCTTTTTCTCTTCCTTTACTTCCAAGTCCGGTAATGATGCATCAACATACCACGTTGGTTCTGATATCTGTTTCTTCAAGTAAACAAGTGAATACAACCTTTTCATTATAACAAACGATCGTGAGGCTATGCCACGCAGTCCACTAATAGTAGTACTAGTACTCACTCATTTGACTTCCTACCCCACAGACACACTTCGAAAGAACATCTCTTGACCACCCCAAGACAGGACATATCTTGTTCCCCAGATGCATGGTGGAGCTCAAATTACAGTCCCTGATCTGATTTAAGCCTTTCCACCATGTGTTTCAATTCCTGCGCTGACTCGTCAAGGTCCTCCCATTCTTTCTGATCCAAGTGCATATCAATCGCTTTTATGACGCCTTCCCTACCAAGCACGACAGGAAGGCTAAAGCAGCATTTGTAATCGGACAGGTAGTGACTGATGCAGCAGACATCCCGCCTATCGAAGAGAATAGAGGAGCAAATACTACAGACTACCGAACCAATTCCAAACGGCGTGCCCCCTTTGGCTCGAATAATTGTTTGTGACTTAGCTTTGCATTGATTCGCAACCTCAGCGAGGTGGGAGGTCTTATCAGGGAACCATCGTGCGGCGGGAACGCCCCCAATGGTCACCCCGGACCATGCAACTACCTCTGAGTTTCCATGGACCCCCACGACCTGAACATCAACAGAGCTAGTTGCAACCTAGGAATTCGTTAGTGAGCACTGGAACCCAACTAGCAGGACAAAGAATGATATGTGACTTACCCCTGCCCTCTCTGCCAATAGTCCGCGAATTCGGACCGAATCAAGGAATGTGCCTGACCCCAAAACCTGAGACGCTGGGAGCCCGGAAAGCTCCTGCGCCAGGGATGTGAGCAGATCGACAGGGTTCGCCACGATCAGTAAGATTGTATCCGAGCGAAAAGGCCTCGCCTCGTTGACTATGCCCTGCACGATGGCGATTTTGTGGTACAAATGTTGCACGTTAGTTTCACCTAGGAAATATGTAAGACTTTGCTGCGTGGACAAAGTGGACATGTATCAGAGCTGTAGTTATTGTCCATTTACCTCTAGAATATCTCGATCCAGCAGTAATGACCACGATATCGCATTGGCCGATTTCTTGAATGGTGGCCGCTCGTACGCGGATGCCGCTATTGTTGCCGTAGGCCACATCAGCAAGGTCACGGACTTGAGCGTCTCTCAACTCTGCTTTTATATCAACAAGAAGCAGCTCATCGGCAACACGGCCTAGGATGAGCGCGTACGCAGCAGCAGAACCGACCTGACCAACACCAACAATGGCCACACGTGTTTGTGGGAGACTGTGTTCAGACGGCATTATCGGCAGCTGATTGTGATATTCAATCTCACAAAGATCAATAATCGAAAGATCGGACACCTTGTATATGGTGGTAGGCGGGACGACGGCATTTATCCAAAGCTCGTATTCGTGACAGATGCGAAATGGAACGGTTCGAAAGCGATCGATAACCTGGCTACGCAATTGTCACCCGCATCATGCCATGTACCATGTAGTTTCTGGGGGAAGTCTGGGACCCCGATAGAACACGGTATGAATGATGTCACTAGTCGAATGGCCAGAGCGTGACAAAGTTCCTAAATATAATATTGTGGCGCGGGTCTCTATCACAACGGAGGATATTGGTGACAGATTGACGATAGTTTTGTAGCTCACGTTATGTGGCACACATCCTTAAGCGCAGTACCCCATAGTTCTCGTTAGTATATACATGGTATTTAGAATGGCCTTCCATGGATCCAACTCAGGTGATTTATTTGGTAGTCAGGTCATTGACCCAGATGTTTGAGTACCACGGATCTGAATTTGAATTCCACATGGCAAGGATGTTGATCGTACAAACCGAATATAAGCCAGACGGTTTGGAAGTTATTGATCATGAGTTACATCCTGCCCTGACTTCTGTGACTGACAATCCGGAGCATAATTAAATACATTTGGGTGACACTTTTGTGAAGTTAGGTGGTTAATTAGAGGGCATCCCGAAGTTGTCTAATCATGGCGTTGGATATTCGCGTTTCGGCAATGAAAACCCCGATAGATATCGCCGAGTATCTGTTTACTCGACTACATCAATTGGGTGTACGAACCATACAAGGGGTTCCTGGTATTTCGTTGTCTTTTCGTTTTCTCACTTCGCTATACTTGCTAATTCGTTCTTAGGAGATTATAACCTAGCGGCCCTGGATTATATCCCAAAGGTTGGGCTCACATGGGTTGGGAACTGCAATGAATTGAACGCCGGTATAGCTTCCTGTGTGGGGTGCTTCATACCACGGCCGCAAAACTTACTAGTATTTTTGTGCAGGATACTCTGCCGATGCGTACGCTCGGATAAAAGGAATTTCAGCAATTATTACAACATTTGGGGTAGGCGAACTGTCCGCGTTGAATGCAATTGCCGGGGCATATTCAGAGCATGTGCCGGTTGTGCATATTGTTGGCCAACCCAGCACAGCGTCGCAGAGGGATGGCATGCTACTCCACCATACCCTGGGTAATAGTGACTATAATGTTTTTACTAACATCAGCGCCAACCTCGCTATCATGGTGGCTAAGATCACGGATCCGCACGATGCACCTGCATTGATTGATCATACCCTGCGCGAGTGCTGGATACAATCTCAGCCAGTGTACATTGCTTTACCCACCGACATGGTCCAGCAAAAGGTTGAAGGAGAACTGCTTCTCTCTCCAATTGACCTTACTGAGCCTTTGAATGAACCAGAGGAGGAGAGATATGTTGTTGACGTTGTGATGAAGTATCTTCATGCCGCCAAAAGCCCGGTTATCCTGGTTGATGCTGGTGCAATCCGCCACAATGCGCTTGAGTATGTGCATGAGTTAATTCAGAAATCTGGTTTCCCAACCTTCGTCACTCCGATGGGGAAGGGGGCAGTGGATGAAACACTACCTAACTTTGGAGGTGTATATGCGGGGACTGGTTCCAACGAGGGCGTCGCTGCGAGGGTAGAGTCGGCCGACTTGATCCTGAGCATTGGGCCATTGAAATCAGACTTTAATACGACGGGATTCTCATACCGAACCAGCCGGCTGAATACGATTGACTTTTACAGCGACCATGTCCAGGTCCGGTATTCCCTGTATCCGAAAGTGAGGATGAGAGGCATTCTAGAAAAGGTCATTCAGGAAATTGGGGGAGTAAGCATCAGCCCAACATCCTCGTCGTTCTGCAACACAATCCCCAGTGGCATCATCGAGTCCAGGGATGGGCCCATCACTCACTCTTGGCTATGGCCTGTGGTTGGTAATTGGCTACGGGAGGGCGATATTGTCATTACCGAGACAGGTACTGCAAACTTCGGAATATGGGAAGCGAGATTTCCTAGGGGTGTCACAGCGATCAGTCAGGTCCTCTGGGGTAGCATTGGGTATTCTGTAGGCGCATGCCTTGGGGCTGCATTGGCCGTCCGAGAAGCTGAGAATCGGCGAGTAATACTTTTTGTGGGAGATGGTAGCTTCCAGATGACGGCGCAGGAAGTGAGCACAATGATACGTCAAAACTTGAACCCTATCATGTCAGTCCAAGTGACTAACTGGCCGGAGGAGGCTTTACCTTGCTTTACTAATAAGATCTAGATTTGTGATCTGCAACGACGGGTACACTATCGAACGGTATATACACGGCTGGGGGGAGGAGTACAATAATATCCAGCCTTGGAAGCACGCCGCCCTGGTCCAGGCATTTGGAGCTGAAGGTCCACATCACTACAGCACCTACCAGGCTTCAACCCGGAATGAACTTACATTGTTGCTTAACAACCAGCAGTTCGCCTTTTGCCCTCATTTTCAGGTAGGCAGTGTGCTACTCAATATAAAATTGTTTTCTTTAACTAACTGATCTTTCCAGCTTGTAGAATTGTATATGCCGAAAGATGATGCACCGGCGGCTCTCAAACTTACAGCAGAAGCTGCAGCGGCGAGGAACTCACAGGCGGTGGAGTAAGCATAGTTCACAAAGGGCTAATTTGAGACGCTTGGCTCAGTAATAAGTTATACAGCAGGCTAGACTTATTGCTGGAATGATGGCTGAAAAGTACTTTTCAACAGTTATGTGATGTAGGGAAAGGTGAATGGCACTGAGGACAAAGTATGTATATGTATAGGACATATTTATAAAAGCTTCTATTGCTGCCTCACTCAACTGCTGGTTATACCAGTCACTAGAGAGCATCTATAAAAGGACTTTCTTTTTAACTTACCTCGTGGCTAAAGGATATCAGTAACATGCCAGTCTTCTCGAAGAATGCACTCCTGCCTGGCCTTTCTGCCACACCAGGAGCACCCGCATACACAGAAAGAACTTGGTGCCCCATGGGATCAAGTTCTAATTAAACGTTGAGGTTGTGTCATAAATCCTCACTAGAGAGTCATCTCCGATGGACCAAAGGCCGTGGTTGGCCCTCATGTGCGTATACCATGACTGGTATGGTGCCTTGTGTAGATCGAACGTATATCCATAAAATATATTTTTGTATCGGTGTAGATCGCGTCGAGCTATAGTGGAAAGACGTCCATTTTCGGTAATCCAGCCGGTATGGATCCATCCCGCCATAATAGGTCATCCACAATCGGTGCACAGTCGCCCGATGAGGGTACGAGGGCCTGTCCGAATAAATAGAGACATTTAACTATCATTCCATTCACGTGTGAATTGATGCGACCTCCTGACGCAAACTAGCTTCCTTCCAACTACAGTCTACAACCCGCCGCTATCATGGAAGCCGTCTACCAAACCCTCGTCGGCCGTGCCCTGCAAATCTCCCAAGCCCAGCAAAGCAGCGACCCCGGTTCCCTTAAGCGGGTAATCATAGCTCTGAGCGGCCCGCCAGGCGCAGGCAAGTCGACCATTGCAGCAACCGTCATCGCACGGCTTAACGCACTCGCAACAAAGCCCTTTGCCATCGCCCTCCCCATGGACGGCTTCCACTACCCCAAGAAGTACCTGGACGGGCTCGCAGATCCCGACGAAGCACACGCACGGCGCGGGGCGCATTGGACCTTCAACGCATCGGGTGTGCTGCAGCTTGTCAAAGCCCTGCATTTGAGCAAAGCGGTCCAGAGGGAGGTGATCTATGCACCACAGTTCGACCACGCGGTCGGTGACCCGGTGGAGGGGGCGATCGAGGTGTCGCCGGAGGTTTCGCTGATCATTATCGAAGGGAACTATCTGGCATACAATATGTCGCCGTGGTCCGAGATCGGCGACTACGTGGATGATACGTGGTTCGTGGATGTTGATATGGAGGTGGCGAGGAGGCGCATTGCGCGGCGGCACCTGGAGAGTGGGATTGAGAAGACATTGGAGGATGCGATACGGAGGGCGGAGAGCAATGACATGTTAAACAATGTTGATATACGCGCAAACCTGATCAAGCCTGCCGTGGTTGTCCATAGTGTTGATGAGCCATAGACCGAATCCAAGCATGCATCCGTTAGTTAACATAGGGCAAGACGGATACGGCGCGGAAGAGTCGAACTGTTTCGTTTCCGCCGCCCGCACGCGGCATAGCTTACTAAATATGGTAATCGGGCGGAAAGATCACCCCAAAAGGAAATCAACGCCGCAGCCTGAGAAGGTCATGGACGTTGATCTTCTCAGCTGGCGGTATACACCAGAGTAGGGTCCAAGGAAGCCAGAGTGAGCGTGTGATGCTGATATTTTTTCCATACCAAAGAAACATGAAAGTGATGTGGCACGATATAAAGGGCTTAGGCCAGCATTGTTTTTGGCCTCCTGTCAACCATTACGTTTCTCGAGATGCTGCTGTCCCTTGCACTGCCCATCCTAGGCCTAGCAACGGTGGTCCTGATCTTGACCCCCTTGATCTATTTCCTCTGGGACCCACATGGTCTACGGAAGTTCCCCTCGCCGTCCATTGCTGCCATCAGCCCTATATGGCGTGCCTGGCACAATGTTCGATTCAAGCACTACGCCGCTGTGCATGACGCTCATAAAAGACTCGGAACGCATGTTCGCATTGCTCCCAACCATATCTCCATTCTCGATCCACGAGCACCACAGCAGATCTACGGCCATGGAGCCAACATGCTCAAGGCCGACTGGTATGATGCAGCCGCAGGCCCGCACCGGAACCTGGCAGATACCCGCGACAAGTCTGAGCATCAAGCGAAGCGAAAAATGCTTGCGCACACCTTTGCCGCCAAAACGGTCGTGGCGTTTGAGCCTTTACTGCAAGAGAACCTGTCGAACCTTCTGAATGTTCTCGATCGCCACGAGGCAGCAGGTGAAACGGCCAACATACGACGTCTCTTGAACTATATGTTGATCGATATATTTGGCCAATTGCTCTACGGACATAAGCTCGGATGCCTTGAGCGTGGGGATGATCTTCTTGTTGCAGAGTCAAAAGACGGCCGTACATACAAGGCCCCCTTCATCGACTCCCTTCTGGATGTGACTGTGATCAATAATCTGCTGGCTATATTCTCCCACATTGCACCCACCCTCGGGAAAATAGCCAAGTATCACCCGTACAAGAAGAAGGTACGGACTGGGACAACATCGTGTACCACAATACGAAAAAGCGATTCGAAACGCCAAAAGTCGAGGATGATTTATTCCAACGCTTACTACGCGACAACAAGGGTCAGGACCTCAACCTGCCGTTTGGGGCGATTTTGGCAGAGTGTTCATCCATGATGAACGCCGGGACGGAAACAACGACAGCGGCTATGACCAACACAATATACTTGCTGTATAGCCACCCGCCAGTGCTGCAGAAGCTCCGTGAAGAGATCATGGCTGCCGTGCCCGGAAACGATATACCGACCTACTCCGTAGTATCAACGCTGCCATACCTTCGGGCCTGCATTGAGGAGTCCCTCCGAGTCCGCCCAGCAAGCTCCTTCGGGCTGCCGCGGATTGTCCCCAAGGGTGGGAGAGAAATCTGCGGCCAGTTTATCCCCGAAGATGTCATTGTTTCAGTGCCCACATACTCCCTTCTGCGGGATCAAACCGTCTTTAAACATGCATCTGAATACATCCCCGATCGCTGGCTCACCGAGGATCCGGAGGAGAAGAAGAGGATGATGAACAACCATCTGCCGTTTAGTACTGGGCCTCGCGCCTGCATTGGACGGAACATCGCCTATTTTGAACAGACGGTTGTAATTGCCACAATTGTGAAGTTCTTCGATGGAAGGCTGGAGGAGGGCTTCCAGCTGGAGACGCAGGAACGATTCAACTCGAATGCGGGTGACTTGCCCATCCAGATGTCTCGTCGTGTTTTTTGATCATTTACTGTATCCATTGTTTCTTCGTTCGTCTTTTGCTATTCTCTATTTCAATAGTTACGAGTTCTAGACGAGTAAAAGTAGTATAGTCAAATGGAAGAGAACTGCGTTAGCGAAATTTTAATCTTAGACATGATGAAGATCATTGAGAAGTCCGTTGTTAATCGGCTTTAGACGCCCCATTACTAGTATTATTATCGTATCACAGCATCTTACAAGACCGACACAACTGTAGACCCTACATCCCGAGGACTCTTGTTCTACTGACAACGTGACGACCACGCGGCCTTCTCATTCTGGTATTCCAGCACAAGCTACCAAACCCCATAAGAATTCCAGTGCCATGCTGCGGAGTAGTGCGGGAATTACCCTCCAAGGGGAAGCCGGTCCGGATGAAGGAATCCTTTTTCGATATTCAGCCCCTGCCCCAGGTGTCCCCAGTCTGACCTTTTCGTTGCGGAGCACGGCCCTCTATTGATCGGACCGCATGATCGTGTAGAGTGTAGCCGACATAAAGCAAGGGTTGTTCCTCCATAACGGCGTTCTCTCTGTATCCGTAGCATTGCTTCGTATTCCTTCTAAGTCCACAAAAGCCTGACACTTGCCGCGATGGGAGTATCTGTAGAATCATGGCTGGAAGTGCTAGAACAGCGAAGTGAGTAACCATTGCGCATGGATTAACCCCATTTCCCACAGTTGTCTGACTCGGGCACAGCCAACGTTGACGTCGACTACATGGACCCAGCATTCACGCTGAGTGTCCAGCCCTTCCAATTCAATGACATGACCAGCAACCAGACCTTTGTCCATGAGCAAATGTGCCACCCGGACAACGCCAGCCTACTCAGAGACGTCGTTTCGCAATACAAAACCTCCGGCTGGCTGGCAATCTACACTCACATGGTAAGGAAACCCGCCAGACCAGACCCCTCAAATACGTGGCTGTGCTGATGGCATGAGCTAGGCCGTCCTGATGTGCAAGGCGAACATTTCCAACATCAAAGGCCGAGTGCTCCTCCAGACTCTCCCGACATATGCATACAACTGCGTGAAAACAGTGGAACACGCCCGCGCCTATGCGCGAGAGTTCGAGGCGGTAGGCATAAGCAAAGACCGGTTCTGCATCAAGATTCCAGCCACGGGGCCTGGGCTGCGCGCATGTCAGATCCTAGCGCAAGACGGGATCCGGACGCTCGGCACGGCGGTGTTCAGTGTCCATCAGGCCATCGCTGCAAGCCAAGCGGGGTGCTTGTATATCAGCCCCTATTACAATGGTAGGTCACCCGCTCCGTGTGAACTTGGATTAGACTCTCACACCGGTGTTGCACTGCAGAGCCTTTGGCACACGTCGACCGGTCGATTTGGCCGCAATCTGATGACCCAGCCTTGCTCCACCCGTTTTCGCCACGTCTAATACAGATCCTGGATACGTACAAGCGTCTGTACAAGGAGACCGGCCGAGAGCAGCCTTTGGTCAAGCTGGCCGGGTATGTGAACGTCTTTCGTTTTAGAACCGCATAGGCGAATCAAAACTAACTAACCCATTGCAGCTTCCTGTCGACCTCCGAGGCCATGGCAGCAAGTGAAATCGGATGCCATTCGGCAACGATCTCACACCAGGTACTGAAGGAGCTCTGGGCGCTGCGTTATGTCAGTTCCAAGCAGCCTGGAGAAGGCGTTCCCAAGCCCGCCCATCCCTACGCGAACGCGCTGCCGAGTCCTGCCCGCCTCGCACAGCTTGCTGGGTTGGATCCTCTGGCACCAGCCACATGGAACGGCGAACTGGCAAGCGCCGATGTGGATTATTTGGCGAATAATGGCGAGAATCTAGACGCGGCAAACAACGCGGACCCGGAAACTAAACGGCGAATCGCAGACGCACTAGAAGGTTTCGTGAAGGCAGAAAAGCGGAGCCAGTCTAAGATCCAGGGATTAATGGAGGGACTCTAAGGGTATAGCTCCTGCGAGGGTAGTATGCTCGAAGCTGAACTTAAATAAAACAAGGGCCTATCACTCCCTGCATGCATGTTCTACAATCAATAACTATACCCTCACATAATCCTCTAATGAGCTCCATTTGCATACCGGAATACACAGATACCGCTCTACCTAGATCGTAGATTCTCTAGCAAAGGTCCCTCACCCAACCCCATACAGTTCCTCATACCCGCCAAACGGAGGTCCATGAAAATTAACCGGATTTTCCGCATCCAGATACATCCACGAGACATCATCCATCCCAGAAAACAAATCCATCGCCTCAATGGGCGGGAGCTCCCCCTGGATCTGCGATACCGATGCCGCATTAACGGGCACTGGATCCGTAGTGACCTCAGTGCCGCCGTGTGGGTCCGCCCGCTGTGTGATCTGCACATGGCCAACACGAAGCAGATCCAGACTCGGCAACTCATTCAGTGCCGTTGATATGCGCTGTGTGAGGAGTGCCATGGCGTCGGCAGACGCCCAGGTGCATCGCAGCTCCTGCAGGATATCGGACGCGGTCGTGAAATCGGAGCGCGCATCTTCCTGGTCACTGGGCAGACGGCTGTATCGGAGTTGCTGGTAGGAGACAGATAGAGCGAGAGACGTGGCGTAGACGACGATCGGTAGGGGGCACAGGGCGTTTAGCCGGGTGGGATCGCGCATGTAGCGGATTACCTGGATTGCAGACAGCTGTTGGCGCAGGCGGGATGGGGTCGGGGAGGGAAGCGAGGTTATGGTCTTCAGACGGTGGGCGAGGATTGCGGTTGCGTGGAAGAAGATGTGGAGGGTTCCTTTTGGGTCCGGTTAGTAATGGTATGCGTAACGGGTGTGACTAGATCAGGGGCAAGGGAGGCGTACCTATGGTGGACGGGGGAAGCTGCCATGCGCACATTTCGTCCATAATCTGTTCGAATACCGGGAACCCGGAGTCTAGACCGGAGCCTAGGTCGGCCGCCCTGGGCCTATAGAGGCCAATCACGACGTTTAGATATTTGATAATACGGAATAGCACGTTGAATGCACTCGAGCCCGACTCGTGCGGCAGTATCTCTGGGATGGCGATGTCGATATCGGCCATAAGGCATGGCCTTGAATTGGTGGCAGCGTTTAACCGGTCCAACATCCAAAGGCACCAAAATGTTCGCTTGAGGTCGTTATCAACATCACTGGGTCGTGGTTGATGCAGTGCAAGTGACTGGGCAGAATGTGTGGCCTGAGCCATGTAGCTGGAGGATTGTTCAGAGCTATCGGATCCTTCCTGGTGCAGGGAGAGCAGACCGAAGATTCGCATCAGTGTTATTTTGTTGACAGCCGTGCGTTGAGAGAGTGCTGAGCAAATAGAGATATATACCTGACTGCAGAACTGTCGGACAGATATGACAGTATCATCATAATGCAAGAGCTTTAGATGACTAGACGCACTATGATCTTTGGCTGCGAGTAGGCACACAATATGCACCAAGGGCATTGGAATCGTCCGCCGGGACAGCAACTCCCAGTACTCTGACTGATTGAGGAGGGGAATTAGCGGATGTATAGTCCTAAAGTATATATGCGAGAGCTGTTTTATCGTCTCCTCCGGGAGGAGGTCTGAGATAGGGAGATAAATGCGCTCCGAGCCTATCGTGGAAGGCACATAACGCACAGAAGAGGGACGTCGATCCCTGGTTGTGCCACCTTTACTGGAAGTCTGAGGGCGGATCCACACCCCGACATCACCGGGTGTCATGTCTTGCGTATCCTCGGGAGAAGTAGCCTCGTCGAGCAGGCGGGCTTCTGGATTCAAGTCTCCCACAAAGCGCGGCGACGATGGAGCGGCATGTGGATTCAACGCGACCACTGGCGAGGAGTCCTCTTCTCTGACTTGGGGTACCCGAGTTAGCCGTGGGCTCTGTGGAGGGATTGAGCTCTGGGAGACAGCTGGCCTGGGGTGCTGCTGCGCGGGCTTTGGCTTTGTCTTCTGGGGCGTCTTGCGCGTCCTATTACTGAGGTTGGGCGACATTGAGCAGAACACAAATTCTCTAGGGGTTGCAGAATTTGGCTCTGTATCAAGTCCACGCTGGTGATTGCAACGTCTCTTCTTGTGGCGACAGAGATCACAGGCTTTGCGACTGCGACTGCGGCGTCCTGGGGCGGAATCAGCATCCCCTGCAAAGGTGAAGTTGGTCTCCATATCAGCGAAAGTGGTTCTGGGGGTCAAGCTTCAGTTGATATATATAAATCCGGGGCGGGGCAGTCCGTCCGCCTGCGAGTTACATTAAATTTAATACCTTGGTAGCGAAATGGTCTACTATCTTGCCCAATAAACTTGTACTTTGTTAGAATAGATTCAGGCCAAGGTGTGAGGAGACATCAGGAGCTTATATGTGATCTAGGGAACACTACTGCACAAAATATCTCATTTCATAGCCCATATTCCTATTTGGTTGTATCTATTTACATCTCGCAAGTTTAGGTAAAGTGCTAATAGTTCGCCCGATGCTTAAACGAGCTCACACCCCCATCAACTACAAGGTCCTGCCCGGTCGTCCAACTACTAGTAGCAAGATAAATAATCGCCGGCTTAAGCTCACTAGGCTCAGCCACACGCCCGAACATCGACTCCTGGTTAAACTGCTTCAGCAAATCGGGGAAAGTCTGCTCAACCTGCTTGAACATGTCGGTGCGTGTGGACCCGGGAGAGAGCGCGTTGACCCTGATTCCATACTGAGATAGCTCAAGTGCAAGAGGTTTGACCAGGCCACGGATGGCCGACTTGGATGCAATGTAGCAGCTTGTTTGCTGGACGACTGTGCTGACGTGCACTGAAACCGACGAGATGAAGATTATGGACCGACTGGGGGGATGTCGCTGGGCTTTGGCTTGCCGAGCTTTTCCCACTTCCGGACCATTGCGTTGGCACAGGCTTGGGCTACAAGAAAGGACCCGACGAACTGTATTGCTTAGTTGTTAGGCAGCGGTATTGAGAGGGATTGCAAGGGACGACTTGCATTGACGTTGAAAGTGCGGCTTAGATTCTGATCAGAGGTAGTCAGGAAAGGCTCGTCGGTCACGACGCCAGCAGCGTTAACGCTAGTTTAAACATGATATATTAGTCCCGTATTGATAGTGGCAGTGGTTCACTCACTTGACATCGACGCTACCGAACTCGCGCTCGATGGTCTCGACAACTTCGTTTACTTGCTGCCGAGATGAAACATCCACCTCAAATGACTTCACCTTCACAGCGTAGCGCTCTGCAAGTGCCTCCAATGAACCCTCTTTTGGCACGCCAATGTCCAGAATAGCGATGCTGGCGCCGGCCTCCGCAAGCGCTTCGGCGAAGGCGAAGCCGAGACCGCGCGCTCCGCCAGTGATCACGGCGGTTTTACCTTTGAGTGCGAACTTTGACACATTAGTACCCAGGTTTAATGGTCAGAGTTGGGAAGGGATGTGCAGGACTCACTTGATCCATGTTGTGGTGGAGGGAACTTGGCTGCTATACTTGGAGGAAGCGTTCAGGAGGACTGGGAACTTGCTCATTAATTTATAATAAAGGGCTGAGACTGTTCGAGCCGCAGGGGCTTTCCATATGGATGTCCCCAAACCAAGAGCTTCCGCCCGAAGATTGAAGTCGTCAATGGCCGATACTCGATATAGATGGCCGGCGCGGGGATTACCCAAACGGGAAGAGTCCGCAGTATACTGGTGCCTCTCGTACAAGCCTTGAACCTGGGCAAATACAGTGTTCTAACTGTTTGCCTCTCGTACTATACCTACCTGGGCACTTTCGACCGCATGGAAGCTCTCCGCACGGGACATTCTGGTCTTGCCTCTCCTCCGACCTGTAGTGGTTGATAAACTCTCCCATAGCCCCAGCCATAATGTCTTCCATCCAGAGCCCAAACCAAAACATGGAGCCGAAAACTATCCGCTGGGGCATCCTAGGTATGCAACGCTCCCCATCCATAGACATCACTACTAAACTATACTAGCCACCGGCGGAATCGCTGAAACATTCACCAAGGACCTCCTAGTCGACCCAGCAACCCGCAATGTCACTTCCATTAAACACACCGTAGTGGCAGCAGCCAGCTCTTCTGGGGCCCCTCGAGCCCAAGCCTTTCTAACAACTGTTTGTGCACCACCATCAGCCAAGGCATACGGCTCTTACGAGGAACTTGCGGCGGACCCAAACGTGGACATCATCTACGTCGCAACTCCCCATTCACACCACTACCGGAACGTCAAGCTTTGCCTGGAGTCCGGGAAGAACGTCCTCTGCGAAAAGGCATTCACCGTCAATGCGGCGCAAGCAGAGGAGCTCGTCCGGATTGCCCGCCAGAAGAACCTGTTCCTCATGGAGGCGCTGTGGACTCGCTACTTCCCTTTATCGGTGTATGTTCGGGAGACTATCACCTCGGGAAGACTGGGAACCATCATGCGGGCGTCCGCGGATAACTCCCTCGATCTCAGTCCTGAACAGAATTTCAGCCCCGAGCATCGAATGGTCAGCCCTGCTCTGGCTGGTGGCGCGTTGCTCGATATGGGTATTTACAGCCTGACGTGGATTTTCCAGACCCTGTACACGACCCAATCCCCCGAGGCGCGCCTAAATGCCCCGCCGCCCCGTGTGGTGTCCAGTATGCAGAAGTACGGACCTACCGGCGTGGATGAAACGGTTAGCATGCTGCTTACTTTCCCACGGGATCCTGAACTCGGAGGCGACATGCATGGGGTTGCGACGACGGGGTTCCGAGTGGCGAATGATATCGACGGGAAGGGCTCTGCTGGGCCGGCTGTTCGGATTCAGGGGAGGAAGGGCGAGTTGCAGGTGTGGCCGCCTATCTATCGACCTACTCGCACACGACTCGTTCTTGCCGATGGGACGGTCGAGGATAAGACCTGGCCGCAGCCTGGGCCGGGCAAGGGGAGCAACTGGTTCAACGGATATTCGATCGCTGGGACGAATCCAGAGGGTGAGGGCTATGGGATGTTCTGGGAGGCAGACGAAGCAGCCATGGCTCTCATTGAAGGCAGAAAAGAGAGCCGGTACCAAGGGCTGGATGAGTCTGTTCTCATCATGCAGGTCATGGATGATGCCCGGAGGCAGAATGGTCTTCTCTATCCCCAGGATATCGAAGCCACCGATGAAAAGAAACAGTGACCACATAGCTTGCATTTAAAATATCCTTGAAACGACTATCCTGAATAAATTTATGATTCTATAGATAGGGATATATCTACATAAAAGCAGCCGTAATTTCAACCTTCACCAACCCACTCTCAACGCCTCTCACACTCACACTCCTTAAATCCTCAACAATCCAATCCGGTCCAGCCGCCCTCAGCTGCTCTACAGAATGCGACGTCTTAACAGCGAGCACCTTAAATCCAGCCGCCTTTCCCGCCCGAATTCCAGCTGGTGCATCCTCAATCACCAAAACTGAAGACTCGTCACCCCGGAGCCCCAACTGCTTCCGACCAAGTAAATACCCCTGGGGATCCGGCTTGCCAACGTGCACATCCTCGGCTGCAATCAACATGCTAGGACGCACTAAGCCCAGCCTATCGACCCATCCGCTGATCAAAGCGCGTGTTCCGGACGTTACGATTCCCCAGCGCGCACCTGCTTTCTGTAGCGCTGTGAGAAGCTCCCGGCTCCCCGGCACTTCGGAAACGTCCGAGTTGGTACTGAATTCGCGTGGTATACGGGCTTCGATTGAGCTTACGTCTGGATTGAGAAGTGTCAATATATGTCTTGCTTAAGTAGGTAATAGGTATACGGACAATCCCAATTCGCCTTGCTGGTGTCATACAGCGCGAGCGTATCGAGTGTTCGACGCCCATGAGAAGTTGCAAGGACGGTCTCCGGATCGATTCCTAGCTCGGACGCAATACTGGATGCACAGTCGATCAGTATTGAACTTGCTGCATGTACCGGTGTAGATGCTTTTCCTCAGGCTTCGGTTGAGAGCGGAAAGGGTGCTTGCTAGTCCTTAACTAACCTGTGCCAGAACTTCACGACCGCTAGTCTATATCAGCTACCTTCATCATGGCGCAGTCAAATTTTCTAATGCCTCACAAGGTATGTTTCTTGGAGTTATAAGAACCTACCTGGCGTCGTGTCAAGTATCGTGCCATCAAAGTCTAATAGCACAGCGTCGAAGGCGTACTCCTTGGTCGCAGCCGAAAAGGACTCTGTTGCTGCTGCTGATGGCATGGTATTAAGAAATCAAACTGTAAGCGAGTGATCCTTGCAGGTCGCGAGATATGCAACACGAACCTAGAGGTTTCAGCTTTTTACATACATGAAGAATCAAGAATCTCTCTCCATGTCACGGGCTGCGGTGTACTGCCTAAATAGGTAAGCCTCCGCTTAACTCAAGGCACGATACGTTTGAATCAGAGGCCACCGGCTTCTACTGGCGAGGACTGTGTTCTAAGGCCTGGTGAGCCCCGGGAAGCCTCTTGGTACCCAGTAGCTGGTCCGGTTGGAAATTATGCATGGCCTGCCATAGACAGACAATTGCCTACGCTACTACGAAGACCAAATAATAATGCAGCAGCTATGCTTCAATTTTATTTCGGATTCAGGTCTTTCGCCTCTGCAAATGTAGGACAGCAAGAAAACTGACACCCAGTGAACGTTCATGTATGTACATCGATCAGTTGGGCTTGGGCTTCGTGCGTCTCGCATCCCGAACCTGGCCAGGACGGCGTTAAGCTTCGCTATAATCACTGTAAGGATTTACATGGGTGCTCGCAAACTTCCTTGCTGATGTCTTCGTTCGAAACAGAATATCCAACTCCTCGTAGGTGCGATCCTTCATCTCCGGCAGACGGAAGTAAGCCCATACCATCGAGAGAAAACAGGTCCCACCATAGAGAAAGAACGTCTTCCCTTTCCAGTTTGCTGCTTCAGGGTTGAGCATGTATGGAGTCGCGACACCGAAGATAATAAACCAGAAATAGAATGAGCAACGACCGAGGGCCACTGTTTTGGCGCGTAGCCGGGTTGATCCAACCTCGCTGACGATACAAAAGGCCAGAGGGCCGACCGAGCCGTCATAGAGAAACACCCAGATGACTAGGAGGATTGACTGGGCCCAGACTGCCGCGTTGTTTGATTCGGGAGCCAGAGCTGCGAAGCCGATGGTGAGCATGGTGATGCACATAAGGGCTAGGCCACCGATGAAGATTGTGCGGCGACCGTAATGCGTCATGAGAAACCAGGCAATGAGAGTGCCAACGAAGCCGAGACCGTAGTATCCGATGCTGATATCGAACGCTGTTGATCCGCTCACACCCGCCTGCTGGAAGAAATAGGTGTTGTACTGGTTCATGGAGATACCTGCGAAGACTTGAATTGGCCATGAGATGAGGGCAATCTCGGTCCGGCGGCGGTCAACGCCTTTAACGCAGTCCCAATACGAGCTGCTATCTAGTTCCTGCTCTTGTTCGTCTGTCCGTATCATCATCGCAAGTGTTTTCTTGGGGTCGATAGCCGGAGACAATCGTCTCAGTGAATGCTCTGCCTCTTCTAGGCGACCTTGGCGAAGGAGCCACCATGGTGACTCCGGGCAAAAGAGCAGCCCGACGCATAGAGGAACTGGCCAAATCCATTGCAGAGCAAAGGGAATGTCATAGGCCCATCTACCCTCCATCCCCTGGACGCCCCGGAACACACCAGCCGCGATCAATTGTCCAATCACCCATGTCATGTTAATAAACGTTGTGAGGTAGCCGCGGAGAACGACGGGGCACACTTCGGAGGCATATGTAGGCGCCGTCGCAGTGAAAACACCCCAAGGGAGGCCACAAAGAATTTGACCAACTAGGAGCAGGGCTTTAGTCTGACCAAATACCAAAATAAACGTGAACCCCGTCAGAGCAATATAAGCCAAGACCAGTGTTTTCTTCATTCCGATGCGTTCCGTGATATAACCGTTAAGCAAGATTCCGAAGATGGTACCGATATAACCACCATTTCCCAGGGCTGTCTGCCAGGGCGCAGTAATCTGGTAGCCGTCATGGGAGGGGACGCCGAATGCCTTTTGGAATGACTCCTGGGCGAATAGCTGCCCAATGACAGCCATGTCGTAGCCTTCCATAATACAGGCAGCCGAGACAAGAACGGACCATCCAACTGCCTGGGGATAGAGCTTCAGCGCCTGCGTCAGTGTAAGGTTGTGCTCAGCCTCCGTGGCTTCCCTGGCATCGTTGAAGAGTTTCTTTGCAGAGGTCAAATCGTTCGTGATATCATTATCATGGGTTGAATTCTCAATGTGGTCGGCTGAAGAATGCTTTATGCCGTCGTCGAGTGAGTAGAGGTCATTCCCCATGACTGGAAATACCGTATTGCTCAATAGAAGGTATATACAGGAAGTAAATATAGTGATGATGAAGGAAATCAAATATAGGACAGACTCTTGGTACTATCAGTGACTTTAAATGGGAGCTGGGGTGGCGCTCTGGAGCCCCAGGATTCCGGGGTAAATCTGGGGATTCCCTTTTTGGACTAATCCGCGGTCAGCCCTGCTCCAGGCCGTAGTCTGTACTACCGGTATAGACCGGCCATTCTAAGTAAACCGGCCAGACGCTCTTCGCTTCCAATTCGGGTTGACACCACATCACTCATCCTGAACAGAGGCTTTAGATGGCGGAAGCCGCTAGACTCCCTAGTATCCGAATGTGATATACCACTTGGATGTCATAGTGTGAAGGCGTTGAATCTGTCTTCTACAAACTCTAAGTTAGGTTTCCTTCACCCTACCATCCAGTACCAATCAGTAGGTATCAAGGACGAGCCCAAAGCATCGAACGTGAATTACTTTTGGAAGGCCCGGCGAATTGCGTCTAGCATCTTGGGAGCCCATTCCTTCTCGCGAGAACATGGCAGTTCTATCTCTATCTCCTGTTGGCATTTTCTAGAGCCTTTACGAGTCTAGTATGGAGTAATCATAGTGACGACCACAGAGGAACATTAGTAGGTAATCATCTGCGGAGTTTGTAGTATCTAGGGTTCCAGCTTTTCTCTTCGCAGTCCACGCCCATTGAACTAGTTATCATGGACGGGCCTTAGATCTTCGAGGTAAAGTTGGTCCCCATGAAATCGGCCGTACTATGCGGAACAACTTGATCGGATAAGTTGCCGGAACCAGAGTCTTCCGCAGCGGATGTCCTAAGTAGGAAGTACAAGCGCGAGACTCGCCAAACAATCGAAGTGTGGTGACAAAAGTCCTACCATACGAGGCTAATAGTTGCAACAAGTCTCTCTGTTGGTATATTTGATTGACTAACTATACCAGTATATACCATCCTCTGCCATGACCGCATTTTACCGTATTATATTCGGACAGGATTACATACGCGCTGCATCAGCATTGCCATACAATTTGCCACAGATATCCCGTTTACTCTATTTTGTTAGCCATATCTTTGTACTTTAGCCCTTGTCAGTATAACGCTTGAAATGCACTTGCCATGGCATTCCCTGTGTATATGTTGGATTGTAAACTTTATTAGTCTATGAAACTCATTACCTGGAGAATAGGACCATCGTATGTGACATATCTATATACATCCACACCAAATAGCGGGTGTAGACGTCGGACGGGTGTATCAAGGAGTACTAATATGAAGTAAATATCTGGACAGCACTAATCTAGACTATATACACATAGAGCTTCCTCGTATTTATGCATCTCATGGATGAAATACAGATAGAACCACGTAGAATTGAAGTCGGACATCACCAGATACACGGCCGGCAATTCTGGAGTGCAAGGAACAATGGCGGAATCGCAATCCGGTAATTGAATAAATAATGATATTATGCTATCGGAAAGCTAGGTGACAGGCTTGGTAATGAGATGCAGGGCAAAGAAAGGTAGAAACTTGGGTGTGCAACCCGACAACAAAAGAGCTGGGACGGTGATTTATGGTGGCAGCGTCATCCTCTCTGCAGAAGAGGATAGGCGAGAGGATCAATAGACCTTCATGTATAAAAGATAAATCTCCTGATATAACACATATCGAGAGCAAGTGTTTGTTCTCACTCAAACCCCCAGTATTCTTTCTTGAATCCCCAATCATCACAAAGATATCCAAGCCATCTGCGCACAGGTATAGCTGCCCCCTCTTCAGAAAGCACAATTCCCCCCGGGCGTTTCTCTGCCTGGAAGCTTACCACAGCATGCCCACGCAAACCGTTTCGAGTCCCATTCCGAAAACAGAACCATTCGTGTGTCTCGCTACATATAAGCAACTTGGATCGTCCCTCGAAAGCTCCTTCCTTTGAGGAAAGTCTCGTATGACAGCTCTCACAGAAATGTGTGCCGAGGCAGAAGCCACAGGCCCAGAAGCGCCTATTGAATCCACAGAGAGCCTCACAGCCATCGCATTGAATGTCCCAATCCACTTCAAGGATATCGCAAAACCTCTCAAGAATTCCCCAAATCTCGTTCCGATGTTGGGATTGCTCTTCTGTCGCTTGCTCAGAAAGCCTGTTGACTTCATTCTGAAGTGCTATGACATGGCCCAGGTGAGTTCCACGTTCTGAGCAGTTGGAGGCGTAGAACTCTGTGATCTTATGAGCGGCAGCGGCAGCATCCTCTTCGTTTGCAATATTCAAAAGCTCCGTGAGAATCTCTTCATTCAGGAAAGCAGGCGGAATGAGCTTGTATGCTGCTACGGCATTATCATAATCACCAACGTGGGTCAATATATCAGCAAGTTTGCTGTAGCCTATCCAATCATTACCAGCATCGTCATCTGTGAGAATGTTGAAAGCATCCTCCATGTCTCACTGGAAGAGTTCCTTAGCCTGGTAAACCTTGTCCTGCAGAATGTATTGAGAAGCCAGATAACACTTGGCTTTTATCCAAGCCGACAATCCGTTGGGTAGTTGCTAAGTAGCAATTTTCTTGATTTCCTTGATCTGGGTTTCGTAGGACTGTTCTTCTCCCACCACTGGTAGTCGCGTTTGATCAAAGTAATACTTGCTGAGTATATCGCCAACGAGCATCATCAGATTGCCAAAAACACTTCGAGTAGCATTGCTTTCACCGACCAAAAGAGTACGGACAGCGCGATCCTATTTCAGGTAGTTGTTGTCCTGGGCAATGGTCCAGGACTTTTGCCAGTGCGCTACCTCAGATCTTGACAACTTGTTGTCCTCGCCACAAAGACAAGCTGCAACCCCTTTGTGCAGATGAATAATTGCAAGGTCGTCAAGGCGACTTTCACTTTCTTTGTTTGTCTCCCACTTGTTCAAGGGTGACGCAGGTTACCTATACCGACCTTTGGTTAGAGCTGTAATGTGCCGATATGCTGTTACCTCACATTTCGTGATGCTCTACGGGTTCATCGTGGCTATCTGGCAAAAGCCATCCCCTCGGCTATTGCGCAGAGCCTGGGGGATGCGACACGTTTTCCTCTCCACGAATGCAACCTCAAAGCAAAGGCTGCCGCAGATGAGGTGAACGCAATACTCCAGCCGAACGGTTATGAGAGAGTTGTCGGAAACTAAGGCAAAGGTGTCCTAACTGCGCCTGCAAGAGCTTGTTCTCTCCTTTCTGTAAGTGGGATGAGCCCATTCCTTCAAGAATGAGGTCCTCAAGTGAGGTTCCCGTGGTATCTTGGGATTTTTGATGTGGGATCTCTGTATGTTGTTGGGCTTATCATGACAAGGGCGGTATTGATTAGCCTAGACGCCTATTGCAGTGCAGATTTGAACCATGAGCTGTTGTTTCGACTATCACTACGTCCGTGCTGGTTGGCTGTTATATGATCCAGATGATATGTGTGAGATTTTAGGGCTTCTCTTGTTTTGAACTCTTTGATAACTGTCTATAAAAAGCATTCACATTAAAGCCTTTATTTTTCCCGCCCTCGCTCGGAAGGCTCTAATGAAACGCCCCGGTGTCGCGTCCTATGACCAGACCAGGTTTCAATTACGCCAGTCGACCTCAGTGAAGTAGACGGGAATGGCTCAGAATTGGAGGGACTCGTGGCAAGAGCTATTAAGCGGCCCAGAATAGCGTATTCTAGTTTAAACTTGAGGCTGTACGCCACGGGTTTGAAGGTCACTTGAAGGGCATAGTACCCTGCAAATTGAATCCCGACAACAGCCACGTCGAGTATAATGATAAAAATATTGATAACCAAGAACTGGCTGAGAATTTTATAGTGAAGTGGGCTGGGATTCAAGCGCAGCATCTTTGCCGTTTCCCACAGGTATATGCCGGAGATCACCAATTCTTGGACGCAGAACACTACCAACTGAACCCGCTCCATAATATTATACCCTCTCGTAGACCGGCTCGCCATGAGGACATTATGTGAGTGGCTCCCGTACAGTAGGACGGCCGTGGATGTATGTAGTATGAATCCGTCAAGAATAATCATTGCAAGCGTCAGGTGGAGCACTCTGGGAGAGTGTATGATAAGGTGTAATCGCGACCATAGAACGAGAGAGTGGCCTGTTACCATACAAGACCAGCTCACAATGATCAAGGAGATCGAGAGATAATACGGTATCCCGGGATAAAAAATGTAGAATATGTAACCCAGACATATTGGGAAGAGGCTGAACGACGCAATGAACAAGCTCCAGAAATACCATCCTCGGTAGAACTTGAACGTCGACAGACAGAAAACGATCAACTCAATAGCATTGTACCAGGTGATGGCGACAAACACTGATATAATATATTTTTCCACGGAGCTGAAGCTACTGTTTTTTGGATGTAGCTCGTCGTCCGAGGCCCGCGTGGTAAGTAACGAGTGACTGAGTCTTGGGTTAGATCCCATGCATGAAACTGCGAGTAAGGGATGAGATACGTGAAGGACGAGAATGAAACGTTCTAATGGGAGGTTGGAGAAAAGGAAGCACTGATTGACAAGTCAAATAGCCGATACGGCAGTGATCGAGTGATCTAGACCAAAATCAAACCATGATCTACACACTGCATTCCGCAAAACGGTGATCCGGTACACCGATCGCTTAGCCGAACTCATGAATGTACTTGTGGGACTAATTCATTTGTGAAATCGGATAGGTGGTCGGTCGATGCAAGTCGGTGCAGAAATTTCCTCTTAGAATTCGCGTAGTAAGTCAAGTTTGACATTTGCTAGCAGGACACCAGGGTCTTTGACGTCAAGACATGATTGACAACTTGGTCTGCTGCGAATCATGGCGATCGAGCTCTGTCCCACTTTTCGTATTTGGTGTCATTAGTGGTTCGCATCCTGGATTTGATAGCGCGCAAACCAAGGGTACAGTAGCCCAATCCGGCCATCGGACCGTATCAAATGGAGGTACCGAGGAAAACGCTAAATGCACTAAGACAGGGGAAAGTATGCAAGAGAACCGAGTTTATTTGAATTATTTTCTGTTTGGACATGGAGGGGCGCCCGGGAATTTTCCCTTCTCACATTATCAAGGTACTAAATGAGTTAGAACTTAGGGTTCTGACTTCCCCTCATGTGATTTAATTTATGTTGTGATGGCGTGGCGTTGAATGCTCAATCATATCATCGACATGGTTACATCGTGCGCTTTTCAATTTGTGATTTATCATCCGTAGTCTCTAAGCGAAGGAGCGAATGCGACTAAATTGTGACTCGAGTGGTCACCCGGAGAAACACATACCATTTATAGTCAAAGGAAAACATCTGTGCCTACACAATCGGAGGCCATGATATGGACATTGTTCTAGCTACCCTTGCAAGGGCTTACTAGCCCTATTGATAGCGTGTCCAGGGGGCAAATTCTCGCTCAGTAAAAATCAGCAAAGCCCCCGTACTTCACCAGAAAATGTTATCTCACATCTGCGAGTACGATACATCATGGTCCTCCCTCTGAGGCGGCTTTCTGCCCCAAGGCTTGTTTCCAGTCTCTACTTTTGCTTAGCGATCACGTGTCTTTTGGTTATGTTGACAATGATGACTTCCATGAGAGACGCGGCCGAGGAGGAGTCGGGCAGTTGGATGACAACACATGGCCTTCTAGAGCCCACGCTCAAGGTCATGATTGTGGGTGACTCCATGTCTCAAGGCCGAGAGGGCGACTGGACCTGGCGTTTTCGTCTCTGGGAGTGGTTCAAAGACCAAGGCCTTCCTGTAGACTTTGTAGGGCCATACAATGGCACAGCACAGTCGGACTTGGCCTCGCTACCGGCAACGCCATCAAGCAATGAAGAGCCGCATTGGACGAGTGAGATCAGAACGAGTGGAGGATACGCAGCCGGTGTGTCGCAGGACTTTGATAAGGACCATTTTGCGATTTGGGGCCGCGCCGTCGCAATAGATAAAGGACTAATATACGATGTTCTCGCTGCCTACCCTGCCGACTTGATACTTCTGATGCTGGGCTTCAACGACATGGCCTGGTTCCACAGCGACGCTGCAGGTACCGTGGACAGCATGCAAACATTTATTCTAAATGCCCGTGCAGCTAATCCGAGACTTAAATTTGCTATCGCGAACGTCCCCCAGCGAACCTTTATCAGCGGCCGGGAAGATCTCCCCTTCAGCACTAATACATATAATGCGTTATTACGAGAGGCGATTCCCGGATGGACCACCCTGGATTCACCAGTTGAACTGGTTGAGCTGCACGAGAATTATGATTGCGCGCCGATAGCGTGTCCAGTGGGTTATGATGGCCTTCACCCAAATGCCCAGGGCGAATATCAGATTGCTCGTGCATTCACACTCACTCTGGTACAAAGTTTCAGCATTGGGACCTTTCCGCTGTCTATTCCTATCATGACGGGCGGGCCATTGTCTGGATTATCCAATCTTCAAGGTACTGGTAGTCTTCCGCAGGGGGTACCAGACATGATACTATAAGCCGGCTACTTTTTATCTCCAGGCCAACACGAACCACCACCAGTCTCACTCCTATCCATCTACTGCGTCACAAAGTACAGAGATGGGCTCCTATGCATATTGCATGCCCAGTCTATATGGAAGGTCATCGGGGTCAGGACAGAATCCCGCATGGTTCCATTGGTGGCAACTCGCCAATGCTATGGATGAGCTTTCCTTGGAAATGATGAACCATTTTATAGAAGACTTCATGCTTATGGGAATACTTTTGTTGCATAGTTAGTCCTGGCTTATATGCACATTTAAGAAAGCTAGAAAGTAATAATGGGAGGCAGCCAAGTTGAAGTAACCAACTCGGCCACACTGACAATTGCTGGGATGAAAATGTGCTGTGAAACATTTTGTCCGGCAATCTCAGTGAGTGGATCAGACTCACCCTCCAACAAATGATAAATCTCGTGTTTTAATCCGACTATTGTCCAGATATTGGTACATAAGCTTTCATACAGTATGTCTCTAGATGAAGTACTCGTACCCCATTCCCCACATTCTAATCAAGACAGCGGCAAGTTCCGCACTCTTGCGGGGCGAACTCCGAGATTAGCAGAGAACCTGTGTGATAAAGGACGACAACGCAGTAACAGCAGTCAATGCGTTTGGGCAGGAGAGGCAAGCAAAAAAGAAAAGATAAGAAAGGGGCGGAGCATCTTTCCGTGGTGCGGAACATACAAAACGTATGTGCTTCATAAATATATTTCCACCCTTCGTCCAAAACTTCCCTACTCGTCATGGAAATATATGGCGGAGATACAGAAAATATGAGCACCACGCCAAGTTATCAAGCAAGAGTAATTTGCTTTTATACATGTCATCGGCTGGTTAGGGGGGATACCAGGAAGATAATTGTTAAATCAACCATATCAGTAGAAAGTGGCTAAAGAAATACCTAAGTGCCCTAGCCTCGCTCCGAAGTTGGCAACATATCAATCCACGATTCCGCATAGTGTATCTGGCGGACTGATTCCATGCTCTATCCGGATTAAACATTCCGCACTTTGCAGATCTGAAAAAACGGTCTGGGGTAAAATCAGGCTGTTTGTACACCTACCTACGTTCGACATGGGGAAAGGCTGCCAAATCACACCTGGGCAATCGGCTAAGCGGATGATTTCTCGGCACTTGGAACATTTCAATTTGGTACTCATGCTATAACAGTAGTATTGTAGGTTTGCTAGTAGTACGGCGACTAAATCTAGCGCCGAGATGAGTAGTGAATTTGGATAAGAAGCACGACACGTTCGGGTAGCCCTACATACATGAACCATAGAGCTTCCAACTGCAGACAATGCATTTAACATATCGTGAGTACAATGTCTATACAAATATTTGAAGATCCAGTCATGAAAGCCCAGGAACACTCTCAAGTTCAAGGAGTAGAGAGGAGCATCACCTTGTATGCTCGGGCTCTAAAAGTAGCACGCACGAACCGCCAACCTAATCCTTCCAAGAGTGCTTATCGCAAGCCCTGGTGGCCACTTAGATCCTTTTACGCCCATATAGATAGGCGAGGAGACAGTCTGCGGGATGAGTCCGTGTTGAACCCAAGAATGGGAATTATAAAGGCAGATAGATTCCTGGACATTTCTCGCTACCATTGACTTTATTTTAACTATCATGGCTTCATATTCCGACGAGAAAGACTTTCCCACTAACAAGCTTGAGCATGGACCGACAAACATTGATGATGATGAAGAATATACCTACAAGGAGCAAAGAAAGATTGTCCATCGTGTCGATCGAAGGCTTGTTGTTATCGCCGGACTCGGGTACTGCATCAGCTTGATGGATAGATCTAATGTGTCGACTGCCTCAATAGCAGGGTAGGATAGTTGCGCACTAACCGTTCATTCTATTCTTCTCCTCGTTACTTCATTTCCGCATGGAAGTCACTGACAGTTTCAGGATGAACGAGGATCTGAAAATGACTGAAGGATATCGCTATGTAAGTTTCCGACCCCGACATAACATGATTACCCTGTCTAACCGGTTTGTCTAAGTCTTTGGTAATGCTCATCTTTTTCATACCATATGTACTCTGCCAGCCATTCGTAACCGCTACAATTCGAAAGTTTGGCCCACGAAACTTCCTGACCACTATGGTTATATGTTGGGGAGGCATTACAATTGTACGTTCTCGACGTTTTAGGATAGACAATAGCTAACATTATCTCCAGGGCATGGGATTCACGAAAACATGGCAGCATGCCCTCATCGCGCGGGTATTCTTGGGAGTCTTTGAAAGTGGCTATTTCCCAGGCGTGGTATATTTATTGTCATGCTGGTATTCTAGATGTAAAGTGGCAACAGGGACGACCGTTTCCTAAATATGGCGACACTAACATGACTCAGACGACATGCACAAGAGATTTTCAGTGTTCTACTCAATTGGTCTCTTTTCTCAAGCAATCGCCAACATTCTTGCATATGGGCTTACCCACATGGATGGCGTTGAGAATCTTGCAGGGTGGAGATGGATTTTTATCATTGAAGGCGTGGTCCGTTGTCATGATCCACCTTGATTCCCGCGTATGAGGGCTGACTTAGGAATATTCCAACTCGCAAAGATCACGTTGCTATAGGCCTTTTAGCATTTGTGATGCTTGTAGACTTTCCAGACAAAGCACATCGATCATGGAGGTTTCTCAGTGAAAGAGAGTGTGCCTTCGTCATCCGCCGGGTGAATAGAGACAGAGGAGATGCTGAGCCCGAAGACTTCTCGATCAAGAACTTTCTTCGACATGCGGCGGACATTCGGCTCTGGGGCTATGGGCTTATATTCTGGTATTGAATCTCCCCCAAACATAGATATAGACAACCTAACAGCAAGATTAGCTGCCTGATGACTGTGACCTACGCCATCGGATACTTTCTTCCATTGATCTTGCGCAATGGGATGGGGTTTGGCGTCGGGGAATCGCAGTATCTGAGTGCACCACCATACGTATGGGCTTGCATTCTCATGATCTTTGAAGGCTGGCTTGGCGACAAGTACCGGCTACGCGGGCCAATTCTTATCGTCAACGCTTTAATGCAACTAGTGGGGATCTCACTGATGGGTTTAGCCAAAGGCAACGGTGTTCGATACTTTGGGGTGTTTCTGGTGACAGGAGGAGTAAACGCCAGCGCACCGACTGCTCTGGCATACCAGGCAGGCAATATCCGTGGTCAGTGGAAACGAGCCTTTGCGAGTGCAATGATGATCGGAATGGGTGGGGTTGGTGGAATCGCAGGTTCCTTGGTCTTCCGCTCCCAAGATGCACCTGAATATTATCCTGGGATCTATGCCAATCTTGTGTGAGTACCCTGTCTGTCCCTCTTAGATAGCATCCCTAACCTGAGTCATATGACAATAGTGCATCAGCCTTGATTATTGTGTTGGTACTGGCTTTGAGCGTGTACTTCGTTTTTGCCAATCGGAGAGCTCATCGGGGCCTGATGCTGCTCGAAGGATCGGCTGAGTTCAGATACACATTGTAGGAAGGCTGCAAGGACTATGCTTAAAATTATGTGGTATGGGGCAATTCACCGATCAATTTTCTTCTAAAAATCGAGATCTATGTAAAGGCCATCACCATACGTCATGATAAGAACAAGGCGGCTGATATCATATCGAAAGCTATGACTTCAGGGACGTTGCTATTAACTTCACTCTCCGCAAAATGAGTTAATTTTAAGATGTATCCAATACTGTGCATCATGTTCGTACAATGTTTAAGCGAATGGCGCCAAGGAGCTAATGGTCAGCTCCCCTCCCCTTGCTTGTATACTGGAAATCTTTACGGGGTAGGTTTATGATCAATCCACGGGATGAACTTAATCTCCCAGAGAAAGAAAAATGTACAGGGACTCTTGGTCCTAGCGGACGCGTATACAGCCAATGCACAGCAGTAATTGATCGGCCTCTGGGGCAAATATGTCATATCTGCAGCGCTCAGGGATACGTAATGCCTGTGCTCGTATGCGCAGGCCTTTGATGAACTCTTTATAGACTTTTGTTCCCCTAACTCGCACCCGAGGGCGGCGTTGCCAAGATATCTCAAAGCAGAAGCCTCTACCAGAATCACACACGAAGGTTATAAAGCAGTTCCCCATAAAAGATATGTTGGCAGAGCTAACCAAAGGTTGGCTCATGGTTATCTGCGCGACAACATACCAATAGAGTCAGTTTACCAGGAATGGCGTTGTAGTTAGCCGCATACTTGCCTTATTTCTCAAGTATTGTACGACATATATGAAATACAATATATTTCAGGGAGTATGGAAAAGATTATAATTATCTACTGTGCAACCGAGCTATGTGAGGGGTCGTTGACCGATGTCTCCAAGCAGTATCTGTTGATGAACAACACATATATGCATATTGTCAAGTCCCTTGCGGCTGAATGAAAGTCATGTTCATGAGAATGTGTCCCATTTGCAGGGTGGCGACAGATTGCAAGCCTGTCAAGACTGTAAGAAGGCCCAGAAGGACGCCCCTAAGAGTGGCGTGAAAATCCATGGTCAAATATTAGCCAAAGGTTCATTAGATCGGTGAGTAATGCAGTTTGGAGTACTCACAGATACGCGTCCAGGCAACTATCTGTATATGTTTATACGTATTTAAAATCTCACTATGATACACCACGCGAGGTTTGCTTATTCTCGATCCTTTTCAATAGTCCGGCAATAATTAGGTTAGCCACTATGACCTATCATCGTGGCCCGTGGCGATCTCTTTCACAACGTCCGATCAGTCCTGATCGTTGACTCGGAGAAGATTTCCGGCGACCCTCAAAGCGACTAGAAACTTTACAGGCCAGAGACTTTCTGGGGTAACATAGCCATATAATGAACCAGTTATCCTCCTAATCAGCTACACCTCCCATTATTTCCAAGCAACGCAGGTACCCATACACCTCACGCCGTGCCCATCATGCTACACGGTAGAAGCCTTGGGGTTGTCGTCGTTCCGGCTGTACTAGGGAGTCTAGCGACAATCACGGTCCTATTCCGATGTTATGTGCGCATCCGAATTGTGAATCGCTTTGGATGGGACGATGGATTCATGGCTGCTGCCATGGTGAGTTTCCCACAACACCGGATTCATGTATCAATAGCTGACCACACGGAATCAGATAACCAATTTCATGTTCGCCTTATGTGGGATCATCGGGGGAGTATATGGTATTGGTCGGAAAACGGAGGACTTTCATGATCGACCCAAGGATTTCCAACGCGCGATGCTGGTGAGTGTGACATATTTCTCATCGCAGATATAAGACATTGATCCCCTATCTATATAGTGCTGGTGGCTTGGTCAGCTATCCTACGCGGTTACCGCTACAATCATGAGGGTATCCATCGGCCTTACACTTGCTCGTTTTGCCCCCAGCAAGGTCCATTTGCGCTTTCTCTACGGTATCATCGTCCTATCTACCCTGACGGGCATTCTTTTGTTCTTCTTCGCCACGTTTCAATGTTCCCCCGTTTCCTATTATTGGGACAAAACGTCAGGTCAAGGGATATGCCACAATGACATCGAGGTCAAGATCATATATTTCTATAGTGTGATAGATGCCGTGTTCGACCTTGCTATCGGCATTTTACCTGCGCTCTTCATCAGCCATCTCCTGCTGGATCGCAGCGACAAGATCGCAATTGCTGGCCTTCTTGGACTTGGCTGCCTGTTCGTCTCCCATAAGCCCGAATTCTATCTCTTCCATATACTAACTAATCCTTACAGGGCACTTGCCGCCGTCATCGCTCGAGCCCCTTTCGTACATCTAATGACGGAGGAAAGTTTTCTGTGTAAGGACACGCCCTTTGTATCTTTTGCGATCAAATCTAACCCTTCAACCAGACGAAACAACCATGGTCGCAATAACTTCCGACATAGAAACCAGCGTAGGCATCATAGCAGGGAGTTTTATGGTCATGCGACCCGCCTTCTCCATGTTTACCAAATCCAAGGCAAAGGGACTCGGAAAATGCCATTTAACCCCTTTAACCGACTCTCAAATGACTGGTGACACGTTAAAGCCAGAGGCCTGATGAGCTCCATCACCAAAGACTAGCACTTGTGCTGTCAGTCACTGTCCGTCGATCAATGGTTCTCAAGTGAGGGCTATGCACAAGATGCTGAGTCCTGTTTGTATCTGGGTTTCTTTTTTGCGACTCGGTATTGCTATATACCTTCAGTCCTGCGCGAGCATAGGCAAGCCAATACCGCCCCTGTGCATTAATTATATACATAATATTACTTACCTAATGATCAAAAGTACCTTCACTTTTGATATTAAGATGAGTCAAACAGTAGATAGCGTATCTATATTCAACCATCCTATTCTAATCTACACCGACCACCAAAGGAAATAGGGACCAACCGTACTCTACAGTTCATTCTAAAGCCATAAAGGTTGCACTTATAATACTAGCAGTATCGAATGACACAGCTCATGAGGAAGGTCTAGGCATTTGATCATCAAAAGCCAGCGATCTCATACAGCTTGACCTGATGGTTCTCCTTTCCTGACCACCGGACAGCATATCTATCTAATTAGGGCCAGAATATTTATGCATATTTCCGAACAAGCTGCTCCAGGGCTGGGGGGTTAGCACCCACAAGCTGATCCAGCTTTTGGCCACCCCGAAAAACCATGAAAGTTGGCAAGGACCTGATTTCAACCTCACTCGCAATATCGACCTGTTCATCCGTATTGACTTTGACAAACTTGATCGAACTGAACACTTGGTCGGAGGCCAATTTTTCAAACACCGGGCTTATGAACCGGCAAGGACCACACCATTCAGCCCAAAAGTCGATTATAACAACTTGGCCCGAGTTGATAAGAGTTTGGAACTCGGAGTGGCTAAGGAAGCACAGGGAACGGTTAGTTTTATTCCAAGGGAGACTGGGGACTATAATTCTATATGTCATACCTTTGGACTGAAGCAACAACAGACATGATGAGATATTGAGGAGGATCTGATTCTGACAGGAGGGTGGATTGAGGGAACGGTTTTTTTTAAGGGAAAAAAAAAGGTGGTGTTGGGAAGGGGATGGATTGTTTATATACAGATCTCAAGTCGATCTTGCACCCCACCTCGCTTAGACCGTCACATTTGCCGATACGTTGAGGGAATGGCTGTGTATAAAGCTGAAAAAACACAGTTGCCGAATCATCGGGCTCTGAACTTGCCGCTAATGCATCTGGATACCCACTATCTGCCCCTCCTTCAGCCGTGCAGATCTTTTGTACAGAGCTCACTCCATTCAGAAACAAAGCATGTTGAGATGTTCTTTGAGCAGGTCTAGATATTCCAGCATTTGTGTGTGAGTTTAGTATCTGAACTTCAAGATCTTTGTAGACATGAATACGTATCCACTGTTGGATGACTTCTACTAAGAAGTCCTATTGTATCGTCGTCAATCTCCCACAAGCACATGTTCAGTTAGGGCAGTATTAGTACAGAGTTGAAAGTCTACACATTATTCTAGTAGAACTCCTCGAAGAAACCGGCATACCAGAATCACCGCTTCACAAACCCGCTCTCCATCTCCAACCAAGTTCCAAAATCCTTCATATCAGGATGAACCTCCTTCAAAGCCCTCACATCGGCCCCATACCCCTCGTCATAAAACCACCGAAACATATACCCCATATCCTTCATCATGGCCATGAACAACAAACACACCGGCCGAAAAGCCATAGGCAGTGACTCGCCTCTGCTCCGCTGGAAAACCCGCTCCATCTCGTCAAAGCTCAGCTCGTCCCCTGCCAGCGATATACCGCGCCCCTTATACTGATCTGGATTCAGGAAGGCATCGGCGCCGAAATGCCCGATGTCGCTCGTCGCCACCATCTGAAGCTTCTTCCCCTTCAGCGCCATCTTGAAGCAGGTCGCGAAGACCTTTCCGAAGAAATCGGGCGTCAAGTTCTCGTAAAAGGCGGTTGGTCGTAGGATCGTCCACTCCATGGAAGTGTTCTTGCTGCGGTCGACGAGGTGGTGCTCGATGTTGTGCTTTTTGATGAAGTGGGGGATTTTGGTGGAGTTGGTGTAGGAGTGCTCTTCGCCGCCGCGGTCGACGGAGCTGTAGACGAAGAACTTGACGTTTTGTTTGAGGGCTTCGTCGATGAGGGATTTGCCTTGCGTTTCTTCGGCGTTGTTTCCGATTGCTGCCTTTGGGATGGTCAATGAGGTGGGTGGGTGCGTTGGGGGGAGCGAATACTCACTTGGACGCTGTAGACACCCCAGATGGGGGAGGAGGTTAGACGCTGGGCATTTTGGAAGATCGTGGCTGGGTTATCTAGGTCGCCTTCGACGAGCTTGATGCTGGGAGAGAGGCTACGGAGTTTTTGAGCGGAGGTGGAGGTGGGATTTCGCGTGACGGCGAGGATCTCAAAGGGGGCGTTGCGGGAGATGAGGCTTTTGATGAGAGAACCTCCTTGTTTACCGGTTGCACCGGTGATTAAGACGGCTGTCATTGTGCGGAAAGCAGAATAGAAGTAAAAAGGATAGTATCTGCCTTCGTTCTAGGTATCTCTGGAAGCAAATATAAACGATTTCGAGGATACAGGGTTAGGGTAGTTGAGGTAGTTCTACTCAGCCCTCGGGCTCTCCTAAGCCCGAGCTGAGCAAGCAAGAATAATTAGGGCTCCGAGTTAGTCCAATTTGGCGCCTTAAAATTTACTTGTACATATTAATGCAAGCAGTTAGTGGGTCTATGGTTCGTCGCCACCAGGAATGTCTGACTAAAGCAGTCGATCTCGGGCTTTATTTCAACCCCGGATTATCAAGTAGGCCCTTGATAGTGTATTGAGGATCTCCATCCTGATAACGTTCGCCTCTCCCTTTGGCCAATTTACTGCATCACCAGTCATGGCTAACGCCGTGCAGCCCGGTAAGGGCCTTCTGTCAACCCCACGTAGCTGCCATCGTTGCAACCAGAAAAAAGTCCGATGTAGCAAGACCCAGCCGTGTGACAGCTGCCTGAAGTCCAACTCGGATTGTGTATTTCCAGGCCCCGGCCGTGCCCCTCGGCGTAAAAAGCGGCCCCTCAAGGCCGAGCTTATCTCGCGCTTAAAGGGTCTAGAGCAGGAGCTCCGAGAAATGACACAGGAACGCGGAGATCCTGATTCTGCTGCTAGTTCCGCTGCTACGTCTCAGGATGCCCTTGTCCTGTCGAACGCCCCTTTGGCTGCAAACAATGCCCGTCACGTAGAACATGAGCATGGCAAGTTGATTGTGGAAGGAGACTCCACTCGGTACGTTACGCATGAGGTACTGATCAGTCTTGGTAATCAGGCATGTATTACTTTGAATTATTTCCTGGGCTGTGGATACCTTCATACTAACAAATCTTTGTGTAAAAGATTGAGGAGCTCAAAGACCTGGTGGATTCGCCCGAGAATGATGTTGATGAAGACGAATGTGGAGAGTATTCACAGAATGGTAATCAGTTCCTCTTTGGCTACTCGTCCATCGCATCTTCGCTATCGGCCTTTCATCCCAGCGTGAGGGACAGTCAGATACTATGGAAGATTTTCGAGGAGAATGTCGCACCTGTCGTCATGATATTTCATAAACCAACCCTACATAGACTTCTCTTTAAGACAGCTACGAACACCAGCTACATTGACCGAGCCTCGGAGGCGGTGGTCTTCGCCGTCTACTTCGCCGCCATCACCAGTATGAGTCCCGAACAGTGCGCTGAGGAGTTAGGTCAGGATCACTCCACACTCCTCCAGCGATACCGATTCGCAACACAGCAAGCGCTGGCGCGAGCAGGCTTTCTCCAAACACGAAACCAGTCCGTGCTCCAAGCCGCCGTGCTCTTCCTCACCTGTCTACGCTCTCCCGGAGACGCTGAATTTGTCTGGACAATGACTGCGGCTGTTTATCGGCTCGCACAGGGACTAGGATTGCATCGCGACGGAACCCACTTTGACCTCACCCCCTTCGAGATTGAACTGCGTCGCCGACTGTGGTGGTCGATCTATCTGCTGGATAGTCAATCGTCCGAGCTTCATGCCATCGGCACATTAATCACCGAGTCTAGCTACGACACCAGACTACCCTTGAACATCAACGACGCAGATATACCTCCGGAACCAACTACACCGCCCGACGAACGCATCGAATTCACAGAAATGACCTTCTGCCTGATCCGCTGTGAAATGACCGTCCTCTACCGCCGCTCGTTTCTCAATTCCAGCCCCATGCCTAGCACCAGCGAAGGCCATACATCACACCTCCTAGACGAGCGTCTCCACCAGCTCGAACAAATTCGCACTCAGTTACAAGATCGATACCTCCAGTACTGCGATATCTCCATTCCTACGCAATGGGTCACAGCGACAGTGATCCGACTTGCTCTCGCGCGATCATGGCTAGTTGCGCATCTCTCGCAGGGGACAATGACGGTCCGAATGCCGCTGATCGAGATCTCACCCGAGGATCCGAAGCGAGAGCAGCTCTTCATGACTGCTATAGAAGTGGTGGAATTCGCCTACCTGCTGGAGACGGACCCGCGGACCACGCGATGGGCCTGGCTCTTCGAACGGTATCCGCAGTGGCACGCGGTGGTGTTTGTGTTGACGGAGCTCTGTGGTCGGGGGCAGTCAGTGGAAACGGAGAGGGCATGGGCAGTGCTCCAGAAGGCGGTTGAGCGGTGGTCTGGGCGAGATTTCCAGAAGGGCGGGATTACGCTGAAGACGGTTTATCATTTCATCGAGAAGGCTGCAGCAGCGCATGGTCGGCTGGGCACGGACTGGATCAGAGAGTTGCTGAGGCGCTGACATCCAAACTGTTTATCGAAACGAATCAATAACAGTTTGTCACGCTGACCGAGTGGTTAAGGCCAGACTCAGACTATACCTGCAGTACTCCGATTCATTCGTGTACGCAGGCCGCTAGCTTGTCTGTTACTGTTTCGATATGATATCGGCCCGTCAACCGTGCAACACCCGAACTCCTGGTTCTTGTAGCCTCTCGCAGTCTTGAACCGGGCTGGAAAGGCATCGCCTGACCGGTCAGTCAGTCCTATTCCTCATCCCTGAGGCCTTCCTGATGGGAGAGGTTTCCAAGCTATATGACAAAAAGCGGTCCCAGGCATTGGAAAAGGGGCAGGAATCAGTCCATCGGTATCAGCTCTACTATCTAGTCAATAATAGAATCCTTCTACTCCGCCTATGTATTCTTACCTAGTGACAGGCCATCTACCCTGTGTAGTCTCCTCCGTTATGATATTACTCTATTTATCTACAGTCTCTGCGCGGATAGCTATGAAATCCGAAGCAGTCTATACAGAGCAGATGCCGGTGACTATATATCTAAATATATTCACTAAAGGGCAGTATATATAGTCTAGTACAAGAAATATCAAACGTAGAAAATCCCCGAGGGAACTGGGAGATCACGCGGAACCGAGGCACCGAGGGATTCGGAGTTGTCAGAGTAGACAAAAGACCTTCATAGTATCATTAGAATGCCTCATAATTGTTGAAACAATGTAATTATAGTAAGCTCTTTCATACATATCAGTCTAGACAGTCTATTTAGAGAGGTGAAATATAAGGGTCGAAATAACATGGTTCACCACCACCACATTGTTTCGGAAGATCGCCATCGGGATAATTTGCAATCTGCGGGGTTCGGGGGTTACTCATCGCCTACCCATGCCAATACGAGAATATCCCCAATTGACCTTCGGAACAACCCCGGGACTAGGATCCAAAGACATGGAAAAGACACTCTCTCCTACGAAGAAACAGCGAGGCGGTACAAGGAAGGCTTGCAACGAGTGTAAACAGCAGAAGGTAAGCGAACGTCCTTCCAAAACATCCCACCTCGGCCCAACACTCAAACATAGACATATACATCTGGAACGTCTATTCTGCTCTTCCATTCCCTCGCCATTTGACTGAACTCTGCTGGATGTGGTACTCGGCAGCTTCGGTGTGATATCGTCCAAACCCCCGCGGACGCCTGCTCGCGTTGTAAAGGACTCCAGATTGAATGCAAGGTTGAACCTTCTTTCACGCGTGTCTCAAAAAGAAGGTATCTCGTACATCAACATGTCATCCGCTGTGGATGCTAACCTGATAGGCGAAATGCTGAAATGGAGCGCGAGATTGCAGGGCTCCGTCGACGGCTTGCCACTAATACCGATCATCATGGCCATGCCGTCAAAGGTAACGTCGGTGGTGATGTGTCCCAGCCTGCAGGGAGCGCAATCTGGAATCCAGCAGCTGCGACACTGAATCAAGGGGAGATTATGTCTACTAGTCTTAAACCACAGGTCTTAGCTACTCCCTTAGCTATGTATAGCGATAGATCTGACTTGTTTCAGGAGGATACCATGTGGAGACTGGAAGATGTCTCTCTATCCAAGCCAAGAGTGGCACGACTATTTGAGCAGTAAGTTGATGTGTCTTTCTTTCTTGGATGAGATATGCAATTTCTAATGATCTACCAGGTTTTTCAAATACTATCATCCATTTCTTCCACTTTTAGACCCCCAAAAACCACCCGAGCATTATCTCTGCCGCTGTCCCTTACAAGCATGGACGATCATTTGCGTCGCTAGCCGACGAGCTCCAGCAGAGCCAGGCCTCCTTGGCGCACTCACTGGTCCGTTTAGCAGACTTCTATGGTCGACTATCACCAGCGTGCCACAGGATTACGCCATTGTAAAGGCTCTCTGCCTTCTGTGCACCTGGCCCCTTCCCACAACTAGCCAGAGAAAGGATGCTACCTTTATGTTGTGCGGGCTGATGATGCAGATTTCCATGCAGTTGGGGTTGCATCGCCCCGTTCAAGCAGAAGAGTTTACCACATTTCGAATAGGTCACAAGGAAGCTGTGAAGGATCGGCTACAGACATGGGTCGTCTGTAATATTGTAGCTCAAAAGTGAGGATCCCCTTCACCGTGAAAGAACTAGAAGTTCATCAAAGTCAACAGTATTGCCACCGGGTACGGACAACCCCCAGGGACGATATATGACTGGGCGCTTGAGCCAGCGTCACTCCAGGATGCCGGTTACTATCCTCCAGAAGATCTGCGAACTCGTCTCCAGATTGAAAGGTTCTGTGATCGAATCACCAGGTCTCTATATAACAGCAGGCCGGACGCGGCAGAGTTTATTGGACCCGAGAGGCTTTTGATAGTCCAGCTTTTGGAGAACGAACTTAGGGATATGGAACTTAGCTTTGGCAGGGATGTCTCTCGTACGATGCCTCTGATTTTCCTGTCTTTAGCTCTCGTCAAACTGACTCGGATAGACATTAATAAGATTCATCTCCGAGCCGCAGAGCTCCATTTAAGATACTTCATATTCCTAGGTTCAAACCCAAGACCTAACGACATTACGAAGCTTTTTATCGCAACCACCTCATTCCTTAGCCAGGTACTGGACCTCGAAACATCCCCAGGCCAACTTATCAGCTACGCAACAAACTATATCCTGCAGATGATCATCTCCGCCGCATTCGGTCTAATGAAACTACTCAAAAGTACCTTCCGGCATCACATTGACTTCGAATACGGGAAGCTGTTGTTCAACGGCGCAATATCCGCCCTGAGAAGAATCAGCGTCATGGACCACGATCGCCCCGTTCGACTTGCGGACGTACTTGCACAGATGTGGAATGCAGGTGATCCCGAGCAATCCGCCGAGGAAGATAGTTTACAACTCAAAGTACGCTGTCGGATGAGTATGAGCCACGTCTACGACACTGTTTGGCGCTGGCGACACCGTTTCCGGCCCAGAAAGGACCCTTCAGATGCTCAAGGCATGTTCCTCCAGCGTCTAGTGTGTATTACCTTGTGTTCTCCGACTAATCTTGGTATAGTAGCTACTACCGCTGATCCGAATGGATCTGCGACCATGATCCCCGATCAATTCGATGGATCTATAGACAATTCTGCGCTGATCTGTCCGCCTGATTTTGGCCCAGGTGGTGCCTTCTTCAACGAGACTGGATTCGCGGAAATCTTCGATTCCCTTAACTGGGTGTTTGATGAGCTTCCTGATCCTTTTACCGCTCCCCAGATAATGTAAGATTGCTGAGTCTAACGATCTTCCTTCTTTCTAGTGCGCCTCAAGCGCCAAGGCCATATCCTTTCTTCCTCCTATAAGGTGGAAGGGTTCAAAGTTATGCTGTGGCGGGCAAAGAGTCAAAGACCTGCAGCTTTGCATACAGTACCATCTGTTTATAGTATCGTTCGTCCCTAGCTCCTTAGTTCATCTGGAAATATGTTTTTTGTTGCCTGAGGCACCAATGACATATTTAGCCCAGTCAACAACCATGAATCTTATAAAAAAGAAATACACGAGATCCTTTAATTAAGCTCTGTTCCAGACTGGGCAAGTAAAAGGCTTCTGGTCTAATTATAAAACGGGCAATACAGACGAGGGCTCAATTTACCTTGGGGAAGCTACTAACCATACCTTCTTGGCTTCGGTTCGATTGCCCAAATTTACTCGGGTTCGCTTAATGTACGATTCTTTCTCCTCGGAGTATTTGCTCTCGGCTGGTTTGCCTTGGATGTACAGCTGTTCGTACATCAGGTAGAATAGGGTTCTAGCGTGGGGGCGTCTGGTATCTGACCTTTGCTTGGTTTCAATTAGTTAATTTATCTATCTGTCTGGATAAATCTTATCTTGTAAAAAGATGTTCCTGTCGAAGGATAACGCGGTTAAGGCGGATGTCTCCGAGTTGACATGTAATCATTGATAAGCTGAAAAAGCAATTCTGACCGACTGACTCCGCGCTGACTGTATCATAGTCATCCTGGATCTTATTTGCGATCAGTTGGTTTACATGGATTTCTGATGGAGTCGATGCGTCGATCCACTCGAATGCCGTCATATTGAAGCCCCAAATGATGGAGACAAACAGCTACCTCGGTGTGATGTCACAGTTCAGCAATTAAAAATAATTAAATCTGATCATTGGAGTCGCTCCAGAGTCCACAATAAAAATAAGCACAATGACCTCATGGTCTGAAAAAGAAAAGAAAACAAGTCTATCATGCAAAAACAAGTCCGACCGCGATTTTGGGTACTCCATAGCAAAAATACAACCTTTCCCGCTTTTTGGAACAAAACACTTTCTCCAAAAAACAACACGCTTCTTCAGAACAAAAATAATCGTCGTAATGCAGCCCGATGGGTCGTCACAAACCACTTCGAGAGAGAATGGAAGCAAGCAAAAGCCCGAGTCACCGCCCAGAATCAAGCAAACCGGTCTATATCGAATCCAAAAACAGCCCCGTACATCATGCCCAGATTAGATAAATAAGATCAGAAACAAACAAGCACAACACTCCGCGGCGGTATTTAGGTGAGGGTGTAGCCACCGTCAACGCGGATATCGGCCCCAGTCATGTACTTGGAGGCGTCACTGAGAAGGAAGGTAACGGGACCCATCAGGTCCTCGGGAGTCCCCATCTTGCCGGTGGGGATGAGGGAGATCCACTTGTCCCGCAATTCGGGGTTCTCATCCAAAATCTTGCGGGTCCTGCAGCAAAACATGGTTAGTCACTGAACATTTTGGGGACGGAACGTCACATACAGAGCAGTAAGCATGTATCCAGGGCTGATGCAGTTCACACGGATGTCGTGACCGGCCCATTCCACAGCGAAGGACGCGGCAAGTTGACGAACAGCGGCCTTGGCGGCGTTGTATGGAGCCTGAGGCTGGGGCACGTTGACGATAGCACCGGACATGCTACCAATCATGACAATGCTGCCCGGGACCTTGCGCTCCATGAGATGCTTGGCAACACCGGTCGCAAAGAGGTATGTTCCATCGACGTTAACCCCCCAAAGTTTCTGCAGACGGTCGTGAGGATAGGAGATGGCATCGAAGTTTTCGGTGAAACCGGCGGAGGTGACCAGGTTGTCGATCTTGCCGTGCTTGGAGATAATATCGGAAAGAGCATCGTTTACGGAGTTAGGGTCGGAAACATCAGCGTAGTGGGCGGTGACAGTCGGCATTCTAGATTCATAGCAATTAGCATTTGGAATTACAATTTAATGTGGTCGATCAGTTAGACTCACTGCTCCAAACCGGGGTTCTCCTTCCTGAACTGTTCAACCAACTTCTGAGCTTGCTCCTCAGCTTCCGCCTCTGTAGAAATCATTTAGCAAAACTATTGCAAGCCAATTGGTCCACCACAGCTTAGAACATACTGTTAAGATCGACAATTGCAAGGTCCGAGCCTGATGCAACGATCGCCTGAGCCATGACCAACCCGAGACCACGGGCACCTCCGGTCACCAGGGTGACCTTGTTCTCGAGGGAAAATTGAGCCAGGGTACGCTTGAAGTGCATTCCTCCGCGGCCTTGAACAATAGGACTGCGAGGCATATTCTCATCATCGGGGTATTCGATCTGCAAACTCTCGTCGACACGGGCGAAACGACCCTCTGTGTCCAATACACCATCCGGGGCTTTGTTGGTGGCGGCCAAGATGGGATCCTTTGCTGCCTTCGACTTCTCATCGTTGGCACGGGGAGCCGTCGACGACAGCCCTCGGAAGAAGGTATTCGCCACCGCTGGTCGTGATGCTGCTGTTACCGCAGCAGGGCGTGTGTTAATGCTGAGAGCCTTGACGGCTTGACGAGCGGCTGGTGACTTAAACATTGTGTAGAGTAGCAGAGGTAGCTAAGAATATAGCTATGTACTCAAGGGAGAGGAGGAATTCGAGGAGATCGGTTTGGGAAGGAAGAGTATGAACCAAGGGATAGATAGACAGAAGAAAAGATGAAGGTCCACCAGGCCGATGGGAAGGAGTATATGTAGTCTTCCCTAAAACCAGAAGGAAAAAAAAAACAATGGTGGGAGAAAAATCTGATGGGTTGCTCGCCTGTTTTACGGTAAAGGGGAAATCCGAGAAGTATCAATCAAGGATTGGAGCAATGCGTATAGGTGTCCACAAGCGGCGAAGGATTGGGACGTACAATTAAATTAGAAAATTCTAAAACATTGATAATCGAAATGGAAAAATCAAAATAATAAAAAAAATCCAAAAAGAAAAGAGAAGAAAACCTTGACTGGACAAAGGAGCTGGGGAATGTGAGGAACAGAGCAATTGCGGTGACCGACCGCCCCAAGGGACCAGCAAGTTGGACCATCATGACTGGAGGCGTGGCCAAATTGACTGGTTCTCAGGATGGAATGGCTGGGGGAAAGTATCCACCATCCCCAGGCACTGGGGAAAATTCCACGTACTTTTTGGACGACCCTTTCATATTTCATGGCCAGCATCAAGTGACATCAGGTGGTGGTGGCCAGGCCTCAACCGCCCTGCAGCGATCTGACCAGGATCGCCTTAGGGAGTGGATCGGCGGCGCTCTTCTTTGCCTCCCGCCGGCTTCCGCGTGACTCCAACACGCCTCCAGAAGTTTCACCGGCTTCTCGACGATCCCAATGCCGGTATCCCGCTCCTAACCTTCCAGGGATTCGATACTATTGATTCCCCATGTCTTTTATTGTCATTTTTATTTTCTATCAATTCTTTCCCCTTTGATTTGATGCCAAGTTTTCTCAATTTTTACTTAATTACTCCGTATTAACTTCTATTCCTATCGATAGCCAATTCAGAGAAACAACATCATCCGAACGAAGCGCAATGGCCTCCTCCCCTGCCGACTCTTAACGCTCATACCACAATCGCAACCCAACTCGACCGGTGGAGCAAGCTATGTATCCGAGCATGCAATAAAAGAATGCAACACTGCAATAACCCTGAGCTCAGAAATTCAATTTCATTCCATCTGATCTATATCAAAGCCAAGCGACGGACAACCGTTCGTCAGCAACACAGCCAAACTCAATCAACAAGGATGCCAGGTCGCATGCACAGCAACCATTGGCTAAGTCAATCTCAGCCCGTTCTTAAAATACAAAAGATAAAGTCAAAGAAGAAATCTCTTATCATCACGCGCCAACGCCATCATTAAACTTGCCGTCCATGTCAACCCCCTGCACAACATGCATGCAACAGTCCAGACTGCACGTACTTTGTCATCAACATATCAGATTGCTTGTTCAAATTCAAATCTTGTTGTTGAATTATTGAAGGAGATCTTCATAGCCACTTCATCCTCCCCACGATTCACATTTGCCACCGTAGATATCTACCCAACAACTACTAACACAGCCCTCCTGCGCAGTATTTACCTACTTTTCATAGTACGTAAAACTCCGGTCCGGGCAATGTTAGCGTCGTTCCTGAACCACTAATTCCTGGCCCCACTTGGTTAATTTCTCGAACCTTGACAACCACAACTTCCTTTGACCGGACTTCCTGTGCCCTAAATCTCTGGATATGGAGAGAGTGGGGCATCACTATGGGGTTACTATCCTCTATATACTCTGGTAACAGCAGGTTACTAGCAGTACTGCCGGTTCGGTATAGTGTATGCCTGGTGCTTGGCACCACTGTGTGTGACTACATATTACCCCTTCTGCACCGCGCCATCTAGTTGCTTTCTTGTACTGCTTTCTTTCCCATCAGCCACTATCATGGGTATAATCAACAAGAATGATTCTTGGATCCTTATCCCTGGTTAACAAGAAGCACGCTCAGATTAGCCAACTTACAGATATTTAAGCAGCTAAAGATTGCAGATAGTTCAAGAATTCGAAGCTCTCAATCATCTATAAACTGGCCATAGCGACATGCGTGACGTCGATACAACCACAAGATGCTGCACGTCACGTAAAATCAAGCCCGACATGACATGCGCCACTTTAAAAGTATTTAGAGTTTCACATACCTTTTCAGTTATACGTTTGAAGTTACAGCATCGAAGGGATCTTGCCGGCTTTTGTGATCCAGAGAATTGTAGCAACTTCTGATCTGCGAGCTTACCTGGTTGCCTCAGGCTGGGGTCGTAGGCTTCGAACGGTGGATAAGATAAATAATCCTCGGGTTAATGATTCAGAGAACGAGACATTCCACTGCTGAAAATATCAAACAACACTGTAATTGAATTCTTCATGAAGAGCCCAAGTTTGCCGGCTAATGGGCTAGCACCGGACAGAACCCTGCTTGAATATTCTCAGTATGCGAGTGCAGGTCCCTGACAAGTCATTCCACGCCTGGCGGAAGGAAGCGATCATCTAGGTCTACTCAGTGGACCTGATATGCAAGGAATACAGAAGTTGCAGGTTGATTTTGTTCGAGATGCTGTAGGAACTCTATACCATCTTGTCAGCTTTCCATGCATGCTCTATGAGGCCCAGGTCACATACCATCTGCTGAAGCACAATGCCACCGCACATCTCGGGAACTCACCTGCCTTGCTCATTTCCCGACTCTTTGCCCTCGCTGTTCAGTCAACCTCGGCTTTTATAAACATACTCCTCATGTTTCTCGTCATAGGCTTGTCCTTCGCATATGTATTCGATATAGCCAACTAAGTTACCGATATCTTGAAGGATACATTGAACGAGCCCTCACGCCCAATTCCTGCGGGTCTAATAAGCTATTGGTAAGGTCAAAGGCGATGGATATTCGCTTGGCTTTGGTTCCCTACATGTGCGTATCTAATTGGAGGCCGAAAGACCATTTCTCGGGAGGCTCATCGACTCCGTTCTAGAACGTTTCATCCCCGAGGCTCGTTTCACCACCTTCCTACATACTTTCTTGCTCATCTTCTACCCCATGGCCATTCATGTGCAGGAATTCCATAACATCGTGGGAGACCAACATATCGGCCGTCGAACTTAACCACTGATCCTCTCCACAGATCAACTGAACCTGCTGCGGAAAGCAACAGCCATGGTAATCTTGGTGGAGTCAGGAGGATTTATCCTTTGGACTTCCCACTACTCAACAGCCCACTTTTATCGCCTTCGAACATCCATATCCCTTCTTTGCGGCTTGTGTGGCATTTGTGCTTTCCAGGAAGCCTGGCGAGAATGAGTTTGCGTATCGTTATTCTTACTTTGCGACTGTATATACTTTGCTGATGGCATGCGCCCTTTAGATTTTAGACACCGGGTGCACCGTTTATTCTGTCAGAGCACAACCCTCCTCGGACTCAGGATACTCTTCTAGATGAAGCTCTTTTATTCATTTCTCCTAAGCTCATGATGTCTATATGCAACAGCGAACCGAACTCATATGGTGGGCTTGGAGACCTAAGGCAGAGTTACTTTGTCTTCCTGGCGAGTGGTGGGGTTCTGGTTCTGCACTTCTATGGATGGAAGCCGGAGCTAAGTTCCTTAGGTTCAACTCTATCAAAATGTTCGTACCCACAGATGGTTGTCGTTGTTGCTTTGCCCCACTGTGAAATTGCGGGTCTGACAGAGCTATTTTTTGTTTTTATTTTTTGTTTGTTCTTGCCCTTTGCCTGGTTTCTTCATTGTTCCGTTCTCACGGTGTTCCTATGGAACCTACTCATCTAACCTTTTCGGCTGTACGACACACAGAACACTAAGTAGATCTATTGATTCATTTAGACTACCGAAGGAAGTCATGTGCCGTTGTCCACATGACTGCGCCTTAATTCTAATTGTACAGCGCCATTGCAATAACATCGCTCGCCGAAAACTCTGCTACTACCGCGGGAGGGAGAAATTGGAGCTGTCTCCATAGGGATGTGTTTTAACATTTCCTTGATATCCACCGGTATCCATCGGGGAAGGATGGCCGGTCTGCGTACCAAACCAGAATACCGACGGCCTTAACTTTCTTCTCCTCTTGAGTGCAATGTCGCCATGGCCATGCCTTCCTTTTACCTTTCTGTTTATACACGACTGTACATCTGCCGGGAGGTTTGCCGACCTGTCCCTAGTTCTCATCACCCTCTTCGGCAAATTCGACCAGAGGTGTGCCGCTCTTACATTGGTCCTGCAAGGTACACGTTAGCCAATTCGTTCGCATCGATTGGGGTGAGTGGAGATTTTCGAAGCCCGGCGGAAAGGTCGTGGAAGCTGGACAGCTGGTCCGTGCATGAAACCCACGGCAGTGCCCAGTCGTTTCAGCCAAACCCCAGACCCCGGTCGCCGAGTCGGCCAAAAATCAATAAGATCAAAAGGAGGGGAGAAACGGGAAGGCGTGCCCACACCGGGCCGAATCCATCGTCTCGATACAAATAGTCACACCAATAGCTCCAAACATTGAGAAATAGCCGGGCAAGGGTAGTGTTCGTGCAGGGGAACGGTCCGCGTGACTTACTCCTTGTTTATGGACCACTCTTGAAATGGTTCCCTTTTGCGGGCTGCGGATGACTGTTTCCATTTTCATACTCTCAATAACCACCAGTGGCTGGTCTTTTTCCACCACATCGCCCGCCTGGACTTCCACACGTAACACTTTGCACGGCATTGGGGCCAAAACGCTGTTGGTTACGTCCTTCATTCCCAGTGCCTTGTCCATCCACTTGGCCCGTGGTATCGTCAAACGATATTGTGTTCCTCTCTGAAAGGCAATGACAGAGTCATCATCCCGAATTACGGTGGTGTCCAATCGGGTGTGAGGGAAGAAAGAGGTCACAACATGCGACCCAGGGTTCTTGTGACTGACCACCTGCTCAAAGGTGCGCCCGCCCACTTCTACATTGAATGTATTGTCATTCGTTTGTTGAACACGGATATCAAACTTGGCGCCATCCTTGGCTCCAGGCGTCAGATCTTCAAATGTTATCTGGCGTGATTGATAGCTCGGGCTGAATCCGACAGCGGAGCCTTCGAAATTGGCCTGCTTCCGAGCGACCGGGGCAGAGTCGTGGTGCAGACAAGCCAATGCGGCTTGTGCGAGCACCTCCGGTTCAATAGCCTCGCGAGTGAACAGTTCTTCGCGATGCTTTTCAATGTATCCGGTTTCCACCTCTCCGGCAACAAAATCAGGGCTCTTGCAGACCGTCTTCAGGAACTCGATGTTGGTAATTGGCCCCGCAACTTCGTACTCTTCTAATGCAGACGCAAGCTTGCGGAGGGCCTCCTCTCGCGTACTGCCTCTCACGATCAATTTGGCAATCATTGGATCGTAGTGAGCTGAAACTTCATCGCCGGCGACGAAGCCTGCGTCTATTCTGATGTCTTCGGAGGGGGTGGGGGTGCGAACGTGAAGTAGTGTGCCGGAATCAGGTATGAACCCCTGATCGGGATTCTCTGCATAGATTCTCGCCTCAATGGCATGCCCACGGCTTGCCATATAAGCTTCTACTTCCTCTTGGGTCAATGGAAGCTTAGCGCCTTCGGCCACCTTGAGTTGCCAGTAGACCAGGTCCTGACCAGTGACCATCTCGGTCACAGGATGTTCAACCTGAAGTCTGGTGTTCATCTCCATGAAGAAGAACTCCCCGCTATCGTTATCAAAGATAAATTCAACGGTACCGGCACCTTCATAGCCTACGGCCTCAGCAGCCGCCCGTGCCTTTGCCCAGAGATCTTTCCTCGTAGCATCAGGCAAGTGAGGAGCGGGTGACTCCTCAAGAATCTTCTGATGCCGTCTTTGTATACTGCAATCTCTTTCTCCCAAAGCCACGCTATTGCCATGCTTGTCTGCGAACACTTGGACCTCAATGTGCCGTGGTGTGGTGATGTACTTCTCCACCAACACTTGGTCGTCTCCGAAGGAGTTCATAGCTTCTGACTTAGCAGATTGCAGTTGAGCCTGGAACTCGGACTTGCTATGAGCTATACGCATTCCCTTTCCGCCGCCTCCTTTGATTGCCTTGATAAGCACAGGATATTTGATCTTATCCGCTTCGGCTTCAAGGAAGCTGGGATCCTGATTCTGACCGTGATAACCAGGAACGCAAGGAACACCGGCCGCCGTCATGATTTTCTTAGACTGGCTTCAAAGGTTGTCAGTAAAGTTTATGGGAAATTTAAGTCAAGTAATTATCTTACCTCTTATCCCCCATGTCCTCGATAGCCTTCCATGGGGGTCCAATGAAGACCAGTCCGGCTTCTGTGCATTTTCGCGCAAACTCCGAGTTCTCACTTAGCTAGTTACAGGTTAGCACACTGATAAACATCGCCTCTTCAGAAATGCATACAAAACCATAGCCTGGGTGTATCCCTTGACAGCCCTCCCGCTTTGCAATCTCAATGATACGGTCTCCATCGAGATAAGCGGAAACGGATCCTAGATTGAAGGCGAATGGGGAGCTCAATGCATGCTGAGCCCGGCTATCGGGATCTGTGTATAACGTAGTTACGCGGATACCATGTTGAGCGGCGGTACGCCCGACTCGTCTAAGGTGAGGGTATAGTTAGTATCAAAACAGCGCGCAGCACCATTCCTAGACATACAAAGCAATTTCTCCTCTATTTGCGATGAGAATCGAATCTAATGAATTCTGTGATTTGGGGGTAGTCGAGGACACTGTAGATGCAGCTCTTCTTGCCCTGTGGGCGGCCGTCGGCCTCAGACGGGAAGCAGTGCGGAGAAGGGACGAGAGTGGCATTGTAAAGAAACGCTGCTGATTAGGATCACAGGATTGAATCAACACCACAGTATATAGGAGGGTAGCAGCATATTCTGCGTAAGAAGACAAAGCTTTGAAAGAGCAAACAGGAAGAGCTCTCAGGGAAAAATAAGAAGGCCGGCAGCTTAAGTTGCCTGGAAGTACTACCGTTCCCCCAGACGGCCCCTTGAGCCGACGCAAAGCGAAGCTGCGGGGAAAACGCCGGGCACGTGATGCTATCTGAGATCCACTTCTTCTGCAGCGCAGTTAATCTCTTTTTTCCTCGCCGGAAAGACGCGATCAGCGAACTCCTCCGACGTCACCGGTCCATTGTCCTGGTGGCTTACAGCGTATCCATCTGATTCGGTCTTACGGTCGCTCTGGAATTTGTCCTACTTGGTCTCGACAAGCTGACTCATCTCTTTGTTTGCTGTTTGGCTTGGCTCGTCTTTTGTGTCTCTGCTTTCCTTTCTAGTAATACCCATTAGACTTGGCAATTTTCCACCATTTCTGTTCTCACCCTTGTATACGCTTTGGAACCCTATATTTGACAGTCTTTCGCTTTACTATACCCAAGATGTCTGATGATGAAGAGTACTACGATGAATACGACGAAGATATCTTCTGGATTGAGGAACCGGAGCCGGAGATCGCTGTCAGTCTCAACACAACACCAAGGACACCATACAGTCGCAGACAAAGAGCTAACCCGTTGCCCATGTAGGATGACCTCGCCGCAACCGCAGTCTATGATGCTCTCTTCTTTGAGGATCCCTCACTCGAGGTAGAAGACTACTACAGCGACTGGGACGACCAATCCGACGATTACTACGACGAAGACCCAACCGCCATACGGCGCCAGCGAGCAATGGGCCTCTGGCCAAACAACTACAACATCAAAGAAATCAACGACATTCTCGCCGCAAAAAAGAACCTTTCAGCCCACAATGGAACCATCCCCAAGAAGACCCTCCCCGAGACAAACGTGGCATCGTTCCAGGGCACGGTATGGAAGACGCTCCACGACGATAGTCCACCCCGTAAATTGTACGAGCCTGGCGACGGCGAAAAAGTGGCCCTCCTGAAGAATTGGCGCGAGGTGTTCCGGTCATCCCATCCTGCCATTGGGCGGGTGCGAATGCGGAAAGTCGGCTCCGACATGGCCCCGCCTCGGGCGCCAGAGGTCTCTAAGAGGGCGGATACCAGTTCTGATGATACGTCTACTGCGTCCTCGTTGGAGAGCCTTCGCGAGACTGATGTTGGGTCTGATGGTTGCTCGAAAACTACCACTCCGGCGGAGCCATCGCTCTCTCCGCCCTTGACGGTGCATTCGCATAGGGTGATCAAGTCGGCTTCTGATCTGCCAGTCAATTCTAAGATGCTTGAGCATGAGTTCCCTATCGAAGCGCCTGAGTCATACGATGATCCAATGGCAATGGAACCGGAGTCACCTGATCTGCAATCTGCAACAACGCAGGACCAGGAGTCTAGCCCAAAGAAACCTAATTCTGCAACCGCGCCATCTACCAGGACAAGGAAACGAAAGGCGTCCGATGCACTAGACCAACCGGATGTAGACAAAAATCAAACAACCACCAGATCTAAGAGAATTGCATCGAAGAAAGTGGGTGAAACCGCGGACCCTCCAGCGGCGTCGGGTCCTGTACGGAGGTCCACCAGGAACAAGGCCAAGCAATAGACGGAAGTGGCCATGAAGATATGAAATCGTTATTCTGTATCTAATTCAACACTCTGCCCATTGGCGGCTAAATATAACAAATGCCAGCTATATATGACATGATAGAAGAAATGCAATTAAAACAGGAACGTATACAACTATGCATACTCTTTATTGAATGCCCGTCCAATGACCATCCGTCTGATTTCGCTAGTCCCCGCACCGATCTCGTACAGCTTCGCATCGCGAAGCAACCGTCCTGCGGGGAGCTCATTGATATATCCATTGCCACCCATCAGCTGGATCGCATCAAGTGCACACTCCGTCGCCCGTTCCGCCGCATACAGGATAGCACCTGCACAGTCCTGGGTCCGGATGCTCACCTCAGACGAGGATGCGGAGTTATCAATGTGCCGTGCCGTGGCATACGTGTAGGCGCGCGATGCCTGAAGTTTTGTGTACATATCTGCCAGCTTACCTTGGATCAACTGGTTATGGGCGATGGGTGATCCGAATTGCTTGCGGACATGAGTATAGGGAAGAACGAGATCAAGGGTGGCTTGCATGATACTACATATCGTTCATCATCGTCAGTTCTGGTGTTCTTGGCTGTAAATATATAGTGTCTTAATAGTAAAACTTACCCCAGGGGGCCAGCGCTGAGAACCAGACGCTCCAGATCGAGACCTTCCATGAGAACCTTGACACCGCGGTTTACTTCGCCGAGGACGTTCTCCTTGGGGACAAACACATCTTCGAAGATAAGCTCTCCGGTGTTTGAGCCGCGCATTCCAAGCTTATCGAGCTTCCGTGCGCAGGAAAATCCGTCAAATGTCTTTTCGACAACGAATGCCGTGATTCCCTTGGAGCCCTTCTCGGGCTCCGTTTTGGCGTAGACAACAATGAAATCTGCGTCGGGGCCCTGAGAGAAGATTAAAGTTTAGCCTTTCTTACAAGCCTCTTGGGACACATGTCAACTCACGTTCGTAATCCACATCTTGGTCCCGTTCAGGACATAGCCACCATCGACCTCCTTAGCCGTAGTCTTCATACTGACAACATCCGAGCCCGCGGAATGTTCCGACATCGCCAGAGCACCAATCTTGTCACCGGACAGGAGTCCCGGCAAGAACCGCTCCTTCTGTTCCGGCGATCCATTCAAAGAGAGCTGGTTGACGCAAAGCTGGGAATGCGCAGCGTATGACAGTGCAATACTTCCTATAGCACGCCACAATCAGAACACGAACAGAGAGTTCACATTTAGTAATGTGGTAATAGGAAGAATGCAATACCTGATGCACGACTAAGCTCTTCCATAACTATACAGTGCGCCTGGTAACCCATGGCGAGGCCGCCATAATCCTCATTTGCAGTGATGCCCAGGAATCTGACAATTGAATTAGAATCGCCTATAATGGGAAATTACCGGTCAGCTTGATTTTATACTTACCCAGCATCACCAAGTTTCTTCCACATCTCAGCCGGGAATTCATTCTGTGCGTCCGTCTTTGCGGCTACTTCCTCGGTAATCTCACGCCCTTGATTGAGCTTCTGGTCAGATTGCGGAACACAGAACATCCGTAGGAGAGCAACTGACTGGTAAATTCCTGCACACGTTCCCGGAGTTCTAGTAGCTCATCTTCCGTGGGCGGCACAAAGCCCTTGGGGTGTTTTGAAGCGAACGTCCGTGATGCGGGGATCTGTATGAGGGGTTTCCTGATTGACCCCAGGGACCTGGAGGTACTGCGGAAGAGGAATGGGAGACGAGATGCGGCAGCCATTGTGAAAAAGGTATTTCTGCACGGGAAATTCACACAAAGAAAGAAACAAGAGATCTGAAGGGAAGGGGAAGTGGAAAGGAAATGAGACAAGCAAAGCCGAGAAAGAATGAAGTAAGTCGCAGAGTTATGCGCAAGTCCGCAAATGCGGAGGCCGATGCCAGCCGCGGCTAAACACGGAAATCGTCGCACTTGGTTTCTCCGCAACTTCAATCCGGGGTCACATTTCATCAGAATTCCTCCCCACGCCCATTGTCCATCCTCGTCTATTTTTCCTTCATCGGCCATTGTTCCCACTTGGCTGCCCTCATAAAGCTCAGGACAAGACCATGAGATAGCTGAGTCTGGTGTTTCGCGGTGCTACTTCGTCTTCTGCTCTCCCTAGATTCTCCCCGCAATGCGCGCACCGTCTCCGCTCCTGCGGAGCTTGAGCTCCAAAGCGTCGCTATCGCTGCCTTACTCGCGACGACTGCTCACGCCTCGCTTTCCAATTACAATTTCCTCTAAAACATCTCTCAGGACAGTTGCAAGCTATACGCATCCGCATCATGCCTCGGCCATATCGGTTCTGCCCACCGCGGTGGACACGTCCTCGCCGGATTTCAAGGAGAATGCCGAGCAGATGAAGGAGCTCGTAGATCGGATGAGCAATCTACATAGCACCATCTCACAGGGTGGGCCACAAAAAGCAAAAGATAAGCACATTGCCAGAGGCAAAATGCTCCCTCGAGATCGGGTGACAGCCCTGATCGATCCTGGCACATCGTTCCTGGAGCTTTCCCCGCTGGCCGGCCACGAGGTGTACCCAGGCGAAGACGTTCCCGCCGGTGGCATTATTACTGGAATCGGAACCGTCGAGGGCGTAACATGTATGATCGTGGCCAATGACAGCACTGTCAAGGGAGGCACATACTACCCTATCACCGTGAAGAAGCATCTCCGAGCACAAGCAATCGCTCAAGAGAACAAACTCCCCTGCCTCTACCTCGTGGACTCCGGCGGTGCCAACCTCCCTCATCAAGCCGACGTATTCCCAGACAAGGAGCACTTCGGCCGCATCTTCTTCAACCAAGCCCGGATGAGCTCAATGGGTATCCCCCAGATCTCCGTGGTGATGGGCCCCTGCACAGCAGGAGGTGCCTACGTCCCAGCCATGAGTGATGAGACCATCATCGTCGAGAACCAAGGCACCATTTTCCTGGCAGGCCCTCCCCTCGTCAAAGCCGCCACAGGCGAAGAAGTCTCCGCCGAAGACCTAGGCGGCGGCCAACTGCACAGCACCATCTCCGGCGTAACAGACTATCTCGCCGTAGACGACGCCCACGCCCTCATTCTCGCCCGCAGATCCATCGCCAACCTCAACTACCCCAAAACCAGCGTGCCCCTCCAGCTCGACGATAGCACCATCAAAGAACCCCTCTACGATCCCAACGACCTAAACGGCATCGTCGGCACCAACCTCCGCCGCCAGATTCCCGTCCACGAAGTCATCGCCCGCATTGTCGACGGCAGCGAGTTCGCCGAATTCAAGCGCGACTATGGCACCACCCTTGTCACGGGCTTCGCGCGCATCTACGGCCACCAGGTCGCATCGTCGCCAACAACGGCATCCTCTTCTCCGAATCCTCGCTGAAGGGAGCCCACTTCATCGAGCTCTGCGCCCAGCGCAACATCCCCCTCATCTTCCTCCAGAACATCTCCGGCTTCATGGTCGGCGCCGACGCCGAGAAGGGCGGCATCGCCAAAAACGGCGCCAAGCTAGTCACGGCAGTAGCCTGCGCCGATGTACCGAAGTTCACCGTTGTCTTTGGCTCCAGCGCCGGCGCAGGCAACTACGGCATGTGGTAAGTTACACACAACACACACACACCCCCCAGGCAAGCCAAGACAACCCAAGAACAAGAAAGCTAACATATTACGTGAAAAAAACAGCGGCCGTGCCTACTCCCCGCGCCTAATGTTCATGTGGCCCAACGCCAAAATCGGAGTCATGGGCTCTGAGCAGCTCTCCTCGGTGATGGAAGCAGTCGGACGCACCGCAGACCCAGCCCTAAAGGCTCGCATCGACCACGAATCCGAGGCGATTTTCTCCTCTGCCCGACTCTGGGACGACGGAGTCATCCCGCCTGCGCAGACGAGACGCGTCCTTGGATTGAGTTTGGCGGCGTCGTTGGGTGGAAGGGTCGATAAGGATGTGCAGACGCGGTTTGGTGTTTTCCGGATGTAGTTCACTTACTTCACCATATACTATCGATCTATTCTAGGTCTAGGCCTAGGGCTAGTATGTAACTGGATCTGGGGGCGCGCTTTTCTTTTCTTATTATATTTATATCTATGTCTTCACCTTTATATCGAGGTTTGTATGACGTATGGTGGGTTGGTATATTAGAAATGGACTCGTTTTTTTTTTTTTTTTTTCTTTCTTTCCTGATGCAGTTTCTGCTATGTTAGGGGGGTTGTATGTGCTATGTCAGGGTGAAGGATAGGAGGTCGGTCGTGAGGATAGTTAGTTATCTTAAGTTGCGTGCTATTACGATAGTCCCTTAAATTTACGGGGAGAAAGGAAGAGCGAATAAAAAGAAGGAAAAGCAATATTGCATTCTAATAATCTACCCTGCGTTAAACAGACTACCACTAGTTTCGAGAAGAACGGGAAATTGATCAGGGGAGTGGAAAAGGGGCAAAGGGAGGAAAAGGGGGGAGAAATCGGAAGGAATAACGGGTCAGATAAGGCACAAAGAAAAGCAAATAGGGAAGGGAAAAAAAATCCAGTAGATAGAGAGAACGCAGGAGGGGGCTAGGAAGAAAAGAAAAAGGAAAATGTGGTTCTTTTCCTTAGTAGGGTTGCTTTTATCAACTCGCAACGAACAAACGGCGGCGTAGTCATAAAACGAACTGTTCTATACCAGTCAGGGGGGTGGTGAATGCCAATGCCGAGGGGGAACGAAGAAACGTGCAACTTTTTTCTCATTCCTTAAAGTAGAATAACAGGTGAAGACTGATCAACAGGAAGTCAGACAGAAAAATTTGAATGGTTGTGAACCGACATATATCTATCATTGGATGGGCATATGATGATTGAAAACATTAGGGTGGGTGAAGATATGTAGTATGTATGTGCAGATAGGATCGGAGCCGGTGGCTCGAGAGATGCGTCGATAAGATGTGAGGTCACTGAGGTGGACTGGTTCAAATACGATGAGCGAGTCGTTGGTTCTTCTGCACCTCCTTCATTTATAACATTCGTTAATTTATAGAATCACACAAGGTCCTTTACGTTTCGTCTTCTGTCGTCGTTCTCGCTTGCGATCGGGCCGGTTCGTATTTTCCCGCTTGGGTGGTTCGTCGCGACCCTTGGAGTTGCCTTGCAGGTCCTTCCGGATGATCTGTCGGCAGAGGTCAATGAAGACCTCGTTGACGTTGGCTCGTCGGCGAGCCGATGTCTCATAGTAGGGGGCGTTGCCCCAGCTCTGGGAGAGGGCGAAGGCGCGAGCACGGGGCACCGCGCGGTCCTCCTCCAGGTCGGATTTATTACCTACGATGACGATGGGGACTTTCTCGTCATCTTTGATGCGGATGATCTGTTCTCGTAGTTCGGACAGCTCGTTCAACGAGGACATGCTCGTAATGGAAAATACCAGGAGAAACCCTTGGCCCTGTTTCATGTAAAGCTCTCTGTGAATCAGGGTTAGCATGCGGGTCTGAAAGGGAGTGAGTGGTTATGTGTCACGCAGTAGTGGATCCCAGTGGACTGCAGAAGTGGGACGGAATGATGATTTACCTCATGGCAGCTAGGGCGGTGTTAGTGGAAAGGACAGAGCCGTACCGTTGCAGGGAGACTTACTGAATTGTTCTGTTCCTGCAGTGTCAAGAATTTCCAAAATGCATTGTCGCCCCTGTGGCAGTCAGTAACACAAGACCTGTTTGGGAACACAATCCACTTACGTCTACCTCGATCTGTTTGCGATATGAATCTTCGATCGTCGGGTCATAGCTCTCAATCCACACATTTTGGACGAACTGAGCTGTACAGTGTAAGTGACAATTGTCCCTCAGGCGGAATGACCCATGAGTCAGGTCAATGGACGAGGCAGAGGGTATGTACCAGTCAGACAACTCTTTCCCACTCCACCTGTTGCGCACGAGATAGCAGATATCAGCGGTGGACCTCAACGATCTTCGGACGTAAGATGATGCCTACCAGCGCCGAGCACGACAATATGATATTCCCGTCTGTATCGAGCGAAACCATTAGCATCCGGCGCGCGCAAGAGGTTCAGGGCCAGGGACCCGATGCGGGAGGAACGTACTGCGGCCGCATTGAAATAGCAATTGCAGTTCCCGCTCAATCAACTCCGGTTATTTGATAAGATGTAGCGCCTCGAAACGATCGGGACGATGTGATGCTTGGTTCAATCGATCTCTTCCAACACAATCTCTGTTGTACCGTAGATCCTGAATCTCCACCAAAGAGTATGATGCGACGATGAAATTCACGCAAACCGGCCCAGATCAGAGGAGTAGATAAAGGATATACTTCGTTAATTTCGTGTCTCGTCAACGGTAGAAGATCTCGGTGGTGAATCGCGATTGCAAGCAATGGGATGGTCTGATACTGGGTCCTTTGGGGGCGGGGGTGGGCTGGAAGAGCAAAGGCAGCGACAACGCGATGCGTTACATCGGTCTCAATGCCAATGCCAACCAATGTCGCGGGTGGTAGAGAGGGAGGGGGGGAGTTGGGGTAAATATGCAGGCCGTGGACTCGACAGCGCCACCGAACCTGAGGCAATCACTGAATCCGAGTGAAGGGTCAAAGGGGGTCGGAGAAGACGAGCGCAGGAAAAACGGTTGATGTCAACAGAAATTCGGGTGGATTTCCGGAGACTAAAGACCGAACTAGAAGCTAAGTCAGCGGGTGTGGGGAGATTTTTTTTTGTCTTTTTCTTTTTCTTGTTCTTTTTCATATGAGGAATTGGCAAAGGGTGGAAAGGATCCGAGTCGGAGGGTTCATGTCAAAGAAAAAAAAAAAAATGAAATGAAATGAAATGCAATGAATGAGATACAAAAATTGTAATTCCCTTGTTCTTTTTTAATTTTGTGTTTGTTTTTTTTTCACCCTGAGGTTTCATTTTATTCAATTGGGTCCCAATCACTGTATCCTTTGGTTCATTTTGGGAGACAACTTCAACATGTATAGTTCTTTACCTTTTTCTTTTTTTCCTAGTTATTTCTTTGATATTATTCCCTTTCCTAACGATTTCCTTTCTTTTCCCTTTTCACTTTTGTCAACATTCGAAGCGGTGTGAGCGAAAAGAAATAATAATAATAATCAGTTCCAAGTAAAAAAGAATCAAATAAAATAAAATCAAACAAGAAAAAGGCTTCCCAAATGTGCGCAACAATTGGCACGAAACCTTAAGCCAGCAGCGTTTAAACCTGGAAAGGATTAACTCTCGTGGGACTTTCCTCAATCAATCGCTGCCAGTCCGATAATGGTTTAGAGAACCCTAGAAAACCCCCCTTTAGTCCCAGTCGTTTGGCGCTTTTTCATTCTTTCTTTGGGTTCATTCCGGTAAAAGAAAAAAAATAATGAAAAATGAAAAATGAAAAAAGAATAAAAAATAAACAAATATAGAAAATACATCCACTATCAGTATTCAAGGGGGTTGGGTGAAATACCATCAATGGGTCAAGAAGGGGAGAAAATCAACCGGGGAAAAAAAAAAAAAAAGGAAACAAGCCAACAAACAGTCATAAAAATCTAGAAAGAAAGAATAAAAAGAAAAAAGAACACTATCTATAGAATGCTTATGGTATCCCTTCGTCTCCCTGGAGAGAGTCCCGGTGGTTGGAGATCCTCAAAAACAATAGTCATTATGATCTCCAAATCAAGGTCACCTGGCTCGGTTTTGGGGGAACCCCATAATGCCACCAGGGTATCTGCAGGAGACGAAAGGAAAGCATTGAATTGTCCGACTCGGCCATGACTCGGCTTGCCAATCATTGGAAGTGATGGTCGTGATGATCTGCTTTCGGAGCTCCATCCAACCATTCCCAACCTGACCGATTGACAAAAAAGTCGAATGGACTATTGAAAAGAACGACGAGACAGGACTAGAGAAACAAAAACTGCCCAAAAAGAAAAGAGTAGACAACGTACCAAAGCATGGATGAGTGCAACCGTTGTCCTGTCAAATAAATTTAGATCTCCCTTGATGGACGGGAAAGCCTTAGCTTCTAGAAATATAGACCACTTCAGACAAGGGGGGGAGGAATCGCCCTCGAGATATAACAACGTCCCATTTAGCCTATGATCAGAATCCCTCTTTCCCCCCCTTCCCCTTCTCCGTTCCTCCGTATATCCTGAAACACCCTTCGGCCTCGACCAATCGCTTAAGCTAAACGGTTCACTTTACCTGTCACCTTTTTCCCACCCTCGGCTCTCCTGCACAAGAAAACCAACTCACCATCCCTCCTCCCGGACGAGAGGGACTGAGTCCGGACCAAAGACCTGGCCACCTCATGCTGTCAGGCACCAAACAAACCAATGGCTGGACTCTCGACCGGGAGATCCAGGGAGCGACGATTGGGCGCAAGAAGTACGACGCAGGGTTCATGTGATGGACCGGTCGATAGGTCTAACGGGAGGCATTTCCAGGAGGCAAACTCCAACGACATATGTAACTTGATACCGACACTAGAGGGGTAGGGGGGCGTTGGCTCTGACCAGTAGTCTAAATGAATGCCGGGACGTCAGTTCGACCTTAAATCAATGTATCACATTCGACGGCCCACACGGTGTGTCAAGCGAGGTCCAACGGCGTTCGACTGGTCATTGCCCTCCTTCTATGGCGTGAATGATATCATAATATGAGATACTATAGCGGCCTCGGGTTACGTGCTGTGCAACAAACAGGCCATGGCTGTTGCAGTCTGGGTCGAGGAATGCAAAGGAAAAGATGAACAAAAAAGAGAAATATACACTAATGTGAGGTATTAACAGACACCATTATAGACAAACCAACCGCCGTCCGGGTACGCGCCGGTATATACTTCGCACGAATCATATAACTCATGCTATCTAATGGATCTCTATCGCCTAAATCGCGATCGCATGCCCCGCATCGCCATTGATCAGGCCCATCACCGGCCCCTCAAACTGGGTGATGCCGCTATACCGTTCGAGAGCCTCGAAGACATGGCTGAACACCTCTTGCTCTACGTCTGCCGCCCACAAGAAATCGAGATGTTCGTACTTCGGGATGATCTTGGCCGTGGTCTCGCGTGGAAGCTCTTTCAGCATAACGTTAATGTCCACGAGGCTGTCATTGCCTCCATACAGAAGCACAATGGGCGTCTTGATGTTCTTAGTAGGGTACTTGACCGGCTTATAGAAGCGCTCGCTAGCGACAATGCTAAATGGAGCGTGGACTTCGTCGTCGTAGAATTGAAAGTTTTTATGCCGGATGATCTGAAACCAATGGACCACAGATTTGGTGCTGGTCAAGGAGAATAGATGTAGGTATCCCGCTAGCTTTTGCCAGCGACTGATGTTCCGGCATTTCCAGTTAAAGAGTCCGTCAAGACACTTGTCGATAATCTGGACAAAGATAGGCGGGTAGAGGACCGTCTGCCACATGGTCGTGGAACTGAGGATGCTCCGACGGCCGAACAGAAGGAACAAGAAATTCGGCGAGGCCTTCATCAGCGAGTCAACGAAATGGTTTGGCAAGCCTGTAGGTGCCATGGCGGGCGCAAGGGCCACGAAAACATCGACCTTCTGGTTCAGCAGTGGGTGGATAGATAGTGTCGCAAAGGCTTGAGCGGTGCCCTGCGAGAACCCGACATACGACAGAGAAGGCTGGCCCGTGACATCCAAGATATAATTGATGCTGTCGGGAATATCGTGGAAGGCAAACTGATCGATGGAGAAGTCCCAAAATTCGTTGGACCCGGGCGAGAACCGCACGGACTTTTTGGAGTACTTGTTGCCGCGATTGTTTCCAAACCACACGTCATAGCCCCTTTCCACTAATTGAAAGGGAAGACACCGTTGTTCTTCTGACAAACACACCCAAACCTCACTGCACATCATCAGTCCATGATGGAGGAAGACAACCTTCTTCCGGACGCCCCCTTTTCCTTGATTGACGCGCATCTTTTCCTCGCCGCGCCGGTAGGCCAAGCGGTGTAGGCCGAGCAGGTAGCCATCGCCGGTCTGGACAATATGCTCCTCAGTCTGGTAACCAAACAGAGCGCATATATCTACGAAGTCGGAGGCCTGTGCGACTGCGGCGGCGATCCGTTCTTCTTTACTGCGCTTGCCTTCATCCTCGGGAGTTATAAATAGGTTGAAAATAGTTTTCGACCGGTCGTAGAAGAAGTTGATTACCGTTTCAGCTGTCTGAGGTCAGCGAATGATTTGAGAACGTCAACGCGACTTCATCTAACTTACGAAGACAAAATGTAATTATATGTATGATCCATTCGAGCAGTACCAGAATCAAAGAAGCGAACAGTGCTAGATATTCAAACCAAAACAATCGTCCAATCACCGGCATGCGCGCCATGATGAAGGAATTTATCGCTGAGGCTTTAGGACCGGAAGGGGAACAAGTCTATTGCACAACCCTGGGCCTGAACTCCATGATGGGGGACGAGGCAGAAATGCGCCAGGAAGCGAAATGAAGGAAGATCCCCGGAACCCCAGTAAAAGAAATTCCAAGAAAGGGCAGCGCTCAGACGTCATCTGCATTTTCATGTGATAGCTGCTTATCTAATCCGGGGATGGCCCCATTTTTGCCTTCGTTTCCTGGAGTCTAATTTTGCGCCGGACAAGTGATTGGCAGGTCTTCCTTCCTCTGCCTTGTCGGCTGGATCCCTACCTGTAAGCAAGATGCCGAACTCATGCAAAGACATCCGTGAGTACTGTCCAGCTCTCTCAATTCTCGATCCATTCGGGGCGACCGACCGTCGCTTCCGGGACCAAGACCCGAACCTCATGCTTAGCCTGCGGCCAACATATTTCCTACCCTCCATAATTGAAAGGACGCCCCTAATCTAACTATGCTTTGAAATAATATTATAGGGGATGCATTGGCCCAATGTCTCCAGGAATCCGATTGCATCATGGTGCAGCGCCACACTCCCCGTGAATGCTTGAGCGAGCCGCTAGTTGATACACTGCCCATGCGATGCCAACAGCTGCGGAAAGGGTTCGGCGAGTGCAAGTGAGTTATGCATATCCTCGGCGGAAGACCTCTGAAATGCTGAAACCAGGCCTAACTCTTAATTTTCAACCAGGCGGGGTTTGATCGATATGCGCAAGCGATTCCGCGGAAACCAGCCACTCGCGGGCGCCAGCGAAATGGAAGGCGGGAAGCGGAACAAGCCTGAACAGTTATATGCTGGGAAGCCTGCATTTGAGTCTGTCAAAGAGATTAGTGGGGATGAGGTCCAGATGGATCCTGAGAAAACAAGGGGCCTGTGAGGGGATGTTTCGATGCTGTCTCAGTGCCGAAACCCACCGTTCCTTATCAGAAGTCATTTGACACATAGCTGGACTCTTGTATTTTCGTTCTCTTGGCATGGGTTGGAGTTTGTGGAGGGACTTGTACGATTATAGACCTCATGATTCTGGTGTACGATCTACTGTACATACTAGGTAAATTGATATTCACCGCTACCAACTACTTACTCTTTTGAGTGCAAAGTAAGCCAGGCTGGCGCAGGGATACTCTGGAGCATACTGCATGAGAGATAGTCTACCATTGGAGAGAGATGGTGAGAAGAGATGGATGATCTCGAATAGTAAACATTCATGAGTGCGAGCTTCACAGAGTAGATTCTCAATCATAACTTTACATCAGCCCTGGCGCCAACGCGAATAGGAAATGCGAATGTACTGTTTGTACCAGGCTGCGCTTTATATCGCCTTTACTCTGGTATTCGCTCTACTTGCTTGAATTAGCCATCCTAAAGAGTCGTTCGTCCTGTTCCTTGGATCCACCGTTTGCAAAGGCTTGGTAGCTGAGAATGGCAGCCTGACGGTGACTGTCCTCCTCAAATATACATCCTTCCCTGCCAAAGCGCAGAGACCCAGTCGCTTCTGAGTTACACTCGATGGCGAAGTTCAACGGGCACCCACAGAAACAGGTGTGAATCTCATAACAGGGCTTGTCACATCTGTGGCCACATCGCATCTGTCGATTACAGACCTCGGTGCATTTGACTTGGTCATGGGAGAAACTACCAGTCCATACGGTCAGCTCTATTATTTAGATGTTCAGACGGGTCGTGCAGCTCAATTTACCTATGACATGAAAGAGGACATCTGTGTCCACAGGCTAGATGTTCATTGCAAGGGAGATCACATCCCCCGTAGGCAGCGTCCCACTCAGAGGGATCTATTGAAACTGGTCATAAGTAGAATCCACTAAAGAGGACGTAGGATGTACGAACCTTTCTTGTATATCACATTTCCATGCTTAGTGCATGTTAAAGGTAGATAAAAACCAAGTCTTCGTTTTGGGTTCTTGCCCCCCATCAGGGTCACTACTTGCCACCAAAGGGGATCCGCATCAGCAAGTGTCGTCGAGTCTCCAAAGATATAAAAACCGCTCCTGGCACGCGAAAGTGCAACACAGACCCTGTTCTCTATAGATAAGAACCCGATGGTAGGCCGGCCGCTCCTCACCAATGAGAGAATCACTACCTCGTTTTCTTCTCCCTGAAACGAATCGACAGTCACAACATTCACATACTGACCCTGAAGGTAGGAATTCTCCTTGAACAGTTTGAGAAGCTTTTTTCTCTGGCCATTATAAAATGTCAGCACCGTTATATCCTTGACTGCAACACCGTTGAGCACCAGGTGCATGAAGAATCCTATAATCATTTCCGCCTCCTTCTCATTATACTTCGAAGACAAGCTGTCACTGCTTTCTGGCCAATTATGAGAAAAGAAGTATGATCGTACGTCCCCCATTCCTGGTACTTTTGGGCGTTCGAGCACTGACTGGTGGTCATGAAGCTCGCCGTAAATGGGTTCCAGCAATCGTCGTATCTCTGGCGCCATCCGCCTCTGTCTTCTAAGAGTCTCGTATTGGATCCCGTTATTCACAAGTCTTTCGAACATTGAAATATCCAGGAAGAACGGTTCACCCTGAAGGTCCTTTACCGAGCAACTCCCTCTGAGCTGCTGGTGATCTCCTACAAGGATCATATGTTGAAGAGAATCGAGGCAGGCAGCTGCTACCGGTGCTTCGATGGCTTCCGCTGCTTCTTCTATCAGAGCAACCTTGGGTTTTAAGCTTGATATAAGAGCTCGGTATTTGCTAAGGCCCGTTGTTGTCATCCCAATCAACTTGGCATCCCGGAGGAGGTGATTGTCCCGTTCCCACTTTCCAATGCGGATGTCTTTGCAATTGTTTGTGTTAAGTGTAACCAAGCTTTGGAACTTCGGCCTGATTTTGTCTTTGAGCAGCTTCCGAAGAGTATTATATACTCCTCCACGTGCCTTGACAGGTACCTTCCAGAGGTCGGGCTCCCTCAGATACTTCCGGCTAGCCTCCTCGGAGGCTGAAGTATTTTGTCCGCAGAATCTTTCCCGAATACAAATGAACGGTCCTTTGAGAACTTCATGGTCGTCCTCTTCATTTCCTTGCTCGGCTTCTAATTCTTTCAGCTGCTCATATTCCAGGTCAATCTCATCTTCTTCGAAGCCAAAATTCTCAGTTGAGTAGTGTACTTCGAATGGCACCACTTGTTCTCCAAGCCAGGCTAGTAAGGGGTTGCCATCTTCTTCGTTGTTGGGGCGTATCCAGTCTTTTGCCCCCTTCGCAAGAGAGTCACATTGTGTTGCGGTCAGTAGGCCATACTTTGCGAAAAGCTCAGGTGGAAGGGGAGTGTCATCGTTCTCGGCACTGAAGTTCTGCAAGAGATCGGCAATTGTGTGATGGTATTTACTATATCGCCTTTGAGCCTGTCCGAGAATACTGCCTTGGATGGCTGCAATGGGTTCATTTTGTCGGACGGCAAAAAGGGTACGCTTTTTAATCTCAAGGTCATTACTTCTGCCTCCCAAGCGAATGTAGTCACTCTGGAAATGAGAAACGTGCCTCAGGAGCTGATCTAGAGCATGGTTTGTCTGCGAGGCCACAATTATAGGTGGATCCCCTGGATTCATATTAGAGAGCAAAATCCTCAATGCAATCACGGAGACGAATGTTTTGCCGGTTCCTGGAGGGCCTTGAATAACGGCAAGGCTTTTTGTAAGCATTTGCTGTAAAGCCCTCCATTGGGTGGCATCCAGATCGCCTGTTGGGTATTTAGGCCAGTTTTCAAGGATATTAACCTTGGCTTCTCCTCCAGGTGGACAGATAGCAGACTGTACGTCCACTACTGGATCTGCTTTGACATACTCGGGAGTATCGGTATTAGGATGGAGGAAGCAGATCTGCTCGGCGAGTGGAAACCTGTCGAAACTGTTAGGTTCAATTCAAGACCCTTATAAGGATAGAAAACCTACTTTTCTCGACACATTTTCTGCAAAGCTGTCATCGTATGTCTCATGGACTCGAAGTAGCCATCTCTGGCTTCAACCATAAGCCATTCTTGGTGAGGATCGAACTCTGCATCCACAGGCCGCGCGAAATAAATGTCAATCTCTGGAGGATGTTGCTTTATACCACTTAGTGGTCGGGCTGCCACGACAGCAATAACACATTTGTTTCTGAACGAATCATCCGCCGGAGAAAGAGCAACAATGGTGCCTGATCTTAGCCGCTTAGAATATTCCCAGACAATATTCTTTCCTGATCTAATAGTCGAAAATTGAATCCGAGTCGCCACGCCTTGTTGTGTAAAAGTAATACCTACAATGTACACCTAGACCCACGAATTAGACGATCCTCCCCCGAAGCTGAGAGAGGAATAGGTACAAACCTTCTCGTAGATTGATATGGTATTGGTGTCTCGCATCTCTGGATCCTCTCGAACGTACGCTACAGCGTCCCGTAGAGGAGCGACTGCGTCTTCTCTCAGTAACTCATAGTGGGCTTTCAGATACTCTTCCTTCGAGCCCCAGGGACCCTCGATCCGGTTTGGCAGCAGGTCAACGAACTCAGTCTCAGATCCAGTTCCCATTATCTCATCAGGTGATGGAATTTCTGGATTTAGAAGCCACGGCTGGGAGTTATCGAGGGCTTCCTCAGCGAAGTATGCTTTCACGTCTTGGTTAACGGGGACAACGGGGATAACGGGGCGAACAGCTGGTTTCGTGGATTGTTTATGAGGCGTGCCATTACTAGGAATATAAGAGTCGCTCGATGGTTTCATGTTGTATAAGCTGCCACTAAGAAATTAGTTCGTTGTTTAGATGATGGTGGTGGTGACGGTGGTGGTTCAAGGTGAGTTGTTCAGGAAACGAGAAAGAGAAAGTGAGGTTGGCTCGTTTGTACTCTCCCAACAAGGCAGGCAATTCAGGAACCAACAAGAAAATTTAGAGAGCGTTGACCCCCAGTTTATGTAGTCGAGAACATTCTGTAAAGCTACCTTTGTTTTTTCGTAGAGAGCCCAATTCGATGTTAAAGAACAGTCTGTCAAGATTGCTTGATTCACTAAGTTGAGGAGCTGTATCGGAATCTTCCAAATCAGCTCTCAATCGAGTGTGAATGGAGGAAATCACAAATGTAGATTCATATCTACTAGTCACGTCCTTCCAAGAGCTTCTTTCTATTTCAGAAGAAATGGTATGCCTTGCTCAAAGGACGCTTTTATTTGCCATACTTTACCCATTGAGCCAATTCTTCCACTGTGTTCTCGAATGCACGCCCCTTGAAGATATGATGGATAACGAGATATATCTACATGTACAAAGTGCAACAGGGGAATAGATAGCAAGAGGCATGAATGATTTCAATCTGAGAGGCGAAATTCTGCTCAATTAGTGGTCAGTCCCTTTAATTGCTATGGAATAAGGTAATAACCATAACTATTTGTTCCTGTAAGAGTTGTCACTGTACGAGGTCGTTACGCTACCTCGTCAAACAATACTTGAAACATCTCCTCTTCCTTTCCTTCTCCTTCCTTCAGCAATACTTTTCGTCGTAGAGGGATATCTATACCCAACTGTTGTATCAAACATACCAGAAGTTATAGTTGGGTTAATATTGACACTAGCCAAGTCAGGAAAGACGTTTCCGCCTCAGGCAGAAAGTGGGCGGGCGGGCAACGTGACTGATGCCGGGGAAAGAACGATAAACGGATTTGGAGATAAAGAAAGGCACCGTCTTCCCGATTTCAATATACTTCCGCCGCAATACCATAGCTTCTGCCTTGGTACCCCTGGGCGCAACATCTGTGCGACTGATTTTACCGCCTATTTCCCATTGTCTCTAAAGTCCGTGCGAGCTATCAAGCCATGAACCCTTGAATTGCGGAGGTTCCCACCGAGAGATGGGCTATTGAGATAGAGCTCTTTGTTCGCTACTTATATATACACTTTATATGGTATAGCTTCCAGCTTCGAGATCGCGTGCTCTAGAAGAATCGAGCCTCGAACCTTCACTGCTTGAGACAATGGCTTTGCTAGGGGAAGATGATGATGACAGAGATCTTGCTGGTGAGCTTCCCTGCAACACCGTTGACGATGGTCGCAGCAGCCTAATGATTGGCGATGTATAGGCTCGCAAGATGGTAGCTCCGATAATGAAATGGATGACACCCTCCGGGACGCTGATGATGGCGGCAACGACAATGACAATGATAACGACAACGACAACGAGAACGACAACGACGCCGACGCCGACGCCGATCAAGACGCCGATCAAGATGCAGATACCCAATCCAATGCCAGTCACGTATCGGATAGCGCTGGTGTAGCAACCCAACCGAACGCCGATGTCGAAATGACCACGACCGGCCCAGTGAACATTGTCCATGATTCGGTTTCTGTGTATCATCCGCCAGTCCGGCCCGAATGTCTCACTGCCTCTACCTACGATATAGTCCCTACGACGGCTGCGCCCCATAGTACATCGATTAATGCGGTGACGGCGACTGCAGACATGAGATGGGTATTTAGTGGCGGCTCAGATGGATATGTGCGGAAGTTCAATTGGGTGGAGTCGATCAATAGCAAGTTGATGTTAACTGTAGCGCAACGGCACCCCTTTGTGGACAGCGTGATCAAGGCGGGCGTGGTAATGACATATTGGGAAAACATGGACGGTAACACTCTGTCACCGGTATATTCTTTGGCTAGCCATAGTGAAGGGTTGTGGTTATTGTCCGGCTTAGAGTCCGGTGCCATTCGCCTACAATCTATCCGCCATGACGAGGGCAAGGAGATTGCTCTGCTAAAACAGCATACTTCAGCCGTGTCAGTGTTGAATCTGACATCGGATGAGAAATCATTATTGTCCGGAAGTTGGGATAAGCGAATCTTTGACTGGGACCTGAACACGGGCCAGACTAGGCGCTCATTTGGATCCAGTGCCAGGCAAATATCAGCCATTGACTTACGGCCTGAATCTAGTCTTCCAGTCCCTAAGGATACTGAGACACCGCTTCCTAATGGGACTTATTCGTCGAATTACCAGGCGAGTGGTGGTAATAGCTTCGACTTCATGGATACGTCGAACGACCAAGGCGGTGTTGGCGACACATCAAACCCGCAGGCGGGCTCACCGGCAGACTCACTTTTCGGTGGAGCGGATTCGTTGTTCGGGGACGCAGATGGCACCGCAGGCGAAGGTGCAGGCGCATCAGGAAATGCCTTTGGCATAGATGAAGATGATGAATTTGGCAAAGCTCTAGCCAATGGCACCCTCCCCGACGCCGATGCGCCCGGTGAGCCTGAGCCGTCAGATCAGCAAAATGGTGCTCCAGAAGCGCCAGCTCCAGTTGATACAAGTGCCCAAATCAAGGAGGAGACCGTGGCGCCTCAGCAACCAGAGACTCGTGAGTCAGAGGCCGCCACTGCCTCGTCGCAGCCTGTTGTGAACGGGCTGCCTCACGCTGAGGAATTGGAACCTGTCCTCGAGAGCCAAAATGCCAGCCAACAAACAGAGTCTGATAAGAATGTTTCCGATAACACCTTCCTTGCCGCATCCATAGACGGCACTATCCGAGTATGGGACAGACGACAACCGGACCCTGTTGCTCGCATATCGCCTCGCAATTCCCCACCTTGGTGCATGAATGCATGCTGGTCTCCTGACGGTAATTATATCTACGCCGGCCGTCGAAATGGAACTGTAGAAGAATTCAGTCTTCACAAGGGCTTACGAGACCCTGAACGAGTTTTCAAATTCCCCCAGGGAAGTGGGCCTGTTACGGCTCTCAGGGCGATGCCTAATGGGCGACATATAGTCTGGTAAGCTTTTGGCAATGTTGATCGCACACTGAAAAAAAATATTCCATGAGCTAACCCCAACTTCCAGCGCCTCCCATGATATTCTTAGATTATACGACCTGAAACACGAGCAAGTCGCTCGTCACTCAACAGTCCCATTCCTTATCATTCCCGGGCATCGAACAGGCACTGTCTCACAGCTATACATCGACCAAGCATGTCGGTTCATGGTCTCCACAAGTGGCAATAGAGGCTGGGAAGGCAGTACCACCGAAGTCTTACTGGGGTACGAGATCGGTGTTCCTCGGTAGTTGGCTGTGGATTTGTATACTATCTGTATCTCTGGCATGCTTCTATGCGTGTTGCTGGGATGCTTTGCTGTTTGATGTAGTTTTGACGCATATACCGGCAATGTGTTAATGATAGCGCTGTGTTGAGTCATGTTGAAGACACGACTGATGAGTTATACCATGATATTCTTCCAGGTTCACTATCTTGTAAATACTGAATGAGATCTAGTAACGTGTACTGGCATGTAATTCCGTACATGTAGCCAACCGAGGAGAGAAACTATAATAAAGAAGAAAAGTACAATATGCTACAGTATCCATATGAAACCACAAACACCAACCCGATATGTCCAAACCAAACGATAACCATGCAAACCAGAAAAAAACAAAATTCATAATCATAGCCCATGATCATCATGCACATCATCAAAATCAATCCCCTCACAAACATCATGTTGCCCCGCCCTCCAAGGTCCAAACAACGAATTCCTCGCCCAAGAAACATGCCCGTCCTCATCATGCTCAAAGAAAACGTACCCAGGCTGCTCCTCCCTCTCTGCGCCCCAAGGCCCCGTAGCCAAGGACCCGAACCCCGGCAACGCGACATTCGGCACATGCCCACGCGCCTCGACCTGGCCCGCGCCCACATTATTAACAGTCACCAGATACACAGGCGGGAGAGCCACATCGCGATCCGGACGAAGCGGCATCGGAATCCAGGCCTCGTTGTTATACGAGTCGGGCCTGTTCTTATCATGTCTGCCGGGCAACGGCCTGGAAAGAAGCATGGCGTCCAATTTGGCCGTGTCAAGCAGCAATCCGGGTGTTTGGACGTAGAGGACAGAGTCGTACTGCATGAACTGGATCTGGCCGAGACGGAGGAGCTTTGTGTCTGTGGGGGCGTAGCCGGCGCTGGTGGCGGCTGTCATGTCGATGGGGAGCAGCCAGATGTTGTATTTCAGGGAGGCTGTGCGCAGCAGGGAGAGGGCGGTTGAGACCTGGGTGGTGAGCTTGTGGGGTGGGGTTTGGTCCCATTCTTGGGGGTACATGAAGAGACGGTCTTGGATTGCTGTGTTGTTGGTGGAGAGGGTTTTGAAGAAGAGGATTGCGGAGCAGATGTTGGAGGGATCTGGCGTGGTGAGGAGCTGGAGGTAGGCATAGCTGCCGCCTGGGTGATCGTTGTTGTCTAGGAGTGTGCGTTTTGTGTTGGCTCCATGGTGGGTGAGGCCGTGGATGGGGTCTGGGGGTTGCGGGGGTTTGATGGCGTGTTGGATGCTGCGGACGGATTGTTGCTGGAGGACGTAGCCGGAGAGGAAGAGGACGAAGGTGAATATGCAGATCACTCCCGAGGAGAGGATGACGGAGACCGTGGAGGATGTTAGGAGGACCATTGCTGGTTCTGCATTGGTATGTGGTGGGTGTATACTTTGGATGGCCCGTTGGTTGTAGATGAAAAGCACCGTAGATGGGACACTGTGGTACCACGACTGGGATATATATGGTCTTTCTTTTAAATGGCAATATAGTCACTCGTACACTCGTCAATCATGCAACTCATACGTCAAAATCCAGATGGTGAAGACCCAACCGATCACTGAACCTGTTTCATCTCGTGTTTACAGTCAGCCGGTTGGCGGTACGACTATCGATAAGGGCCGGTCTTGGCAGAATCCCGACCGCCAAGACAATCGCCTCAACTCCGACATCATTCAGTTCAATCTTTCATCTGCATCATTGTTTCTCCGCAAATCCTTCACCTCGCCCGCCAATACACCCCGGAAAACATGGCATCCCACCGCGCTGATGCCAGCTCCCTCCTTGACAACCGCGGCTACAGCGGTCCGTTAGTCCGCGGTGTCAATCCAGCCACTCTATTCGAAAAAGCCGTGCGCGACCGCATCACGGACTCCTACTACTGGAAGGAACAATGTTTCGGATTGAACGCAGCGACGCTGTGCGATCGCGCGGTTGAGCTGACCTCCATCGGAGGAACGTACGGCGTCTCCGAGAAGCCTACACCATTCCTCTGTCTCGCATTCAAGATGCTACAACTAAACCCGGACCGGGACATCGTACTGGAGTACCTAAATTTCACCGACCCGGTCAACGACGAGGAAGGGGAGCAGACAGCCACGGAGCAAGCTGAGAACGGCGTGGTCAAACAACAAGGTGACTTCAAGTACCTGCGGGCTTTGGCGGCGTTTTACGTCCGTTTGACATTCGACGCGGTGGATGTGTACAAGACGTTAGAACCGCTTCTTCTTGATTATCGAAAGTTGAAGCGGCGGGTGCGCGATTCAGTCGTTCTTACGTATGTGGATCAATTCGTCGATGATCTCCTCACCAAGGATCGTGTGTGTGGTACGAGTCTGTGGAAGTTGCCTTCGCGACAGCAGTTGGAGGATTTGGATCTCTTGGAGGAACGCATAAGCCCGCTGGCTGCTGAGTTGGAGGAGATGGACAACGAAGATGAGAGTGAGGAAGGTCAGGCTAGCGATGCTCGGTCATCTGATGATGCTGGCGATGATTGAGACGGCCACTGGCTAGCTGCGAACGTCCTTTTGGCTCTGCCAAATATTACATTGGTGTTGAGCTTCTATTGCCGGCTTGGTCCCAGAGGCTACGGCTACTCGTGCAGACTCATGACGGTTTCCAATGAACCGTCGTTCTCATTGAGCTACCCGCACCCTTTTAATAGGTGTGGTTCTCATTTGAGCCCGCTACCTTACGTGCCCTATAAGGCAGTAATCGAATATGCCTCGAGCGTCGTGACACAGACGCCACGGAATTATCATCATCCTCTTCAAGATGGGTTATATGGGAACATTAACTATGGGAGAGTGGGACTCTGCGGCTCGGAGTCGGGAATTGGAAAAACGGTATTGCTGCTTGAGAATAGCACCATTTCTGGTTACAATCTGCAGTATTCGGAGATACCCCATCATCTTTGCTATTTAATTGTAAAACATTTGTCAATTTCACTTACAGATTATGTCCATTGTACCATGTCCCTAAATAACTTAGAACGCAAACAAATAATCTCAACGTGGCTGCCTCGCCCAGTATCACCGAGTCTATGAAAATCAGAAATCATATCAAGGAATACGGAGTTGGGGAAGAGTTAATGAGCAAATGGCACTAAAAGCCCTGTTGGCGATGCCACTTCTTCTGCCAATTTTGATACCATGGACTGTCATCCAATGTAGCTACCTCCCAACCACTGGGCACGAGCCCATTCTCTTCTTGTTCTTTTGCCCATTCTTCAAGCTTGGGAAGTATAACATGCTCCACGTGCCAGGTATTCTTATACTCCATTATACTTCTCTTGCCCTCCTTCAAGACCTTGGTTATCAATGCGGGCACGCCAGGCTCGTCCCGGAATTCAGTCACAGGTGTGAACAGTGCCTTGAAGTTGAATACGATAGATCCCGAGAGAGGAAGGCGGCGGAGTGTTTGCCAGTCCACCCTGAGATAGCAGTCCTCTAGCTGGATATTGGGATCTTGGTAAAGTCGGAGTTTCTCATGAGGGTCCCCTTTGGGCATATACAACGGCTGCCCGACTTCAAGGCCCCAAGACCCTCTTTGTATCGGTTTGTCGGTCGGCATTTTGGTGAAATACCTGTGTATTTATCTGTGAGTGTACAGTTATTAAGATGTTTTGGCATTTTACGCACCGATCCATGGAGAATTGCATCTTCTCTTTATACTCTGGAACTGGGTCATGGATCTGATGAAGCTGAAGTCCGATCTTGGTGCCGAGATCCCATCCCAAAGAAGAACAGATCACTCCAGCACGCAAAAAATAGTTACCCGTTGTGTCATCACGTAGCATCATACCGAAGTCCTCGGGAACATTGTCGAGCAGGATCTCAAGGGGATGCTTGGATCTAATATCCTGTTCTATTCCCAAGATCCTATTCTGTAGGATGCGTCCGTCCGCCAAGGAAAAGTATTGTGGATAGCGGGCGCAGATGAACTGCAGAACCATTTCCATAAGCTCTTTACAGGCCAGCTCTGATCCGGGGAGCCAGCCTAGGACTGCATCCCCATACTTTGCGTACAACTCCTTCCGTTGCGCGATCCGCTGTTCGTAGGTGTTCTCGAGTTCTATCCACCAATTCGTTTCTAGTTTTGTCAATGCTACCATGATTGTTAACGTATTTCTCAAGTTATGTGGCGGCACTTGTAGTCAAGATATGAGCAAACTTACACATTGTCTGGTGGTAACCCCATCTGAACGGCCGATATGGCTGGGTAGCGCTTTTTTAATCTCACACTCGAGGTACTCTTGAGGCAAGGGAACACCGCTGAGCTTCGCATAGTCTGGAAAGTCCCCTAAGGCCTTAATTTCAGCTATTGAAAACCCCGTTGGAGTGTATTTGTCTTCCTCGCAGGACCTATAGTCCGTGGTCATGGGAAGGATGTGTTTGAGAACCTTCTCTTCGCTGACTTCATTGATCCCTGTCGTAAATTCCAGTGCTGCAGCGAGTGCCTGACGGCCCTGAGGTGGTAGAACATCTGCACACTGCACTGTTCTCTTCTCCGGTGATAGCGACTGCGGTGGGGTCCCATCTCGGAGGTTATGAAGCTTTGAGCGAAGCCAAACTGGTATGATTTGCAACCCAGTCAGGGCGTAACATAGCCCAGTTAGTCCGAAAATAGTGAGGCACACCAACCACATATTATCTAGCCGATCGAGTGCGTCCATAATGCCCTCTTAAATGCAATATGGTGCACTAAACGAAATTATATGAATAGTTTCGCTGTCACAGGCTCAAATAATGCGAAGTCACATCTGTATCGTATCTCGTACGTAGACAAGAGTGTCGAGTGTCCAAGATATGGATGTCAGTGAAAGTTTCAGCCATAGAGGCCACAGGGAAGTAACCTTGATTTAATACTCTAAGAGGGATATGTGGCCATTATGGAAATCAAGGATTGGCGGGATTCGCAGCTGGTTTGGGGATGCCATGCGGAATCTCCAGCCTCTCAGGAGCAATGTAACCGAATGCTTTACTTCGTTCGGTGCGGAGATGCAGATAAAAGATAAGGATACCTTCCCGTATCGAGTACTTTGATGCGATCGATCTTGATAGGGGAGTGCGGTACTTCTGAGAAGGTGTGAGGAGCCAATCTTCGGCGTCATAGAATTGCAAGGATGTAATATTAGAGGCCCGTTTCACCGACATATGCCATACATTTAATAGCCACAGATCGGGTCACATTTATGTAGAAACGATGTAGCTCGAGCTAGATGCATGCGCCCTATGATGTAAGGTAGTAGAGGCTCCATCTCTCCCTTCACGTGAACATGCCATATCAACAGCGGCAGGACTTCGTAAATTCATCTGGGGCCAGTGAGCCACCTTTCCATTGTCCCAATATCTGGTTCCGAAGCATAGATGAGGGGAGGTACTTACCATGAATAAGTGGCGATAATTAATGATCAGCCATGAAAATGGTCTTCCAGTAAGATTGAACTAATATAGTATGTGAGGGGATGGATTACGGACTGAAATGACGGAAGGAGGAAAGGAAAGTGCCCACCTCCGCATTTCCCGAAAAGGGAAAAGTATCCATCGTCATGCGTCCAGGGCATGGCTCAGTCACAGCCCTATGTGCGTTCATATAACTACATGTATATAAAGCTACTGATATCCCTAATCTATTCAAAAAGTTTGTATCTAATAACATGGTCAGTCAGGAGCTCGGAATTGCTCTTCGCAAAATGGATACTTTATATCTCAGCGAGAATGGTAAACATTGGCATTGGTTCATTAGACCACTCAGGACATCTAGATTACAATCACACTCTGACTGTTTTTCAAGAAACGAAGATTAGTATCACGCATTCGCTTGGCCTTATAAGGATCACCAGGAAGCGGCATCCTGGCGAATCGATCCGTGGAATCATATATGACGCCACGACCAGAATATGAGAGAAGAATATTGGTGTATACCCTCATAGCACTAGTTGAAAAAGCAAGCACCACGTGGTCACTGCCGATTTCTTGTCATGGGTCAATTAGACTTACGGCGTCCCATTCGACCTGAGTTCTAGGACGCCCGCTAGAGTGTTCTACCTTGTGGAGAACAAACCAAGATTCTTAGACATTCATAGAGGGCCATCGGCATCAAACATCGTCTTCATACTGAAGGTATCTCTCAATGTTCCAACGACCTATTTTCTTGACTATGTCCACAGGTGTTTGGCCATTGGCGTCTCTAAGGTGTAAGATTGCCCCGTTCTCAAGCAGCACTGCAAAGGTATCGGGTGTCAAGCGGCTTGCTGCCATATGCAGCGGCGTCTTGCCATTATTTGTGGATACGTGGACATTGAATGTGTCATGAGAAAGTAGAAGCTTCACAACTTCTGGGGAATTGTCTCGGGCTGCGTAGTGTAGCTCGGTCATCCCACCTTCTCCTGGTATGTTCGTCTGGATTCCGCGCTCTAGAAGAAACCGAACAACCTCGTAGGAACCATGAGAGCAGGCATTGTGGAAGGCAGTCTCATTCCGTCTATTTCTGACGTTTATATCAATACCGGCCTCAACCAAGATACGAACAATAGCAGCCTGACGATCATGGTCCTCCCAGAGTTGAGTAACTCGAAAAAGGGCCGTCTCACCTTCAAAGTCCTGCAGGGAGAGTAGGTGAGCATATTTTTCCACCAAAAACTCCAGCACATTGGGATTGTCATTCCGTACGGCTTGGTGGAGCACAGATCCACCGTTGCGACATGTATGGTCCAGATCGACCTTATCCGCAATAAGTTTGAGCGATTCGAGGTTACAGTAGGGTATGATACAGATCATCTTGAGTTGAGGCAGCAATGAGTACATCTCCAATCTGGCGCCTCTTTCAAGCAACAGCTCCACAATCTGGGTATGCCGGAAACCAATTGCGAGACCTAACATGCTAAGTCCAGTCACATCGTGGGAATCCGGACTGACCCCTGCATCGAGAAATCCTTTGACGGCGTTGATTTTACCGTCTTCAATGGCATCTGCGAGTGGCTGACGTGGCAGTTCGATCCTATATGTGAGCCTTCGGAACCGACAAATGAACGGGCATTCGCGAATATATGATCCTGAGTATCTTTCAAGGTATCGAAAGTAATCCTTTCCATTGGCCAGGGCATATCCCTTGGCAGCCTTGGACAGTGACGGGCGTAATATCTCGCTGAGCCTTCGACAAGTGCTAGCGAGTTTCCCTAACGATGGTGGGTCAACATAGACAACAATCATATCGATAAGCTCAGCTGGCAAGCTGTCCAGTCCACGAGACTGACTCATCTCAGTCTCAACTGACGTTGTAGACGAAAGATGTGTAAATTAAAAGCTAAAATCAAGATAGGGTCCCAGAAATCTAAAACGTGTATGCAGTGTGTCGTCGCTAGTTTGCAATCTACTCACAGTTTCTATATTGTGCGAGCGATTGGCTGACCATATATACTCCATTAAGCTACTAGTTGCCAAAGAATATGTAGAAGTATAGAAACTTCTAGGTCTCGTCACTGTGCAGCCTTATTGAGGATATCTCTTTGTGATTGATTAACTCATGTTGTGAACAATCCTGTTGCTGGTATTTATCAGCCATACAAAGACTCTATGCAGAATTCATCAAGTAGGACACTCATTCAACTGAGATGACTACCCACACCCAAGCACACTCAATGGGTAGGTACGAAATACCCTGGAGCAAGTGTGGAGATAATGTCTGGCAATCAGCGCGGCATATGATGGACTCACGGGTCCCAGTGTTGTGGCAGGAAAACATGTTTGTTACATTGCTTTCCCAATGGAACCTCCTCTGAGAAGCATGGGACATTGCACAAGCAACTCAGTCACGGTGGCAATATCACTGATATGTTGGAAGCATGTCTGGGGACTCCTCATACTATGAACATCGAATACTGGATGTGAGGCTAGCGTGAGTGACACTAAGGTCCAATCCCGAAACTAAGGCTGATCAGCCGGCGGAGTTCCGCGGCTTCGGATTTCCCCATCAAACCAGTTAATTAAGCAACAGGAATGATCCTAACTACATGTGGTACTGTGTATAGAAATGTATGTACTTATCGCAGCTCGGATTCATTTTCTCGCCGGTGTGGGTCTCGCCAGTCAGCCTTAATGTCTCATTTTCAAGTTTCGCAGGATTGACCGTATGTTTTCAACGCCGAGCATTCAGTCACCACCTACTAGTCTCAAGCTGAAACCATCTGTAATCATACAGAAGTGGCCAGACTGGGAGGATGACTTAATCATTATAATCCGATGGTTAGGCCAGTGGGCATTGCAAATCACCCGAGATCTAACGAACGCTAGATTGACGGCTCCATGTAGACCCATATAGTCAGTGATGCTTAATACATATCCTGCTAATTCCATTATTATACGATTACATATTGGGCCATCCTCAATTGATAAGTAGTAATGTATTTGATTGAATTGCAAACATCCAGCCCGCACGCTTTACAAATGCTCCGTATGGCCCTAGCAAGTATACAACAAAATGAAAAGGAACAATATAAAAATATGCATGGAGAGAAGACACTTCGACGAAATTAGTTGTATGTACTTTGGGATAGCACACTTGCATGTGCTTTCATGTACACGATAAGGTCGGTCAAGGGATGAGGCTGATGGAATCGAGTAAAGTCGGCCGACAGGGGGACGACTATGTGAATGCGTGGTTATATCGTGAGACGTTGACAGCTGCCAGCTTTGATACAGACATTCATAGCTGTCTAGACTGTTTCCCAATGGCAAGACAATATCAAGACCATGCAGTTGCGGGAATACTTGCAAGTCCCTGTAAGCATGGAACGACGCCCGGGAGTCCCGAGCCTGTCAAGTCCCAGATTTTGGTAGATGAGGATGTGACAAAAATGGGTATCATAAGACCGCTATATTCGCCGAACGCGCAAATCGAGATGACAAACGAAAAAGTGAAGACAGAAGAAGTAGCCAGGATCTCTCGTGGATCTTATCAGTCGGGGTTCGTAAGCTAGGTATAAGGTTAGCCTTGTCAAGCAATCAGTCCACAAAATAAGAACAATACTAACCCGAAGAACTGGCCGAGAATAGTCTTCATTGTCCTGAAGCGACACGTCACTGTCACGACGGCCGCCTGCGTACAGTACAGTATCCGTTTTCAAGCGAGTATCGGTAAACGTTGGTAGTCTTGAGGATCCGGCAGATAATGTATGGCTATGGGTATCCGAGAATGCTCGATTCGCGACGCTCATCTGAGACCCTTTGCTGTTTCTACCATCCAGCAAGCCATTTGAGACGCTTGGACTTGGGCTTGTCGAACGCGCTTGGCGTTTCTTGAAGAAGATCAAGAAGAAGATGGCTATAATAGCAGCCAAGCCGCCGAGCGAGCCGACTACCACGCCAGCAATTGCGCCTCCACTTAAGCCCGAGCTGCTACTACTATCCTTCTCAGACATGCCGGCACTTGAATCTGCCGTTGGCTTTGCATTGGGGACCGTGATCGTTTTGACTTCTCCGGCAACGGTTTCGATTGATTGAGTTGAGCTCGTTGTAGGTGCTTCTGTGGTTTTGGAAGAGTCCGTCGATTTTGTCTGTGAAAGGTTAGCACTCTAACAGCAATAACAACCGTTTTGTGAGAAAATGCGATGCCATGACCCCCATCACCCAGCTTAGTATCTTGGTCAACGTGGTCATCTCATTCTGTACAAGAACGAAGCGGCTTCATAGAGAGATCAAAGCTGGCGGAGTTGATGGGTTGGAAGGGAACTTTGCTTGGGTTGATAACCAGAGAGAAAAAATCTACTGACCGATGACTCTGTAGTAGATGTCGACGTGCTCGACGAAACAGTGGCTGTTCCCGATGGCGAATGCAAGTTCATCTGGATATAAGCGAAAACACCCTTGGACGCACTTCCACAACTATCATCGGGATACCCGGGACACCCTGTATCACACTTCGTCGTATCAACGTTGGTCGCTTTGTTGGGCGCAATGTTCGAACACCAACAACTCTTCCCTTGAAGAATCCCGAAAGCATAGTCGGAATTACATGTGTCTGTACAAAGTCCATTTGATTGATACACACTGACATCTGTGAAGGTTAGAAAAATTCTAGGGTACAAGAGCACCACAGAAACATACTAGCAGAGTTCGAAGCTCCCGTATTCACCGAAGAGCAATATGTGATATCCGAAGCAGCAAAGGCCCGCCAGGAGAACAAAGTAAATAATAGCAGAGCCATGTTACGAAGCATGACGGACATGGTCAGATAGCGGTGTATATGTGACAGCAATGCGTGCGTCCTTTTCCAGCTATGCGGCACCAAGTATAAATCGCGGCCTCGGCCAAATTGTGAAAGGAAAACCTCCCTCCAAGTCAAAATAGGTGCAGGCTCGGTTTTAGATCGGTCGCTCGGTCGGCAGGATATACAATTGCGACTATTTGGCCGGTATCGACTGACGAGGATTAATAACAGTGGTCAAACCGTGATCCAAGCCCAAAGTTAGAAATAATGTCTGTTGGCTCGGGGTCCCGTAGAAGATCCTTCTTCACTAGGGTCAGGTGTGGCAGTTAATTACTGACGTCGATCAGCCACAGACCATGAACACATGCAAATGGGGCTTCCAATTATCTATCATGCGATCCCGCGACATACCTGTAAACTAGCAAAACCAGTAAATTTTTGGTGTGGATTATTTTTCTCCCTCTGTCTTATAGATGGCGCTCATCTAGCTGCGACTAGACAGATGTTTGGGGGGCCAAGAGTACGATAGCGGGCGGATCAGAAAGACTATCGCAGCATCGTCATGATCATCGTCACCTTACAGACAGGAGAGAAGGGACGGCCGACCGGCTCGAGGTTTGGACAGAAAAGAATCCGATGGAATGCCAAAAGTAACGACAGAAAGTAAAAGAGAAAGGGAGGGAAGGAAAGGAAGAGAATGAGAAAGGAGAATAACGGTTCTCCTCTTTGGGTCAACGAGGAAGCTGATGGGGTGAGTGAGTTAAGTTGAGTGAGTTGGGTAAGGTCAGTTAAACAATGGATCCAGTTAAACTGTTGGTAAGTAACGAAACAAGAAACATGGAACGAGAGCGGGTTCCCATCCCGGCGTTCCACCAATGCAGCCAGTAACCGTTCTAGAAAACCATACCAAGAAAGAAATTTTGATTATCAGGGTAAGAGTCCGTCGTATGTACGGCGTACGTATGTCCATGCATCTAGGCTCCAACTACGCTAACCCGATAGGTAGCCAGGCATCTAGCCGAATCGGCCGTAATTCTGTTCAGGACGAAGTATGGGGGAAAGAAAAAATGAAAAACAAACGAAAATTACCGGCATACCCGCTCGAAAGTGGGGTTTAGAGTACCTAGCAGTAGTACCTTGCCTATCTTAGCACTATGCAGGCTGCAACATGAATGGAGTAATTCGATTTACAGCTGGTCAACCAAAGCCTTTGGTAATTCCGCACTCAGTCACTCGTTACCTTGATTCATCGTTACGATCCAAAACGAAACAAAGTCTTCAATGAAAGAAGGATCTCCCTTTGTATACAATTCATAGAACTACATTCTATTGTATGATGCCGAGAGGATAATTTCCAATCCAAACTGAGAGCACAGTGGTTTTTGTCTGTTTGCAAGAGATTCATTGTCAACATGAATGTAATCTATTATTCCCGTAACTATCGGTCTAGTATGTGGGTACAAACGATCCAAGCAAATCCCCCAACTGCGAGGAGTGTATAACAGCAGTAGTGTTGTACCAGAGTGGCGCCACCTGTACTCCGTACTGAAGCTGGAAAATACTTCCAAAAGACAGACCATGGACAGCACCTAAAGATCTTGCGAGGAGAAAATGGAGAGAAACAAACCAATTATTATTCCCTGACCCTGGAGATCGATGAAAGGTACACCTGTGCGACTGTAAATTTAAGGTAGGATAGAAACTCTAATGGATCGGTGGTTGCACGTACTAAGATTCATGTACAAAGAACATCCTTGTCCTTGAATTTCGTCAATGCTGAATGGGAGACTTTTTTTCACCTTGGCCGCGTCATTTGTCTGACACGGCGGGACAAAGATACGTCACGTCACATACCACCACAATACCACGCACTCCTCTGCCTCATCTCACCTTGCTGGACTGTTTTTCTCCTGAAGGTCAGGGAACTGTCCAGAAAAATTCTTGATCGAAAACAAAAAAGCTCTTTTTGTGTTGAATTTTCCTATGTATCTTTCTTCCTTTTACTTGGGGATAATGGGATCTACCTGGTTCAGCCACTCTTGAATTGTGAACGATTCAGCGTTTGAGACACGGTCACGGATGCAGATCCTGCTGGTTTCATTGGCCTTCGCATCGCCCAGACAGTGACTTAACATTGCCGAAGTGCTGCTTCATTCCAAATATTACATACCATACTGACCCAATAGAAGCAAGTTGATATGGGAATTCTGGTGCTTTATGAAATCTCCCCGTACATACTGCAGTGTCTATTCTCTCATTTGGGATTCCCTGCATTGGGGTTACTTCTGAAGGGGGCGTACAGTAACCGTACAAATTTACACTTGTCGTTGATAGGAAGATATGTATAGACAATACAATAGTGACGGATCCTCTCTCGCACCCGCCACCGCACAGGGCAACTTGTGGTCTTCAAATGGATTCGGTCAAGTGGAGATGCGACTTCGAAGAAGTGGTCTAGAAGGGAGACCACGCGGAATCGCTTTGAATTGCTATGTATGATGTTGATTAATGTGTCATTGACCTTATTATTATGCTTACTCGAGGTTTTCCCTTGTCCTATCCGGTTTCTTTGCTGTTCTGGCCGTGCCTGGGCTGGACCAGTAGCCGACGATCCATGGAAGGGAGGCTGCGGCTTTAATACGCAGTTAACGTACATGATGGTGGGCCTTGTGCGGTTTCAGGTCGGCTATCCCGTCTGTAACCCAAGGTCAACCAACGGTGAGTTCCACGGACAATAAGGTGTGTAAAATCGCAAAGGACAAATCACACAAATACGCAGTACTTCTCGATTGAAATTTCCATGGATACTCCCATCTCGGGTCAGGCGCGGTACGCGTGCGCGAGATACACGGAGCCAGACAATCTCCCTCAGTCTTAAGTCTTAATACATCATCCTTACGTGGTCCAACAGCTGGTAGCAATCGACCATGGCCTGGAAATCAAGGCAAACTTGACAACCTATCAAATATCAAAACATGTGACACCAGCAATAAGTGCGAGGAATCGATCTGCGATCTCTCATCAATCATGTCCCTTGATCCACACACGCGCACACATTCTCTGAGTACGGTCAATCTTTTCTCTTCAGGATTCTCAACATCAGGACCGATCAAAGTGATTGCCGATGCTTATCTCAAGGGACCACTCTGCGAAAATCCGCATTGGAATCTTTTCTTGATTGAGCAGTTACCCTGACTCAGTAGTATCTGCCAGTGCTCATAAAAATATTTGCCGAAGAATGCGCTGTGGCATTTACATACGTGTTATTTCAAAAGCAAGAGAAATGATTGAAACTTTCCGACATGCCATTTTTTTTTCCCGGTCGCATTGAAACTCATCCCCGCTTGGATTAAGAGTCTAGACACATGGCCAGTCGAAAATCATGATGACTCCTGCCGTGGCTGCATACTTACCCTACATGAACATCGGGGCATGCTGGAGATATCTACGTATCGTTGGACTTGCCCTGTCCATCATGGATACCACAGTACGACTAAGATAGGAATCTGTCGCAGACCCCGACCAATAGCATCGGCCAAAGACAACCCAGCGAAAGGGATGACGACGCCCGCCCTCTGCGTGTCATATCTGCCCAGTATCCTTCGGACGGAGAAGGTCCTGTCGAAGTGATAAAGAAGTGAAACCCCGCCTTTCAGAAGTCCGCTCTTGCAAGTTGAAGTTTGTCACCTGCGAAACCTTCCTGGCAGGTGTCCCGCACGCATATCAGACCATCAACTAGCCCTCTCTCAGAAAGTGCAAGCGCGATATTCGCGATCTAATTAGAAAAGGTCGTCTACGATTCTGACTTTGGTCAACAGATGGCGATCAATAGTGGCGCAGTTTCCGCCGGATGGGCCAACTTTCTGGAATACGAGTCATATAGTTCACTGGAATGGAGGGGTTATCTGTATCTGGAAGCTGTCAACATCGCAGCCTTATCTCTGGCACGGGCGATACCATGCCGGCTCTGCCGGAGAATGCAGTGGCTGCTACTTTGATATGCTCGACATCTACAAACAGCCGGATGGGGATACTACAAGGGATTAGGATAACTATCTCTCCGTCGAAGCAGGCCATTGTATGAGTGGTCGCCATTCTTGTCGTAAATCACAGAAGAAAAAAATCTCTCACTAATCCCTGAACGGTAACGTCTCGTAATTTAAAATGAAAGGGAAACAGAAGGAAAAAAGAAAATACCAATAATGGTGTGGCTGAGGCAATGACCAGCAAAAGTGGGAAATCGATTAGTCAAATGCCGATCCCCTTACTGTTGCATCAAACATAACCTAAATCACTGCAATTGAACCCGCGACACCGGTAAACAAAGTGTAGAAAAGGCGAGGTAAACAAAAGGCCCCTCCAATGAAAGAACATGAAACAATACAAAAAAAAAATTCCAACAACCAATCCACCAACAACAAAAATGAAAACAAATCCATGATGCAAAGAAAGTGCACCAAAACAAACAATTTCACATTCCTCTAAGTCCAAGCCAGAACTCTGAACAGAGATCCGATCGCTTTCCCCCGATCTCAATCAACAAAAATAGCAGCAAGAAAAGAAAAGACAAGAAAAGAAAAACAAATAATTACTTATATTTAGGATCATCCCGTGTCCATGATCCATTATTGTGGGAACCTAATTTAACATTGTTTTTCATTTCGGTCCTTGGCTGTGGCGTTTCTGATCCCATACAGATACAGATACCAGTACAATTACCAGTACATATAGACTCCAGAGTAAGTACAGGTATGTATGTACGTCCATCCAAATCTCCCGCCCGCATCCTCCCGCCTATATTTGGTAACCCTCCTTACACCGGTCCCCCGAGCAATCAGTTCCATCCGTGATCTGGGCAGAAACAAACCTCAGGATCTAGAATCGACCTGCTGACCCAGACTGGATTGCCATAAGCCGGGTTCGAAACAAAGCAAAATACCCAGCTGCCCACGTTACAGTAACATACCATAACCACTCAACACGGGTAGCAAGCCAACCTGTCTAATAATATCAGCCCT